TACCCTATCAGGTCGACCTCCACGCGGTTCCCCCTGGAAACTATCGTGACCAATTTATCATTGAATTCCTCACAATAGGCTAGCTGACCTGCCTTTTCATCCTCACCTATCACCGCTTACTGGTACCTCGCTAGTGTATACCGATAACGCAGGCAGGGTAACCATGCCATTTTCACGCATAAAAATAAATAAATAAATAAGTAAACAGTGAACAGCCGATATGACGATAGTGATAAACAGCTCATTTTAGACCCCAATCTTATAAGTAAACCGGAAGGCTCTTCAAACAAAAAGGAATAAATATTCGATTATTATAATTATTATTACTTAGTAAGTTTATTAATAAATATACGACATTTTTTTTTTAAATCAATAGCATTAATAGTTGCTGAGACAAAGCATTATGACAGACGGACAAAGTCGCAGCATACCATAAGAGATACTTTTTCGGTGTGGAACCCAAAAACATGCTAATGGTTTCACCCTCTATTTATTTTAACACGAGCTCTAACTATGATTAGATTATCGGGCCTTGTCAATTTCAGAAACGAACTTTACCGAACTGGTCTCGACCCGGGTTAACGGATTGAAACGATTTTGTCCCATATATGTATGTATATTTGCCCATTCCATGGCGCCTGGCTGTAATGGAGATCACACAGTTGGCGTGATTGTTCGATTACTGTTACGTGTATATTGTTTCAGTTACCGGACTAGGGACTAGTCTCGCTGCGATGCAAAGAAAAAAGGTCGGCAAAAATAGAAAAGATATTTTAGAAATGTAGTCCTGAACTGTTTCAATGTACACTATTCTATGAAAAAGTTAACCCGAAGCATATTTTAGTTTGATACATGTTTTTTTTTTCCCCAAAGAGGGTTGACGTCAGGCAGGCGGCCGGTCGTAAAACTATAAGCTAAATCTTTTTGTAATATGGATAAAACCATATTACGCTGACTCCAAATAATAATTGGGATAAGGGTAGGAAGATGATGATGACTTTTTTTTTTTATTATTTTATTTCGTTTTCTAACACAAAATTAATTTTGTATTATTTTTCTATACCATCGAAGTGAATGCCGTGTGATCCCGGCATAGAATGTCATAAGAGGACAAATAAAGGAACTTAATTGTCGAGGAATGGGCAACAGCGTCCCTCTTAAAATATCACCAAAACCTAACTGCGGTTTCAAATCCACCTGCTAACATTGGCGACTACTAGAAAAATTCCCGTTATATAGGAGGCAATGTTCCGCAATGGACAATTAAGGGCTGATATAATTATGATGATAACTGAGGTGACCAACATGCATACGTCTCACCTGATAGTACCGATTACTGTAATTTATGAACGCCTGTAATACCAGGATCATTTGTTCGACTCGTCCGCCAAGGTCGACGGCGGCGACCCCCCCCCCCCTCGTTACACCGACCCGCGTCCCTGATGGGGACCGAAGTGCGGTGGCCTGAGTCGAGGTTCAAGCTGCTATGGCGCCCTCGGGCACAAACACCGCAATCCATCTGAAAGAGCTGACGCCTAACATCGCTCCCTTCTCGCAGGCTTGGAGTGTCTTCCGCACTCGTCCCTGCATACGCGCTCGGTGAAGTTATAAAGACCATCTGCGGCCAACAGCATGTACGGTACGAAAAAAAAAACCAGGATCATTACGCGCGGGTACTTACTTCATTACCCTGAAGAAACTTCTTTACCCCATTTTGAAGAAAGGTTTGCTGGACGAAATCTCTTATTGGAGATACTCACCTTTGTACATTACTTTTAAAATTAAATGTTTTTATCATTATTTAATTTTATTTATTTATTTATTTTAGATAACTTGGTTCCATTTTTGTTAGTAAGTGTACTTAAAAACTATGTCAATACTTAATCACTAATAATGATCTAGTCCTCTCGGCGAGCATTCTCACGAGAGGACTATCTAATTTATTCACAAACATGTTCAGGATACTGTTGCTACTCCCGCGTATTCGTCGTAAAAACGAAGCTGTCTTTTTACGCCAAACATTTTGTGTACAATAAAAAATAAAAAAACCCCATGCTGCACTTGTATAGGGGGTCAGAATTTGATATGGGGATTTAAAAACCACCGCTCATTCCAGGTCAATTAAAACAAAATAACTTCAAACAGAACTTTATTAAGTAAGTAATTAACAAAAAAAATATGACTAGAGTACACTGTATAGAAGGATGCCAAGAGCAAACGCAAACATACGCTTTACAATTTAATATTACAATATAACTGATTAATTTTACGACCTTGGACATGTTGCGGTTTAATATACCGCCTTATCTTTCAATAGTCGTAGGTTTGATTCCCATTGCAAACATTTCTTAATTTGATCTGATTATTAATAATAATGCATATCACTTGAACTAATCAGAAATCTCGATTTTAAACAATAACTCTATCATCATCGCCATCAGATTGCTGTTATCTGTTTAACACTAAATATAGGCCTCCCCCATAGACTTCTTTTTTACACAACTATGGCGACAAACAAACATAGACTGCCATAAGGAACAGGCACCTCCTCTATCTTATCCACCTCTATCCACTGACTTCCTGCAATGCATTTGAGGTCGTCACTTCATCTAGTAGGGGGGTCGTTCTACACTACGTTTGACCGTACGAGGTCGCCACTTAAAAATCTTCCCCATCGGTTGTCGTTCTTCGAGCTATGTGACCAGTCCATTGGCACTTCAGATTACTTAATCTTCGGCCTATATAGGTTACTTTGATTCTTTTGCAAATAACCTCATTTTGGATTCTCCATAGTTATGCACTTAACTGCCCTATATTTATGTCATTGTACTAGAATGGACCATCCCTTCCATTACCGTGGGTGTCGCAAGAGGCAACTAAAGTTACTTAATAGCCGAGGGATGAGCAGCAGCCCCCAACTCAAAACATCACCACAAAACAAACTGCGGTTGCTAAACCGCATGCCAAGCATGGCAACTACTGGCAAAACAACCCAATAGAAGGAAGACTGTGTTCAGCGGTGGACAGTTAACGCCTGATATGATGACGATGATAAAGGTAATTGTTAAAGAAAATTAATATAATAAAAACAGAACTAGACATTTTAACAAAAAAAATTTTTGGTTTCCTTAAAAATGCCAAATAAAGACTTACGTACTAACCAGACTATCGCGTTTGCTCGTGAACTACAATTAACAACGAAATAATATCATCTACATAAATAATTAAATAATATATTTTAAATAAATTTATTTTTCATGATATGTACATTATTCTACTATTGTATTGTCATCATTTACAAAATAAAATTTCACATTCAACCGTTTTTATCACAATCGTTGTGTTGTACTTCATAATAAAATAGGCCATAAGCGAATGACTTCGTCACCGAAGAGCTGATCTTGTATGATCCATGAGTTGGGCTATGTTTAAACAATACTTTACTGGTTTTTTAGACCCGTTAATAATTTTTTTTTAACTTAAATTACACAACCAATCCTTATAAGGGTTGACGCTAGATGGCGTTGTACGTATAATAAATGTGATTCCAATACGAAAGAATAAAATTCCAAATTCAAAAAACATACAATAAATATAATTATAAATTCAGCCCTACCATGACAAATCACTCAATATCTTGTACTTATTCATAAATATAATAAATTTAATTTAAACAATAAATAATTCACTTATCAACAATATACCTACTTATAGCTTATTAAAACCTATGAGATCATTAATACTAGTAAAGATTCTTCATTAATAAACAATAAAACATCCCACAAACCTGTTTTAAGTATTAAAGGAGGGCCGTATGGCGTGTGGCTACCCCAGAATTGCCTGCACAATCCAGAATCAGGAGTGAAGTTTATATGCACAAAGACTAGTGTCCAACAAAACATATACGTCTTTTAAGGGGAAGAAGATTGTTAGTAATAGGATCTAACAGCCCCATTGCTAGCAATATACCTTATAAGGTCGACCTCCACGCGGTTCCCCCTGGAGACCATTGTGATTAATTCTTATGGAATTCGTCGCGATGGACTGACTTTTTTTAATGCAAATTAGATAGGCATACGAGCTGACGATCTACCTTAAAGTGTTTACCGTCGACATACCATACGACGACCATAGATATGAACAATACCATGGATATAACAGAGTATACTGTTTCGCCCTAGATACTCTCTTATATGACCTTTTTGTAAATTTAACACAAAATATTAAGACAAAACACTTCAATAGCTACAACAGGTTTATAAGACATTTAACGTTTTTATGAAAAAGATTTTATGAGCGTATACGTAACGTAGTATGGCGTCATTAAAAAATGACGTCACATGACTTCGATGATTTTTATAGGACGTTTCAAAATACCTGAATTACTATAGTGTTCTCTATCTAATTCTTACATCAACACTTTATATTTAACCAACTTGTTGTCGCAAATTGGTCAAATAAGTCTTACTGTATGATCCGTTAATTTAAGAGCGTTCACATTTTAGCTTACCTAAGCATGGCAACGGATGAAGTGATTGCTAATATGGGGATTAGTAACACCATTGCTAGCAATACAACCTGTCAGGTCGAGCTCTTCGCGGTTCCCCTAGAAACCATCGTGTTCTATAGCAAGTGAATTAAACACGATAGGCTAACTGGCCGGCCTTTTCATTCTCACGACTGGGAACCAGCGCTGTGCAGCTGTACACACAGCACTGGGACACCTACAGCATCAGCTGAGCCAGTTATATATATATATATATATATATATATATATATATATATATATATATATATATATATATATATATATATATTGTTCTTGCTAGATTATGCTTTTTTTTAATGCAATAAATTTTTATATAATGCACTTTTATCTGAATTTGATGTATATATATATATATATATATATATATATATATATATATATATATATATATATATATATATATATATATATATATATATATATATATATATATATATATATATATACCGTAGTAATTGAAAATTATTACATGATTAAAGTTTTAGTTAGCTAGATGAACACTTTTAAATAAAATGAATCAGAAATATCACAAACGCGGCGTTGCTACACTTCGGTAAACTGAAATATAAACGCTCTTAACCACAAATATCTTTCATACCGCGCCTCTCTAAATTAATCTAATACTTTTTATTAGCTAATTCGATATCTTTGCCTTGAATATTGCTTGCAAAATTTTTAAAGCGGAATTATCATCTGTGCAATGCTTAAAATATAAAATTAAACCCCCTTATTCATAGAAACTAAAACTGTTGTACTGTTTTGTAACTTTTTTTATAACACAGGGGACCAACGAGCATGCGGCTTGCCTGATGGTAAGTGACAACCGCTGTCCATGAGCACCCGCAACATCAGAGGCATTGCAGGTGTGTTGCCAGTCTTTTAAAAAGGAATATGCTCTTTTCTTGTAGGTTATGATGTCGTATCAGTTTGGAAATACTGCTGTTGGAAATTAATTTCAAAGCATGGTTGTGCATGCCTTGAAAACTTTCAACTACCCACTTTCTTTCAAATTTAAAATTTATCGTAAAAGAAAGAGACAAAACAGTTCAATAACTAAGTTTAGTATTGGCTTGATGTTTTTATAAATAAGGGGGTAAAACTCTTGCCCCCCTAAAGAAAGGGCAACCCAATCTAACGATAGAAACATTTTCGTAATACGTTGAAACAAAACAAGAGACCAGACATTGCTGTCTCATTCTATCATATACACATGCTTTACGATATCGAGAGAATGCATTGCCATTTTCCTAGAGGGCGCTTGTTATGTGAATGAGTGAAAGAGATAAAGTTTAATTGGACCGTGAATATGTCTACATTTACTACCATTATAAAGAAACAACATGTAAAAAAAAATTTTACATGGCACCAAAAAGTATATAAAACGCGAAAAAAATAAGTCAAAGACCGCCCACTGTAGCCTATTTTTTTTTATGGATGACAATGGAATGATAACCCCGCCTGTGCTAACGGTATACGCTGGCGGGGCACCAGTGAAAGATGATAGGTGAGAATGAAAAGGCAGATCAGTTAAGCCCACCGTGAAGAATACGCCAAGAATTCAGCACGATGGTTTCCAGGGGGAACCACGTGGAGGTCGACCTGAGAGGATATATTGCTAGCAATGGGACTGGTAGTCCGCATTACTAACAGCCCCTTTTCCCCATTGTGGCCTATTATATATGTATACCTATTTTTACCGAACAAAATATGAGTATTTTGAACATTACTAAGGGGGAAAGGGAGTATTGTTAATGGGGACTAACAGCTCCATTACCAGCAAATATACCCTGTCAGATCTACCTTCACACTGTTCCCCCTGAAAACTAAAGTGATAAATTTTTGTGAAATTTGTCACAATGGGCTAAATGATCTGTCTTTCGGCCTTACCTTTAATCCTTCACTAGTACCTCGCCAGCGTATACCGATAATGCAGGCGGGGTTCTATCTATCCTATTTAAGAGCTGCGCTCTTGTCGGTGGAGCTCTTGCCACTCACTACGATTTTTAGCGAGTCTCTTCACCTCTTGATACGACACGACACCAACTCCTTCCTTGATCTGCCTGTCGTAACTATGTCTCGGTCTCCCTCTCCCCCTCCTTCCTTCTATCTTCCCTTCTATTATAATGTTCATAAGTTCGTCGTGTCGTATCAAGTGCCCCAACATTTTTCCCCTTCTGTCCTCAATAGTTCTAATAATTTGTCTTTTTTCCTTAACCCTAAGCAGGACCTCTTCATTGCTAATTTGATCCCCGGCAGACGCAGACGGTTATCATTCCATTATTACCCATTAAAAACCTAATGACAAAGCATAGCTATAAAAGTCATTACTAATGAAGAGTTTTACCATGATGCTCAAAATTAAAATATTACCTTAGTTCACATAGACATATTCACGTAAAACACTCGGACGTAACGATAGACGATCTTATTGTAAATCTAGCTTACTAGTGACTGCTGTAAGGTACTAAAACGAAACTCAACCTGTGATATGAGAGCAGATAAGACCAAGATATGCTACAAATCCACCATGATATGAGTGAAGAGTGGATGAAGGACTGTTGCTATTTCCGTGTACGTCAGCGAGTTCAAACCATCCGACGCCATCCTCTCCTTGGCTACTTTCAACTTTTGTCTTCCGCTTCTGAAATTTAAACAACAATAAATTGGTAGGCGAGCTGAAGCGGCAGTGGACTGGTTACATAGCTCAAGGAACCAACAACCGATGGAGAAGAAAGGTTATTGAATGGCGACCCCGTACGGGTTAACGCAGTGTAGGACGACCCGACACTAGATGGAGTGACGATCTCAAATGCATTGGAAGGAGTCAGTGGATGCAGGTGGCTCAGGTGAAAAAGTCACCGAGAAAGTGTCTATAGGGTTTGTATATAAAGCATAACATATATGGTGAAAAAATAATACAATAAATAATAAATTATTAGTAAATATATAGTTAATAACAGAGTAAGTACATTTTAATTTGATTTCACAGCAAAATCTTTATTCTAAAACCAAACTAACAAATTTAAGTAAAAATTATTATCAACGTACCCCCCTGTTCATAAAACCATCAAACCTATTTTAGCTATGGAACTGTTTTGTCTCTTTTTTTGTGCTAATTTCTTGTTTATAATTGTTATAGTTAATGTAGATTTGTAGCAAGTTTTAGGTTTTATTAATAAGGGGTTAGTCCGCTAATGCATTTTATAAATAATGAAACGTTATACAATTTTTGGTTTAAAATTTTATGCAAGTACAAATTATTGACTCTTGCGCCACCTACCCACTTCTATCTGTTTTCCTTTAACCAATAGTTATCTGTAAGAGATTGTCCTAGCGATAAAACTGCCTTTTGTACCTTTATGTATATATTTTAATCTGTACTTTATGTTACTGTCATTATCATCATCATTTTTATTATTATTATAGCTTTTTATCCACTTCCGTGGTCCCCAAGGGTAAAAGCCTCCTCCATCTTTTTCCACTTCTCCTTATCTATAGCAATACTTGTCCAGTTTTTTCCTGCTATCTTTATTATGTCACCTGCCCATCTCTTTCTTTGTCATTAATCATCATCATATCAGCCCTTAACAGTCCACTGCTGAACATAAGCCTTCCCTCTTGCTGTGTTTTGCCAGTAGTTGCCACGTTTGGCAGGCGGATTGGCGACTGCAGTCAAGCTTTAGAGATGTTTTAAGAGGGACACTGCTGCCTATCCCTCGCCGTCCCTTAGTTGCCTTTACAACACCGACGGGAAAGGAAGAAGTGGCCTATTTTATGCCGGGACCACACGGCCACTGTGGCCACTATGCTACTATATTTCACTTGAATTGTTCACTTATCATTGTGTATTTTTATGTTTCTGGTGCAATAAAGAGTTAAATAAATAAATAAAACGTCAATTTTTTTTAAATTGACCGTTAACGCTTGGACGTAGCGCATTGTTGACTCACTGATTCCCCACCAGCATATACTGACAGCGCACATGAGGCTACAATTCCATCATCATGCATTAACACCTACCCTTTATGTTGAGATTTGTGAGAAACCATGTGATAGCGACTCGTCTCTGGCTCAAATCTGGACATCTTCAGACCCTTGGCTTCGAGACGTGCGTAGAAATCGTCATCTTCGCCGCCCCATCCAAAATATTCGTTGCTCATCCCATTTACAGCTTTATACTGGTTAGAAGCAATAGCCACAGCTCCGCCAAAAACATTTAAGTATGGTAAGACATATCTAGAATAAAAAAAATACATATATTTATTACATAGATCATTATATCATATATCAATTACATACAAAACTCAAAATTCTTTATCAGTCAACCTTTTCGAAAACAGAAATATAATTGTTGTATCAGCCACCACTGCTAAAAATAGCCTTCCCCATAAGGAGGGTTTTGCCAATAGTTGCCATTCTTGGCAGGTGGGTTGACAACCGTTTTAGCTTTTGGTGATGTTTTTAGAGGAACGCTTCTGTATATATATATAATTTTTTAAAGTGTTCTCTAACACACACTAAAATCTAGTAGGTGCATATATTATGTAAATACATAAGGCTGTATTATAGTCCCTTGATTAAAAAATTAAAAGCAATAAAATGTAAAATATAAATAAACAAATTAAGCTATCAAATTAACTACATTCGCACTAACCTTGATACAAACTTAATTATCACACAGCAAGGTCTATATTCATTTTTATAGTCGAGGTAATGAAAGGAAAGGATGACTAAGTTTGATACAATAATATTTTATAAGTGAAACATAAAGTGTGATCGTCTACTTACATGCCAAAAACAAATAGTGACATAACTCATGTGTCTACAACTACTGGCTTGTGAAATAAAAAAAAGTGTTCGAAAAGTTTCACACCAGTAAGTTCGGTAAAAATGTGTGGAAATGATAAAAATCATGCATTACATAAATTGAGGTAATAATGCTAAATTTTTTTTTTTAAGTTACAAATAAAACCAACACACTGATAATTTAATAAACACAATACAGTAGATATAGCAAGAAATGTGTGTACGGACAATGGTTTTCCATAATTTGGGGGGAAAGGGATTGTTAGTAATGGAGACTGAGAATCCTATTGCTAGCAATATAGCCAACTAGGTCGCCCTCCTCCAGTTCTCCCTGGAAACTATCATGATTAATTCCTGATGAATTCATCATGATGGGCTAACTGGCCTGTTTTCATTCTCATCTATCACCCTTCACTGGTGCTCCGTCAGCGTATCCTGTTAACGCAGGCGGGGTTACCGTACCATTTTTACCAATAAAAAAAAAATGGTCTTCCATTCTCACTGACTACCCTGCCTAGACCTCAACCATATAACATTAAAGGACTGATATAAATCTTAACTTTTTCAACGTTGATATAGCATAATACCTTTTTTATTCTTATTAAATAAGTGGTATATTGTCAATTCACTGCCATATTGGGATATCAATATTGGGACCATTCAAACCAAAACACAGCCATGCAAACACAACCATTTTATGATAGAAATTGTGAAAGCAAACTTGTTTACTACCTCATAGCACCTTAATATCTTCACTAATAATCATGAAATTTGGTATTCACATAGTATTTGCATATAGGTTACTTTTTATTGCAATCATATGGATAAAGTCATGGGCAACATAAAATATACTATTGGTTACAATTCTTACCTAAATTTATTAATACTGGAGGACATATGTCGTGGTTGTTTAGTACAGGCGTAAAGGTTTCCTGGACGTAATGGCAGCAAATCTACATCGTGAAGTATTAGACATGGGTATCCTGAGCGCATGGCTGCTAATGCACCAATATTCAGGAGTTTAGCTCTGTTGAACATCCGTGAATCAAGCTGCTCAACTACATATATGCGATAGTGAATGCACTGATGATGTAGGAATGTGTGCATGTATACTAGAAAACCACGCAACTGTTCAGCTCTGTTCCTGAAATTAGAATTGTCAATATATTTAAAAAATTTGAAAATGTTTTAATGATTATTAAGAACTATGATTTGTTGGTTTTTTAATAATTGACATATTTTCATAATAAATAATCTTGATAGGGCTTTTTATTAAAAAAAAAAGTTAATACTAAGGTTTTTGTGTTAATTGAAAAATTTTTTTTAATAGATTTACTTATGACCCACTTTATAGAAAGTGGTAATGGTTACCTATAAACATAAACAACATACAGATGCTGTCTATAGGCAACAATCATGATACATGGTAGGATATACTGTGAAGACTCTACTGATAATAATTCTCTCATTTAACATTTTTTTAATGAATGATAATGTAATGTTAACCCCACCTGTGCTAACAGTATACACTGGTGGGACACTAGTGAGGGATGATAGATGAAAAAGAAAAGGTAGGTCAGTTAGCCTGCTGTGATGAACCTGGGGGGAGAAGGGATTGTTACTAATGGCAGCTATCAGTCCCATTGCTAGCAATATACCCTCTCAGGCCAACCTCCTCATGGTCCCCCCTGGAAACCATCATGCTGAATGCCAGGTGTATCCATCATGATGGGCTACCTGACCTACCTTTTCTTTTTCATCTATCATCCATCACTTGTGCCCCACCAGTGTATACCGTTAGCACAGGTGGGGTTTACATTACATTATTATCTATACCGTGATGAATACACCTGGAATTCAACATAATGGTTTCAAGGGGGACCATGTGGAGGTCGACCTGACAGAGTATATTGCTAGTAATGGAACTCATAGTCTGCATTACTAAAAATCGCTTCCCCTTTCCCCCCTCATTCACCAGAGGGAGACTTTGTACAAAAGTCGATTGCTTGGGTACCTCTGTCCCATTTATGTTTCAACCATGATGCAGTTGTGATTGCATGGCTGTGTTTCGGTTTGAAAGGTGGGATATGGCGTGAATTTACAGGGTACAGAGGAATAACACCTGAGTCCTCAGGAATGGCAACGCATGGGGTATCATGGGCGAAACAGTATACTCTATTATGTCCATGGTACTGCTCATGTCTATAGACGACGGTTACCACTTTCCATCATGTGGGCCGTCAGCTTGTTTGCCATTCTAAGTAGTATAAAAAAAAATTAAAAAAAATTGACATTTCTTCATTTATCTTAATTATTAAAGCATACTAAGTTTACATTCATACCTATATGGAACTATAATGGCCGTGCTAAACCTGGGCTTGCATTCTGAAGGGCTGTATTCTCCACCTTCTTTTATTTTATGACCTTCAACTAAGTCTCCATCGACTAAACTTATGGATAATGTAGTATCATCAAATAATAAATTGTGATATTCACAATGAAGGACGGCGGGACTCGTGAAATTCTCGGCGGTTTTCTCGAATAAATTACTGAGAATATCATTTTTTTCTATATATTCATAACTTCGTCTAGCATTCATATCGGGATGCAAAAATATAATCAACATTACAATAAAAATTCCGCAACATAATATATTCCTTTTCCATGCATGACGCATCGCCACAAGTTAACTACTGCAAAATATACTATTTTATCAATTCTTACTTTATTATTATAAAAATAGACATATTATTAAATAATTATTGATTTCGAAATTGAAAATTTGAAATTTTTGTTTGTGATTATGTAGATAACCTTTTTTTTTTTTTTTTAGTACGTTTGTTCCGTTTGGAACAGGCTAAGGTCGGAGACCATGCTGCCTAGTCTTCAAAAAGATAATTTGTCTGGAATTTTATTTTTCTAATGTCGCTTCAATTATTGTCATAATCTTCAATATTTCATTTGTCAAATCCGGTAAGTACATTTTCATAAATATCTTTTCTTGAGTTTTCTTAAACCAGTGGATTTATCAAATTAAAAATAAATAATTATAAAAAATCATTGTCTTGCAATTCAATAAAAGTATTCTTATAGCTCCTTGAATGTTGTAGTAATATAAGTGAAAATAGCTTTGAAACAAGAAGGAAATCTTAAGAGAAGCGGGATTGAGTGCGGGATATTTTCGGGTTTTTTGAAGATAATCCTAAGTTCTTCAAACATAATGTGTCTTTGAATGACAAATTCAGAGCAATCAAAAAAAAGGTGATGTAGAGATTGGGCTGTATTTGAGTTACACCATGTGCATGATGAGGAAGCGATCATGCCCATTCGGTGCAGGTGTTCGTTGAAATGTCCGTGGCCGATTCGTAATCTACAAATATTGGTGTAAAATTTTCTGTTTGTGTCCTTTCCTTTGCAGAACCACGGTTTTCCAATACGCCAATTAATTTTGCGGTACCATTTGCCTTTAGTCTGTAATATTTGAGTCCAATGCTCCTCCCATTTAGTTGTAACGATTTTATGTATTCCAATACTACAATCTGAATAACAAAGGGGTAAATCTTGAACACGAGCAGCACTTGAATTAATAATTTTAGCCAAAGTGTCTACTTGTTCATTCCCAAACACTCCAATATGTGAAGGGGTCCAGATGAAGATAATATCTTTTCCATATATAGTACAGAGATGATAATATTTATTACGAATTTCTTGAATTAAGTAGTTTGATGATGAAATGAATGTGTTATTTTTTAATGCCATAAGAACACTCATACTATCTGTAATTATAATCCATTTCGAATATAGTACCTGTTTTTCTATGTATTCTAATGCTAAAAATATAGCTTTTGCTTCTGCTGTGTAAATACTAGCCAAAGTTGAAATTTTATAACCGTGACCAAATCTATTTGACAAATCGTAAAAAGCCACTGAAGTGCTAAGTGCATTTTTGGAACCATCTGTATATATCTGCCTGTAGTCAATAAATTCTGATAAAGTCTCATACATATCGTGCTTTTCTTTTATGTCTTTACGTATAACAATTTTGATCTTACAGAACTTACTCTCATAAAGGCCATTATAACAAGGAAGTATCTTACTACTATAGATGTTATATTCATCTCGTAAATTCAAATCATTGACAATAGTTTTATTCAAAAACATAGAAATGGGGCAATTTAATAATTTGAGTATGAGTGGGTTATTGGAAACTGAAAAAACTTTGAAGAGAAATTTGAGTTTTAGGTATTCGAAACGAAGAAGGATAGGAGGCAAATTACATTCTACTTGCATTGAGATAATTGGAGAAGTATACATAGCACCTAAAATAAGTCTTAAATTCATATTTTGAATTTTTTCGAGTTTTTCTACTAATTTATGTTCTGAGGCATAACAAAAGAAAGCGTAATCAAAATTACTTCTAACAAGAGATTTGTATAGTAAAAGGATAATTTTAGGATCAGCTCCCCAGTTACGACCAATTACAGATCTTATTATATTAGTGGCTCTTAAAGCACGATCTACTAAGCAATCAACGTATAGATCCCATTTTAAATTTTGATGAAAAATTACCCCCAGAAATTTAACGCTACAGTCTGTTGGAAGAGTTTGATTATTATATATAATATTCATTAATGGAACATATTTATGAACTTGATGAAAAACAACTACTTTACTTTTGGTTAAACTAATATCGAGGGAAAGAAGAGAAAAATATTTCTCAAGTCTTTTTAATGACTCATTTAACACTAATTGCATATCAATAATATTCTTTCCTTTTATATAAATTAATAAATCATCGGCAAATTGCAAGTTGTTCACACTGTTTCCTAAAATTGAATTAAGTTTATAGATATATAAAATATATAGTAGCGGGCTTAGAATACCACCTTGACATACTCCTTTAGAGCTTAACCTAGGTCCTATTAATTTACTATTTACTTTAACATACACTTCTCTATTACTAAGAAAATTATAAATCCATTCGATAAGTTTCATTGGAAGAAATGAGGATAAAATCGAAGATAGAACTGTTAAATTTACATTGTTAAAAGCTCCTACGACATCTAAAAAAACAGATAGAACATATTCATCGTTATTCAAAGCAGTACTAAGGTCGACATAGAAGTTCGCTAAACTTTCGCGCGCTGAATATCCACGGCGAAAACCAAATTGATTCGATGGTAATATACTATTACTTTCAATAAAGAACTCTAAACGCTGTTTAATTAATTGTTCGAATAATTTGCCTGCACAGGACGTCAATGTTATAGGTCTATAGGAGTCGAAATTTGTAGGATCTTTACCGGGTTTAATTACTGGAATCAAACAATCCATTTTCCATTCTGGTGGGATAATACAGTCCTTCCATAAATCGTTAAAAATTTGTAAGAGTTTAGTAAGGTTTATTTTATTCAGCAATCGAAACATATTGTATGTTAAGCGATCAAGGCCACTAGCTGTATCTTTTCTAGATTTTACTGCACTGGATATTTCATCAATTGAGAATGGGTCAGTGAGAAATTTTGGGCATGAATTAACAGAATTAAACTGTTTGTCATCAAAAGGTGAGTGTACAAAATCAGGAGTATATTTGCGTAAAAAATCATTGACCCATGATATATCTTTAAAATGATTTTGACGATGTTTTGAATTTAGTTTTCTCATATTTTGCCAAACAGTGGAAATTGGTGTTAATCTATTAAATTTGGAACAAAATTCCTGCCACCCCTGTTGTCTTACTTGCTTAATTACTAACTTTTTAACAGCTTGAACTCTTTTAAAATTTATGTAATTATCGAGAGTTGGATTTTGTTTAAACCTAAGGTAAGCCGCTTTACTATCATTGACAGCTGTCGCACACCTGTTATTCCACCAAGGTACTGCAATATGTTTGTGCCTCTTTGAAGTATTTGCACCGCTATTTGATAAGTTCCTACGTGGAACTGAACGTTCCACAGCTGTCAAAATAATTTTACAGAACCTATTGTAATTGTTTAAGGGTTCATTGACATCATACTCGAAATCCAAAAGTAATCGATTAACAGTTTCAGAATAAAGATCCCAATTAACGAGACGTAGGTTTATACGATTTAACAAAAGTTTATTAACTTCATCTATAGGAGCATGTTGTTCACCTGACGGAGTTGATGAAGAGTTCTTTGTGTTTATTTTAGTAAAAGTCGGCAGGTGATAACTTCCTAACGGATCATCATGAACCGACCACTCGCATTTTAATGATATGGATGGGGATACCATAGTTAAATCAAGGCCATTGGGTCTCCAAATATGAGAGCCAACAGTAGTAACTTGCTTATCATTTAATAGTACCAAATTACATTCATCTAAACAATCAAGAATGTCTTTACCTCTTGTATTAGTGGAGGTACAACCCCACATAGTGTGATGTGCATTTAAATCTCCAGATATGATAGTGGGTTTAGGAAGAGACTCCAAAAAGAACTTAAATTTGGCTTTAGTAAAACTAGGTGTACTATTGGTAGGACAGTAAATACTGGCAACTGAATACCAAGAATTATTAACTTCAATACTAATAGCTATAGTTTGCAAAGAATTGTCGAAAAAAGAGTGAAGTTTTTTATATCTAATACTATAATGTATAATAATCGCTACTCCATTGTGGTTATTACCACAATCATTTCGTTCTATACAATAATCTTTAATTTTTAATTTGTAATGTGGTTTTAGCCAAGTTTCTGAGATGAGAGCAATGTGAATATGATGTTCATTTAAAAATTGTGTAAAAATATGTCGATTGCTCAGTAGGCTCTGAGCGTTCCACTGTATGATAGTTAATTGGTCTCGATTGAATTTTGTGAAATAGGTCTATTACCAAAAGTATCATATAACACATTCAAAACACTTTTAGTGTTAATAGATGTGTTCTTTGTGTTATGTAGTGAAATAAGTTTGATTATGCTTTCTATTAAAAGTGATAAACTCTTGTTATCAGAATTTAGAATTGAAATTAGGTCTACATTTTTTTTAGGTTTGTTACCCAGTTTAGGAAATATTTCAGTGCTAAGTATATCTCCAAAAGAAGCAGGTCTGAATTTAGATCTATTTTCAGCAATTTTCTTTTGTTTAACAGGGCATTGCGGTGATACACTTGTGTGATTTCCATTGCAGTGTACACAAATAGCGTTTTCCATTCCAGTTGTACAAGTTTTATAATTATGCTCACCTTTGCAGATGCTGCAACGCTCAGAATTCTTACAGAATTTAGCTAAATGTCCATACCTCAAGCACCGGTAGCATTGTTTAACTGGTGGTATATATGGAGTGACATTGTGGCGCCAACCTCCAATATCCAGATATTCAGGTAATACAGATGCAGCAAAAGTAATTGTCACGGTTAGAGTTGGCTGTAACACATATCCATGAGTCAAGGTATTTTTTCTTAAAATTCTTTTAATAGCAATAATTTTCTTAGAACTCGATATCATAGTATATATTTTTTTATTAGATATATTTGTAGGTACATTTCTAATAACGCCTGTAACTTCTGTTGAAGAAGCAGGAATACTGGCCTTAAAATGGTAGTCATTTAAAAAAGTTTTATTATTTAAAAAAGCATTGGCTAAGTCTGGCTTTTGAAAGTATACTCCGATTTTGAATTTATTTATAGATCTAAGATAAGTTACCCCTTTATTAAATCGTTTTAAACAGGAGGAGAGTGAGAGCAAGTCTCTGGATCCAATGGTTTTCTGACTATCTGAGGATTCTACAAAGACAACAAATTCTGTCCCAGGGGATTCCTCGGGATATCTTCTAATATAATCTGTGACGTAGTAAGGTTTATACTTATCGGCCTTATCAATTTCAGATTCTGAGTCAGTAGAAGTATCTTCCGAATATATATCCTTGTCATTACAAGGTTCATGGTCTACATCACCTGAATCGTCATCTTTTTTTTTCCTTTTTCTACAACTGCGCTTCCCCATGAATGCTAATTATATTACTGTCGCTGAATTTAGTGAAAATATAATATTTTATTCAATAATAAGAATTGATAGAGATAGTTTTAATAAATTAATAAAAAAAAATTAAAAAACCCGCTTGTTCTTATTCGAGTTTCCCGCGTTTTTCCCTTATCATGTAGATAACCTAAATGACAGCGGCTTGACAGGTACTGTCTATGTCATCATGACATTAGAAATTATTTAGTCGTAGATATAGATACTGTAGTATCAAAAAATTTTAATCGGAAATTGATTACACTCACAAAAACACTAAGTTTCCTGATGTTATCGCTGTAAACCCTATTATCTATTTCCATATGTTTTCGTCCATTTCCGTGCTCCTAATATTGCTTTGAAATACTAATAAGCTTTGGAATTAGCTCACAAACTAAATAGTACTCATTTTATTTACATATTGATTTGTATACCTAAAGGGTGAGAAATATTCTCTATCTATTTTTAAATACGTCATTAAAAAAAACAGTACAATGTGGGTAGTTTAAAATTATTATATTTAATATAATCAGTTTGTGGGTTTTTCTACAGAGAAACTTTTAGTTTTTTTTTTAGAAAACTACTCGGAAGACTTTATGACTCGGTTTAAAATAATAACTGGCAAAAAAATATTTGACGATGGAGACAAAAGACAAAACAATAATAAACGTTGCTAATGACACGTGTGACGATCTTGGTGACGATACGGAAAACGTAAATAATTCCGTAGAATTTATAAGGAAGTGTTCAACACAGGAACTAATCAATATATCCTGGGAACCCGATTGTTATAATTCCTTGCCTAGTAACAATAAGGATTCTAATAAAACGCCACCATTCGTGAGCATTGTGATAACTGAGGCTAGTCAAGACAACATGAATGTGACTAATAATACAACACAAACTGAAACGTTGCCGATCAATTGCACTATTGAAGATGTGAGTTTATGTTTTTATAAAGAATATATTCCTCAAGATTCTACATCTAATGAGGGCTCAGAGCGGTCAGTTGTCAGCAAACGTTATCGATGCAACTCCAGCGATACCGACAACAGGGACCATAGACCTTGGAAAAAAACAAAATGTACCGAATTCAGTACAGGTACTTCAAAATCGACAGAACCCAAGGTGACCACTGAACAGTCCGCTTCGTCGAGCCAATTGTCCAGTGCGTCTGATGTATCATTTAAGTCTATCCACAGCAACCCTTCTTTCAAGGTGCGCAAGAGACGATTAAAATCCGAATCGAGTTTGTTCAGAGATGCATTGCAAAGAACAAGAAAACCGCACAATAAATCGAATCAGTCGGAAAATAATTCTCAAGGTTAGTAAACTGTATTTTGTACTCCTCTCCTAGTCAGCATTATTTCAGCCGTTCCGTTCGCCGTGTGGTCCCGGCATAGAATGGGGCATCCCTTCCAATCCCGTTGGTATCGTAAGAGAGTAAGTAACGACTAAGGGAACGTAATGGTCCCGGAATGGACAGCAATGTCCTCTTTAAAGGATCACCAAATCCTAACTGCGGTTGCCAACCCGCCTACCAAGCATGGCGACTACTGGTAAAACCCCACTTATGGAAGAGGCTTACGTTGATGATGATTTCATTCGTTAATTATCCATTGCTGTACATTAGCATTTTCCATAAGGCAGCCATATCGAACGTTTCTTAGTTGCTTGCAGCCACTGACTACCTGCAATACATTTTAAATCGTAACTTCCTCTAGTAAAAATAATATTAACAGGGTCGCCATTTGAAAAAGCTTTCTTCCATATTGGTTGCCGGTTGTACAACTTTTACAGCTCATCGCCTCTTTACCTTGCTTATCCTTCGAGCTATGTCGGATACATTAGTCACGTAATATATACTTCCGATTAATGATCCCTAAAAACCAAAATAATATTAAAATTATAGGTACGTTATTCATTGAAACTATAAAGACTAAAAATACACTTATTTGTATATTGATACCTAATTCGCAATGATATTAGAAATTAATAATGAATATGAATAATAGGCTTAAAATTTATTATTATTCATGTTGAATATTACATATAATACATAATATTACATATAATATTACATATAACAAGAACCCTGGAAGTTTTAGCCTTCTGTCAATACAATTAAATTTACCATTAATTACTATTAATTAATTACCAAAGGGAGACTTTGTACAAAAGTCGGTTGCTTCGGCACCTCGGTCCCATTCGTGTTTCTGCCGTGAAGCAGTTGTGTTTGCATAGCCGTGTTTAAAGGATGAGATATGACAATGAATTTACAGGGTACAGAGGAATAATACCTGAGTCCTCAGGAATGGCAATGCATGGAGTATCATGGGCGAAACAGTATACTCTGTTATGTCCATGGTACTGTTCATTTCTATAGGCAACGGTTACCATTTTCCATCAGGTGGGCCGTCAGCATGTTTGCCATTCTAAGTTGCATAAAAGAATACATTTAAATGTCTTAATATTATTAATGTAGGCATTTTCTTCCACGAGCAATCAAATTATGAAACTAACACCAACAGATACGGCATTGAGCACTTAAAAAAAAAGCATATTTCCTCTTAAAAGGCCGGCAACACACTTGCAATTTCTCTAATATTGCAGATGTCTATGAGCGACGATAATCACTTTCATCAAGTGAGCCGCAACCTCCTTTGCACCCTATATTATAATATAAAAAAAATACGTTGCTCTTGTTCCAATTGTGGGGACAAAGGCAAGGTTTATTAATAAATAAAGTCACGGCAAAGCTGGCCTTATCGTGAGTGATAACATTTTACTCTAATTGTAAACATCATCTCGTCAAATGTATAATGATTGGTGACATCATCCGATCACGGCGACCACCCCGCACCGCAATTCAAACTACTCATTCAAGTTTTCTGATTTACTGTAACGGACGTTGTTGCGATTTAAAAATATCATGTTTTATTCAATCTTGAACAATATTAATTAAATATGGACGATAACAAAGGAAAGTTAACTGTAGAAGTGGAAATTGAGTATGGTTTGGACGTTAACCTGATAAATGATATGGAATGGTTCGTGTTAACAGGTGGAACTCCTCGGAAGGAGAGGATCCTCCGGCGGAACAGTAAAAGATGGAAATTTGTGGATCTGTGCACGTGGATAGGAAAGAAGGTAAGTTTTAATGATATTTTACAAAGCTTTTACCAGTGTCTTCGTGCGTGTGACCGGAATATGTTTACTGACGATAAAAAGTAGCCTATATGCTTTCTCATCACATATAGTACATATATACGACATATAGTGATAAGTCGTTAAGACACTATAAGATAAACAAATACTCACTTTCACATTTTTTTATACGACTTAGAATGGCAAACAAGCTGACGACCCACCTGATGGAAAGTGGTAACCGTCGCCTATAAACATGAGCAGTACCATGGACATAACAGTACACACACATACTGTTTCGCCAATGATACCCCCCATGCGTTGCCATTCCTGAGGATTCAGGTGTTATTCCTCTGTACCCTTTAAATTCACTGCCGTATCCCACCCTTCAAACCGAAACACACACAGCCATGCAAACACAACTGCTTCACGGTAGAAACACGAATTTATAATATTAGTAGGAATTTAAAAATATAACACAATCTATACAATACTTACCTGATTGTTACTATTACCGACGCAATGTTTCATTAAATCGCTAAAATAAGTAGTCATCGTCATCATATCAGCCAGTTCCTGTTCACTGCTGAACATAGGCCTCCCCCACAGACTGTCATAAGGAATAGTTCTGAACCACCTACATCCATTGACTCACTACAATGCATTTGAATGGGGGGAAAGGAATTGTTAGTATTGATTTCCCTGTAACTTGCAATATACCCTATTTATACCCAACCAGGTCGCCAACCTCGCAGTTCTCCCTGGAAACTATCATGGTTAATTCCTGATGAATTCATCATGATGGGCTAACTGGCCTGTTTTCATTCTCATCTATCACCCTTCATTGGTGTCCCGCGAGCGTATCCCCTTAGCGCAGGCGGGGTTACCATACCATTTCCACCCATCAAAAAAAAAAAAATACACCCTATCAGATCGACCTCAGCGCGGTTCCATCTGGGAACTGTCGTGATTAATTCAAGTAGAATTCGTCACGATTGACTAACTGACCTGCTTTTTCATCCTCACCTATCGTCACTCACCGGTGGTCCACCAGCGTATACCGATAGCGCAGGTTACCATTCCATTATCACACATAAAAAAATGCATTTGACTAAAATAAATAAATAAGTAATAATTAATGAAAAAAAAAATTGTTACGTGTAAAAAATACGAGTTTTTAATCAAAATTAATCAAAGTTTCTACATCATTATACCTCCAAAAGTACTAACCTACCTATATATACCTACTTAAAAAAAATTCCTTAAAAAAATAAGAGTAAGTATGTAGTTTGAAAAAATTTATGTCACCAAGACGGAATTACCTAAACTTTTACGAAAGTTTTTGCATTGTTGTAACTAAGTACGTAATTTATGATTTTTCTGTACAAAAAAGCTTTCAACCTTGACTGATGAAATTTGTATAAAACCAAAAAGGGTTAGCCTTTTTCGATTAAAAGAATCGTCAAAATCGGAGTAGGCATACCGTAATAACAGAATAGGTATATATAGATATAGGTAGTCATATATACTTAAAATAAGTACAATGTATGTGCACATAATTTAAAAATTATAACCTGCTTCAAAATCTGCCGCCAATTGGCGCCAAACTGTCAAATACACAATCGTCAAAAAGATGCAGATTCTAAAAACAGTTTTCTGTGGCTTTCGTATTGAAGTCCGGGTCACTACATCTTAAAGAAAAATATGTTAGGCATTTAATTTAGATCATCAAAATAAACATTACGTAATAGTTATTAATAAATATGATCCAGTCACTCAGATTTGTTTGTTTAGATATCATTTGCTATTAGAGGTATTATTTTAAAACTATACAAATTTCGTACCTATCTATAAATAGTGTCTAATTTTTTTTATACCACTTAAGTGGCAAACAAGTATACGGCCCACCTGATGGTAAACGATTACCGTAGCCTATGGATGCCTACTTTAATTATCTTCATAAATTTGTATTTTAGGGATACCAGTCCATTACGGGACTATACTCTGACATATTAAGGGACCCAATGGGACAGAAGGAAAATACGCACGTCGAAGAAGTGAAGGAACTACGCAAATATTTGGAGCAAGTTGACATAAAGCAATCGCGACTTGCGCGCGAGAACGAAATTCTACAGGAGCAGATGATGAAAATGATGAGGAAGGTAGAAGAGCTCGAGGGTAAAATCAAGTAAGTCATTAGCAATGTTCATATTTTGATAATTTTTATTCAATTTCAAATTCATCATATCAGCCTTTTACTGTTCACTGCTAAATATAAGCCTCCCCCTTGGAGGGTTTTTTTTTGATGGATGAAAATGGTATGGTAACTCCGCCTGCGCTAACGGGATACGCTGGCGGAGCACCAGTGAAGGGTGATAGATGAGAATGTAAACAGGCCAGTTAGCCCATCATGATGAATTCATCAGGAATTAACCATGATAGTATTCTGGGAGAACCGCGAGGAGTCTTGGTTGGGTATATTGCTAGCAATGGGATTCTCAGTCTCCATTACTAACAATTCTTTTCCCCCCCACCCCTTGGATGATTTGCCATGCTTGGCAGGCGGATTGGTAACCGAAGTTAGGCTTAAGAGACGTTTTAAGAAGGACGCTGCTGCTCATCCCTCACCCTCCCTTAGTCGGTTCTTACGACACCCACGGGAAAGGAAAGGGTGGCTTATTCTATGCCGGGACCACGCGGCCAAACTTTTCAAATTGCTAAGTGCATTTTATTGAATTGAGAAAGGACGTTCTAAAATAGTGTTACAAGAGGTCTTCTAATTACGATTTTATTATGAACTGATTATGATGATTCTTTCCAATCTATTATTTATGTCAAAATGGAAATCTTTGGAAAAACTGTTAAAATCTTAATTTCTTTTACTTCGTATTTATCCATACTGATTTTGTCAATAATTAAGTAGTTTTTTTTTAATAACTTAAAATCATAAATTGCTACCTCTTAACTTTACAGAAGTCAGGAGAGTAAGCCCGAGTCCTGTGCATTGCCTACTATACCTCCACCCCCGCCGCCGCCGCCCCCTCCACCGCCACTACCACCACCGCCGCCACCTCTGCCGCCGTCACAGCCGCTGTCCAAGCCAGTGGGACGGTCGCACACAATACCAAGATGCGGCTCGGCCCCACCAAGAATCACCGGGCCCAGGCTGACCATCACACCGCAGGATATAGCCAATGTGAAGTTGAGAAAGACTAAGGTGAGCTAAATAGTGTTTTTATATATATAATAATATGAAATAGGAACATAACCATGCTTTTGGTTAACTCTGGCACTAAAACAAACTGAGTTGACTTTAAAGACCGACATTGTTTGCCTATTGTAAGAAGTTTGCCAGGAATTAATCACGATGAAGGAAAGCTTGGATGTCAACTTGATAGGGTTGCTTAATATTGTAATTTATTTCAATGGAATAGAGTATTTAGTTAGATAACAAAATGAGTAAAGAAAACGTTATAAGAGTAGAAAAAGCATGAAGTCTATACATGGACCTATGTTATTCGATTCTTACTGCCTACCCCAAAAGGACTTGACAAGAAAATTGACACCTTGTCTTTCTAGTTTCTCAGTTTATTTATTAAATTAAGTGCTATTTGTATATTATTTTGTATTTTTACTAATTAGGTGTACTGAATAAACGAGGCTTGGTTTTACCGCAAATATCTCTGATACTAGTGGCATTGCATGTTGAGACAGTAATCAGACTGAGTCATATTGCAAATCTAATTAATATACACATTTAGATCATCATTATAATCTATCCATCCCCCACTACGGATTGAACATCTTCATATTATTTCGCTACAATGTACGTCCATCGACTGCTTGCAACACTTTTGACTTCTCATTTTATCTCGAGAAGGGTCGCCTGTCGCCTCACAATGCGATTAACTGCACAGGATTTTCACCTTACATAACATCATCATAACTGTCAAATTCTTATCGTAAACTTTACCAGGCATGTCAATTGTATGATCGATTATTTAGGATAATCCTGTCCGAATGAAACCGCCACCGAAAGACGGTCGTCCGCCACTGGTGACCCAACAAATGCTGCAGACGACGCGCGCTAAACTCGGCCGCACGAAACCTATAGCAGCCTCTACACCCAAGCAACAGTTGCTATTGTCAGAACTAGAGAAGTAAGTTATAGAGACTTACACGACTTATCATACTTATTTATAAAAGTTCTACTACGAGATAAACCTAACTTTTGTCCTTAAATTATATAGAGTGTCTTCATACAAATGTTTCAAGAAAAGCGGGTTAACTTTTTCATACAATTATGCGTGATACATAGTTATGAGTGTTTCCTTTATAACTTCTATGTTTATTTTATTATATAATTTTTACACCTTTTAATAAGTATAAACTCATTTTATTTATTAAATAATTAAATATAGATACGTCAGGATAAATTGTGTGCGTAAGTATATAGAACACTAATAAAAAAACGAGTCAGCTAATTGTCAAATAAGCTGACAAAATCTTGACCCGTTTTTAAGACTCGATGCTCTATCTATATAATCTAAACTTTTGTCCTTTTCTATCCTAATATGTAGGCCTCTACGTTATGCCTAAATTCATAACAATTGGTTGAGCCACTAAAAAAGGTAACAATCTCATTTCCACATTGATAAATATTAAAAAGGTTACCATTTTTAAACTATGTGACAAATAAATTGTTGTTTACGCTGTCACAGGCATGACATAACCTATCATAATCTCACTTCACCAGACTACATGGGTACATACCTCTATCTCACTACCAGCATTTCTACCACCGAGCAATTCGGTTTGCATGACTATGTTTCCATTGGAAATTTAATTTATATTTTTAAGTTTTTCTTAATAATATTAGGTTGGTGTGTTTTCATAACTTTGTTTTTAATTTTATTAAACAATTTTCTTTACATATATGCATGTCTTGTTTTACAGATGCTTGCTGCAGGAAACGTCAGTTGCGTCCCTGTATAGACGACGAATCGGCCGGAATTCTATCCGCAGTGCGGAAGAACTCCGCCCAAGGCCGTACCCGGCGTCCCGTTGTCCCCGATCCCCACGGTCACCACGGTCATCACACTCACCACTCTCATCACGTTCACCACGCTCACCACACTCGCCACGCTCCAGTTCTTTGCCTCGTGGAGGAAATATTGTATCACCTTTGAAATTCCCTAGTATATCGATAACTAATGTAATTTAGATATGTCGTTTTGTACTTTTACATAGACGAAAATCGCTTCATTTACCTAATATTCAAAGAACACTTTATTCGGGACTATTACGTCTCAGTTAGAAGTTATAAGATCTGAATTTAGATGACTTTTTTTATTGATTTTTAATTTACTAATGATTTTTATCAATATGTAATTCGTATGTACATATAATGTTAACGAATGTGTTTGTATTTGGTAATTGTGTATTACGTAAATTTATTGTATGTACATGTCCAAACGAATATTTAGTAACAAAAATGTTTAGTAAATACGTGTCATTGTAATTTTTGTATGGTATTGAAATAGGTACTTCATTAAAGGAGTATCTTAAGAGGGTCTCTTAAGATACTCCTTTAATTTAATCTTGACTAAGAACCCCAAATAGTGAACTTCTGTTTCATTTTATTATAATTAAGCGCTAATTATAATAGTAATTATATTACTTTACGTACAATTCTAGTAGAATATTTTTTTTATACCACTGACGTGGCAAACAAGCATACGGCCCACCTGATGGTAAATGGTTACCGTAGCCTATGAACACCTGCAATACCAGAGGTATTACGCGTCCGTTGCCGACCCTGAAGAAACCTCTTTACCCCCCCTATATCTATATATATAATAATCGGTATTTTCCCTGTTGTTTAATAAATATGTATTAAATTTGAATAACTATATACTAGTTAATATTGTCGTGACTTATCAAAGTTTTACTTCATAGTATTATAGTTACATGCCTGCTTCATCCGCCACATTGATTTCTTATACATTTTAGTATATACAGATTTATTGAATATATTTTGAAATATTTAGTGTTAAACTATGTGTGTTTATAGGCAACAGTTGGCACTTTCCATCAGGCAGGCCATTAGCTTGTTTACAATTTTTTTAAATTGTTAACAATTGATATTTATATCGTAAAAAATATTATCACAAAATAGCAAAGTGGGTCTCTTAAGAAAATTAATAATAAAAATTAGGTAGTACATAATTTTTATTTAATTAATCGTTCACGTTAACCTTCAAAACCGCTGAACCGATTTTAATTAAATTTTGTAAATATGTACTGTTTGCTCCAACTCAATATATAAAATAGTTTTTATCACGATATGTGACCTACAGGGTGCAAAATAACATTTGTCGTATCAATTAATATTTTTGTAAACATTCGACTTCTTTAACCTCATTAGAACTAAAAGTAGCTTAATTAGTATTAATGATTTTTATTCCTCAATCGCATTTTGACCAACATTTTTTTTTTATTTAATTCAATACTCATTTTTTTATTTAATAAATATATAGGCAAGTAGATTAACTACCTGAAACGTGACAGTACTCGAAACATATCACTTAATTTTGAGTTATACTTTTGTAAGTACTTATGTACCCCATAATATTAATGTCTAATGTGATTCTTTTGAAAATAAAATATGATTAAAATTGATTTTTTTAATACCTCCGTAAACCATCATTCAATGGCCGTTAACATGCTGTCGCGTACAGTAAGAAGCGAATGATAGCAACACCGGATATGTCCCAGGATTAGTCAATTACATTACTTTAAAAAACAAATCTTTTGGCAGTAAAATGTCAACGGACAACTTTAAAAAAATCATATTCCAGACAAATTATCATATTGAAGACTAGGCAGCATGGTCTCCGACCTTAGCCTGTTCCACAACGGAACAAACGTATTAAAAAAAAATCAAGTCGATCAGCGCAACAACTCTCATAAAAATTTGTATTTCTATAATGTTTTCGCAAATAAAATAGAAAATTGGAGCTTGTTTATATGAAATTGACCGTCTAACGATCTGTTGAAGACAGCACGTGCCACCTGCATTTTACTGGTATTTTAAATATACAATCGGGACTTAACACGATGTAAAAGCCTTTACAGGTAAACAATATCTACATACCTGTCGTAAATACGACGTGGTGCAATCTACGTCGAAACGTTGGTAATAAAAAAGCAGGTATGTAGAGACTATTTACCTGGAAAGACCTTTACATTGCATTAAGTCCTGATTGTGTATTTAAAATATGTGTAAACAATGCGAAAATTTTAAATTAACTATCTTACTGGTGTAATAAAATTATAACTACATAGAGGTATTTAGTAAAATTAATGATGAGAGGTCTTAATAAGACTAATAAAAGCCAAAATAATAATCTTTATAAATTGTGTTTGTCTGTCAGTATGTTTGTTTCGGTATCAGACAAATACTACTGCGTTAAACTGAATGCAGTTTTCACAATTGTGTTCCTGAAAGTCTAACTTAAAATCTGTTCAATAAACAGCTTTCTATTTGCAAGCCAGTTCGAAATTTAAATGAAACCTTTTATTAGTTACCGCCTTGGTAATCATGTTTCGAAGTAAAAGGTCATTTCATTTATAAATTACAGGACAGATATGAGTTTACATAGTAATTTATCTGGCCGCAAAACTCGACAGATATGGATTTTCATACAACTTTTCTGGCCGCTGCCCGCATGTATCTGGCCAGTACGGCAATTTTGATTTATCTCTTAACAATTTGTCAAAATAATGCTTACATTTTTAAGCATGTTTGAGAAAAAAAATTGAAGTAGTAATTTGAAAGAAAGAGAGAAATATTTATTTCTGTGTCATCTTTGAGACAAAAACTTTCTCATCTTTGTTATGTAAACATAACTATGAATTTAAACTGTTTTTTTTTTTTATTTATATCATCATCATTTCAGCTATTATCTATCCACTGCCCCATAGACTGCCATAAAGAACGGTCCTGAGCCACCTGCATCCACTGACTCCCTGCAACGCATTTCAGGTCGTCATTCCATCTAGTGGGGAGTCGTCCTACACTGCGTTGTTACAATCTGTTGGATTCATATTCAAATATGTTGTTTAAGTCTTATTTTATAATGTTGTATTTAAGTTTTCTTTTCTGATGATATTTGTCATAAATTCATGTAGTACATTCTATAAGAAGATGCGCAATAGTTCGCGGAAGTTGATTGTCGCAAGGACAACTTGGAGAATCAATTGGTAAGAGTCTATGCAAAAACCTATTTCCCCGTGTCCTGGCAATAAATGGGTAATTAATTGTATTATCTATCCTCACTGACCTTAAAATTGTGTGCTTTATTGATGTCTGGTAAAAATTCTTTAGTGAAAAATTTTTCTTTCGGTTTTAATTTCTGAGTAAAATTCTTGTAATGTTTTGAGGGGTTTTTTTCGTAAATTCTCACTTATCTAGGAACAGGGGAAATCGGTCATATGAGGATAAAAGATTTCGCTGAGCAGCAGTTTTTGCCAGAGAATCTTCTCTTTCATTACTTGGTTACCTGATATACCAAAATAGGCTTTGGCGCAGTATAGCAGAACCTTTTGCTTTATGGCCCTATATTTGGTTCCGTATATCTATGAATATTGGGTGTAAGGAGCACGGGACAGATACACTCTCCAGAGCTATCATAGAAACACTTAAGATGTTTGCCATATGATATTATGGCTTTGTCTATATAATTTTCAGTGCTCTAAGTTTTGTTGTTAATTTAGCTTGAAAGGCGGAGCAATAATCTTCCAAGTGCAATTCGGAGTAAAGATTATCTTCACCGTTAATCCAAGCTGAAACCGATCCCCCCTATGTTATCGTTAATTTTACTCCTATCCGTATATACTTGGAGCCAATCATTGATGTTTTCGTTAAGATCTTTGTGGTAGTTGATTATATTATATTTAATATCGAGTCTTTCAGCAGAATGAAGTAAATTGGCGACTGGAATAAGGGATTTTTACTCTTTCCCAGTTAGTACCTGTAGTGCGCGGTTTCTCTTTGTATAAGAAAAGCTCTGTGTGATCTTTCGCTTTAAGCTTGAACAGTAATACACCAGCAAAGGTCATAGTGGATGCAAAAGATGTTCTATGTGCTTTGGTAATTTTTATAGCAAACAGTCTCGTCATTCTGTCAAGGCACTCCTTTGATGGAGTATATCGACTGCATGTGCCTAGCAATTAGCAACGTAAAGGTTAATAGGCTCGATCACCGCACAATATTATTAGTTTAGAAACTTCAAAGTTAAGTCTCAATTGTGCTCTGGCCATTTTGAAAATCGCTTTATATAAATTTAAAGCTTTAGCTATAACATTTTTGAGATAGGCATTAAAATTAAGATCTCTTTTTGTAATTAAATTGAGACTTTAATTAACCTATGTTATGGGAACTGCAGACTGCAGTATATTAATCTTAGATTATAAACGTAGTACGTTATACTAAACCTATAATATTAACAGTTGTGATCATTTTAAAAACACTTTTGTCTTCAAAATTGGAATCATAGCTCAATTCTTTATCTGTGTTTTTGTCTTTCGACGTCTTAAATGCGGAATTAGTTACTCAGTCTCTTTTTTAATCTGTGGTTTGACGTTGATTACTGTGACGTTGACGTTTCGGCCTTTCACCCCAGGGCTCGTTCCGTCCGCTCGTCCTCCCTCTTTCCGAAATTTACCATGGCGGCTGGGGTAGGTAAAATTTATCTCTTTAGATCTTGATAATCAAGATTCTTATTTAATCAATGTCACTTAACTAAAGATCCTTTGTATTTGTACTAACTACACACCTATTTATTTCTTATAGGTACTGTACACTTATCCGGAAAACTTCCGAGCTTACAAGGCGTTGATCGCCGCACAATACTCTGGAGCCGACGTCAAAGTAGCTCCCAATTTTGTGTTCGGGGAGACTAATAAATCAGAGGAATTCCTTAGGAAGTTCCCTGCAGGAAAAGTGAGTGTGATGTTTGAGTGAATTAGTAGTTTCAGTGTTATCTCATACGATCGCATATGTTTGTGAAGGTGACGTGTATTATCTGCGATTTATTTTAGGTTCCGGCGTTTGAAAGTGCCGACGGAAAGGTTTTGCTGACTGAAAGCAATGCCATCGCTTATTTGGGTGAGTGTCACATATTATTAATTATTACTTTACACGGAATAACCTACGATATCCTCAAGTCGTCGGCAGACTTATCCGCTGATCCTCAGAGCCGATAATATCCCTAAGGTTACATACAGACCTAAATTTATATACATCATATATGTACCTTTGCCTAATAAAACGATGATTGTCCCACTAGTGGGTGTGAATCTGTTCCCACAAGAAAAGAATACTATCCTACTGTTACCAGTCTGACAATAGGCTTTGTACTTGCTTATATATAATTTTTATTTTTAACTATTTATGCAATTTATTTCCATAAGAAGTTATTTTTAATCATAGACTATTGTAACCTTTACTAAAAAACTAAATTGATTAAAGTACTCACTATAGTCCTAAGTTAGCAAGTTTTAAAAGCACCAAAATCAGTATTTTAGAGATTATAGATTAGTATAAATATAATCCTTAACTAACCTAAAATTCTCAATGACAATTGCCTTTATCTGTGGGTTAAGGTGTTCCTAAAAATCTGTTATGACATTTAGACATCTATAAGGCTGCTATACATACTGAAATCTCAAAAAAAAAAATTATAAATACATAATGATTTGAAACATTTCTTTTAACTTGTATTTACAGCCAATTCCATTCAAATTGTAACAATATCCAAATAATAAATTTTGATTTACCATCAAATGATAATAGTGATTAATATAAAAAAAAATTTACATGGAGATTTATCCCTAAAAGGGATGCTGCTCAACCCTTAACCATTTAGTTACCTCTTATAAAACCAATTAAAAATAAAGACTAGTCAGTTTATGTATAAGCTATGATATTTATTTTCTGATCTTTGAAAATGAAAGATTTTTAAAATCGGTTGAGTCATTTTGAGTTTATCCATTATAAACAGACATCATTTCTCTTTATAATATTAGTATAGATTTTGTTATAAATATGAAAGTAAGGTTTTTCATACTTAGTTACTCTAGATATTAATGAAATTTGATATTAAAATAATGTAAAATATACATACATATTAATTTATTTAATAATTCGCCACATGGTCCCGACATACAGAGGAAAAACACCTGTGTCCTCAGGAATGGCAATGCTTGGGGGTATAATGGGTGAAACAGTATACTCTGTTATGTCCATGGTACTGCTCACGTCTATAAGCGACAGTTACCACTTTCCATCGGGTGGGCCTTCAGCTTGTTTGCCATTCTCAGTTGCATAAAAAAAAAAACAGAATATGCCACCCCTTCCTTTCCCGTGGGTGTTCTAAGAGTCAACTAAGGGAGGATGAGGAATGGACAGCAGCGTCCCTCTTAATACATCTCTAAAAGCCTAACTGCGGTTGCCAACCCACCTGCCAAATGTGGCAACAACTGGCAAAAGTCAACCTTAAGCGAAAGCTTAATGTTCATACCTTACACATGAATAATGAGGTTCTGTTTTGAATTCTAGATGTGTATAATTTTTTTGTATACAGTTGCAAATGCAGCGCTCCGTGGAAATGACTTGCAAACACAAGCACAAGTGTGGCAATGGGCATCATGGGCTGACAGCGAGCTCCTGCCTGCCTCCTGCGCTTGGGTGTTCCCATATCTCGGCATTATGCAGTTCAACAAACAGGTATTTATTTGCTTTTAAAACTTATGCCAACAATAAGTTATATTCTCAAAAAGAAACATTCAGATAGCACCATGAGAGTTAGTGTGAATAGGATACATTCAACATATTTTATACTTCAACATATAAAAAATACATATAACAGAATATATGTATGTATATGTACATGATACAAGAGATGCATATAAGACTGGAAGTCTTTGGAATACTGAAAGGGACTCTCTACTCACACTCTATATAACAAAATCAAAGGGACTGGTTATTTTAATGGTTTATAAGTTTTCTTTAATCCAATTAAAAAATATAATTTTACAAAACATTTTTTTTTTATAAAAATAAGTGAATAATAAATTATATAACATAGTTATAATCAGTTATCTTTGTTTGTTGTTTTTTACTATGCCAGTATTTTAATTCTATCTTGTATTTTATTCATGTCTTGGAATATAGTTACAAATAGAATACAGTTCAAAAGAAGGAAATAGTTGCAATTTTGTTGAAATAGTTATAATTCTGTGGGTATTGTGTTTGAAGGTCAGTGACTCTGGGGTCTGAATAATGACGTATTGTTTCGCTATTGAGAATGGTTGCAACACTATAAAGTGTTTCAATATAAGGGTGACAATATAAATCAAATACACCTTAGCAATTTCTACATTTTAACAATTTTTTTTTATAAATTCACTATATACAGTTTTCACTGTATATATAATACACGTATATATATTTCAATAATTTTCATTTATTTTAATATTTATTTTATTTTAATTTAATTTAATAAGACTAAACTGCAACTACAATGCAAATTGTAGTAAAAATGTGCTATATGTATCTTTCTTTATTGTCAGATATTATTCATTTAAATTCTTATCCCATATACAATTGCACATTGTATATTTTTAACATTATTATCAAAACTTTGCATATTTTCAAATATATATATATTTTTTAATTATTTATTTTATAATCGGCTTTACTCACGTCACTTGAACCAATGCTGCTCGCGACCTGTGAACCGCGCTCTTGCACACTGTCTTACTTTGTCTCAGCATTTCTATCTTAATTCTCTTTGTCTCATACAAATATTAATACCAAGTATATAAGACCATTTTTATCTATTAATATTGTCGATTACAAGTCAGTTGCCAATCAAATGTAATATGTCATTATCAATCTCGTCTTATCAATCATATCGCAAATAGTTCCCAAAGAAATTGTATCAAAATTGGTCCAATAGTTTAGTTTTTACCAGAGGGAGACTATACAAAAGTCGTTTGCTTGGGTACCTCTGTCCCATTCGTGTTTCAACTGTGAAAGCAGTTGTGTTTGCATGGCTGTGTTTTGGTTTGAAGAGTAGGATATGGCGTGAATTTACTGGGTACAGAGGAATAACACCTGAGTCCTCAGGAATGGCAATGCCTAGGGGGGGTATCATGGGCGAAACAGTATATACTGTTATGTCCATGGTACTGCTCATGTCTATAGGCTACCACTTTCCATCAGGTGGACCTTTAGCTTGTTTGCCATTCTAAGTTGTATAAAAAAAAAGTTTTTAATCAAAATAACACTCCTATTGCTATGATTGAAGTCAGTTTTTTTTTTTTTTTTTGTTAAATATTGTTAAATTTTTTAACAATTTTTTTTATTTGTTTGCATAGAACGTAGAGCGCGCGAAGTCGGACCTGCTGGCGGCGCTGCGCGTGCTGGACGCGCACCTGCTGTCGCGCACCTTCCTCGTGACGGAGCGCGTCACGCTCGCCGACATCGTCGTCTTCACCACGCTGCTGCACGCCTTCCAGGTGAACACACTGATCATCTTTCTGTATCTAATATGTCTATTATAGACATTAGGTTATAGCAAAAATGTACACAGGCGGACTTATCCCTTAAAGGGATTTCTTCCAGTCAACCTTGACAACCTAAAAGGACCTATAGGGTTTGTAAATGAAGCATAACATATATGCTGCAATAATAATACGATAAAAAGTAAACTATTAGTAACTATATAGTTTTTTTAATGGATAATAATGGAATGGTAATCCCGCCTGTGCTAACGGTATACAGTGGCGGGACATCAGTGAGGGATGATAGGTGTGAATGAAAAGGAAAGTATTGTGATGAATACACCAAATTTTACTAATATTTATAAACTACTTGTAATCAGTGACTTTATCCACGTTATCAGGATAAAAAGAAATCTATGTCCTTCCCCATCCCATACAGTATGTGTATACCAAATTTCATAGTGATGGGTTAAGGCGCTATAAGGTTTAACAAATAAACATACAACCTCACTGTCACATTTATAATATTAGTAAGGATGTGAAAATGAGTTAATACGAGATTTAATTTAACTTGGATAAAATTTGGTAAACACAATTGGTAATTAGTGGCTCAGGAGTGGTCTTTATGGCGGTCCATGGGGGAGGTCCTCTGCTGGACATAAGTCCAGCAGTGGACGGATAATAATAATGGCTGAAATGATGATGATGATGACTAACATTATCCCTCTCCCAGTTAAGCATGTTGTATATTATAAAGCGGTCTATGTTCCCCACCAGCACGTGCTGGAGCCGTCACTGCGCGCGGCCGTGCCGAACGTGACGCGGTGGTTCCTGACGCTGCAGCACCAGCCGCCCGTCACCGCCGTGTTGCCTCCCGCGCAGCTCTGCGCTGCCACGCCCGTCGTGCCCAAGTTCCAGCCTCAACAAGACAACAAGAAGGTATACGAGCTAAGTCTTAATCTCCACTAAAATGATGATGACGGGTCCTGACTGATTCTTGTCACAACTTCAACAACACGAAAATTAAATAAAAAAGCAAATAGGGACAAAAATGAAGTTGTAAATTAACATAAAATAAGAATATATATATATATATATATATATATATATATATATATATATATATATCCAAAAACTAAATTTAGTAATATGTTTGATAGAAATGCAGTATTACAGCTGACCATTCATATTGCTGTGTGGTTCCAGCATAGAATGGACCAGCCTTTCCTATGGGTATGGTAAGAAGCAACTAATGTAATGTAATGGTTGAGAGATGGGCAGCAGCATTCCTCTTAAAACGTCACCAAAAGCTAAACTACAGTTGCCAGTCTTTGCCAAGAGTGGCAACTACTGGCAAACAGTTAACAACTAAAATGATGATGATTCTTATTAAACATTTCCTATTTAAATTTAATTATTTAATTCAATATATTTATGAAAATATTATAAAACCCACTTTTTTTTTTTGATGGGTGAGAATGAAAACAGGCCAGTTAGCCCATCATGATGAATTCATCAGGAATTAAACATGATAGTTTCCAGGGAGAACCACGAGGAGGTCGACCTGGTTGGGTATATTCTAGCAATGGTATTCCATTACTAATAATCCCTTTCCTCCCAAAAAACTATTAGTTTACTGAACACTTTTGTGTATCATGAATAAAATGGTTTTTTTAAAGTTATATCATGATTTAAACAAAATACAAATAGATATTTCATCACAAGCAAATGTATCAATATTATGTAAAGGAAAGATTTGTTTGCTTTTTTTTTTGTAATGGATATTCTCAAATATATTATGAAAAATTCAAATTTTTTATTTATTAAGCTACTAAAAAACTTAGTTCTTACATTCACAAACCTAATATAACTTCTTTCAGGACGGTGCAAAGAAAGACAAAAAGAGTGAAAAGAAAGAACAGGCACCCAAAAAAAAAGAGGAGGCCAAACCAGCCCCAGACCTAGCTGATGAGCTGGATGAGAAACCAAAGGAGTCCAAGGACCCATTTGATTCACTGCCAAAAGGGTAAGCATGCTAAACACGTTTCCGTTTATAGAATGCGATATACCAGAGAAATGACAGAATATGGCGGTATAAATACCATATTCATTAAAAATGACAATAATAAATGCATGAACAATATTATGGATATCACAGACAACCACTACAAACAAACAAACAAGCAAGCCTGCATATGCATTTTTGTTATATAAGCTATGATGACATCCTTATAGGTTAAAAACTTGTAAATTTAACTAATATAATAATATTCTAATTAAGTCATATCTGTACATGGAAGATATTTAAGAAAAATTTATATATGGGTCCTTAATAAGGGCAATAGAAGCCAAAACAATAATTTATATACATTGTGTGTCTCTATGTTTGTTCTGGTATCATACAAAAATTACTGCACCAAATTGTATGCAGTTTTTACAGTTGTATTACTGAATGTCTAACTTAAAATCAAGTGTATATTCCTATTGATACACCATCTATAAGTGGTTCATTAATTTTCTCATGCTGGAAATCAAAATATTTTTAAAGTCCTGAGTATTCAAAACATTGGAATTAGTAGTGATGTTATTCTTTATTTTATAAAATTTACACACTTTTAGTTTTAATATCTCAAATAACAATGCATCTTAGCTATGCATGGGTACAATTTCATACTGAATTTAATATAAAATCATAAGTAATCCATCGCAATTTAAAAAACAAATTATCTACTTATATAAGTTTCATTACAATGTATTGTATTGTATCAATCTTTCGTAAAAAAATCCTTGTTTATTTATTTCTTCAATTGGGTGAGCTTTACAGTCTCCCAATCAAATACCCAGGAAAGTATCAGTACAATATCACATATGGATATTATATGGAATAACATTATAAGGATTTAACTCACATAACAATAATAGAAATAATGTTTAGTAGAAGTATATATACTATTTAAAAATAATAATTTGTTACGCATTGTTTAAATTTACAGAACATTCAACATGGATGATTTCAAGCGCTGTTACTCCAATGAGGATGAGGCCAAATCTATTCCTTACTTCTGGGAAAAGTTTGATCCACAGAACTACTCTATCTGGTATGCCGAGTACAAGTACCCAGAGGAGCTCGCCAAAGTGTTCATGAGCTGTAACCTGATCACAGGTGTGTAGGCAATAATTATTTTGATATTTTGTCTTCATATCTTAAGAAGCAACTAAGAGAACTTAATGGTTGAGGAATAGGCAGCAGTGTCCCTCTTAAAACATTACCAAAACATAACTGCGGTTGCCAATCCGCCTGCCAAGTATAGCAACTACTGGCAAAACTCCCCTTATGGGGAAGGTTCATGTTCAGCAATGGATCAGCTGATATCATCATACTTCGTTATGAACTCTCTTAATATAATACCACTAATATGTGTCGTGTTGGTAGTGGGCATATTTTTACTGATTTCACATCATCCTCAGTAATCACCAGTACAGCGTGAGGGGGGGGGGGGGAAGGGATTGTTATTAATGAGGTCTAATAGACTCATTGCTAGCGTGGAATTCGACCTGAGAGGGACCCTCTCAGGTCGAACCTCCACGCGTTTCCCCCTGGAAACCATTAATTAATTCTTGTCAAATTCGTCGTGGTGGGCCAACTGACCTGCATTCATTCTCACCTATTATCTTCCACTGGTGCCTCGTCGGTATATACCGATAGCGTGGGCGAGGTTACCATTCCATTTTCACCCATTAAAAAAAATTACAGCGTGAATCGATGACGCAAAGCTACCATTCAATTTACACCCAATTAAAAAAATAAACTCAATAGAGAATCAGAGCCCAATACTAACGGTTCTCTCCCTACACAGGCATGTTTCAGCGACTGGACAAGATGCGTAAGCAGGCATTCGCATCTGTTTGCCTGTTCGGCTCCGACAACGACTCCACCATCTCGGGCGTGTGGGTGTGGCGTGGCCACGAGCTCGCATTCCCGCTCTCGCCTGACTGGCAGGTACCGTATTCACTGTATTCTGCACAAAGTGGCGTCACAGTGTAAGGAAAAAGCTTCACAATGGTCTATCACTCTTAGACATCTCTTGCCATACCACTTGTCACATGTTAGAACACAAATGGTCGCGTACAGTATCAGAAAAATTTAAGAACGCTCAGGTTTTGATTTTTTTTTTTATACAACTTAGAATGGCAAACAAGCTGACGGTCCACCTGATGGAAAGTGGTAACCAGTTCCATGGACATAACAGAGTATACTGTTTCGCCCACGATACCTCCCCATGCGTTGCCATTCCTGAGGACTCTGGTGTTATTCCTCTGTAGCCTGTAAATCCACACCAATTAAATTCATTAATTGTCCCTAGAGACTAGTATGATGTTTTTAAAAAAGGATTCATAAAGTTTTCTCTATGGTCTGCAACACACACGTGATGCTCCTAGTGTTGCAAGCATTCATATATAAATTAATATTGTATATAAGCTTTATTAGACAAATTTTTGATACTTTGAGTAACATTATTGTATTATTGATAATATAGCTTTTTAAACTGAAGAAAGTTTTTTTTTTTTCAAATTTATTGTATGATTTTTAAGTTTATCTATTTTTAATATTTTACTGGGTACACACAGGAATAACACCTAAGTCCTCAGGAATGCCAACACATGGTGGAGGATCTCATAGGTGAAACAGTATACTCTGTTATGTCCATGGTGCTGCTCATGTCTATTGGCGACAGTTACCGCTTTCCATCAGGTGGCCTATCAGCTTGTTTGCCATTTTAAGTTTCATAAAAAAAAATGTTTATTGTTTATATTATTATTATAGATATACTCATAGTAAGCATGTTCTACTTCCAGATTGACTATGAATCCTATGACTGGAAAAAGTTGGACCCAACCAGTGATGACACAAAACAATTAGTACAGCAATACTTCTCCTGGACTGGCACCGACAAGCAAGGCCGCAAGTTCAACCAGGGCAAGATCTTCAAATGAAGCGCCCCAGTGCCCCCTAGTGCCGCATTCGATACCGCCCCGCGGTAATCGCCCGCGCAGCGGTATCGCATGCCGCTCTTCTACTCGAAGGCGACCATCTACTCTAAGAGCGAACAGTGTCTTATATAATATAAACACTTTGTATTTGCATTTATTTTCAAAGTACCCTCAATACAGATCAGTCTTAATTACATTTTTACGGAAGCCAGCTTTGTAATAAATAAAATTGTTTTTATTTATGAAGTAAGCTTTCATTTTTATTTATCCTTATTTTTCAATACCGAAGTTGATCTGTCAATTTTTAAAAATACATTTTTCAATATTTCGCAATGATTTGTTTTTTTAAAGTGCACACTAATTTAGTCAATCCATAGAATAAGTATATTTTACAAATGCATCATATTTTGCTTTCTAAATTTTCCAAACTCTTAATGTCGAGGGGAAAGGGATTGTTAGCATTGGAGTTTGACAGCCCCATTGCTAGCAATTAGCCCTATTAGGTCGACCTCCACGTGGTTCCCCTGGAATCCATTGTGAACAATTGTTGTTGAATTATTCACGATGGGCTAACTGACCTGCTTTATCCTCACCTATCATCCTTCACTGGTGCCCCGCCGGTGTATACCGTTAGCGCGGGTGGGGTTACCAATCCATTATCACCCATTAAAAAAAAACATTCGAACGCTTCACTTTTTGCTTGTATTACTCATGTAATATTGCATTATCAAATATATAGGACTAGCTTTTACCCGCGAATTCGCTCTCGTGACCGTTTTCTCCATCTCATATAGTATGCGTACCAAATTTCATAGCGATTGGTAAGCCATTGAAGTGTTAAAAGGTAAACTAACTCCCTTTCACATTTATAAATAAGATTGTAGTAGATTTTTTTTTAATAATGTTTTATATAATTTTATTGCCGTATGGTCCCAGTACAGAATAGGCCAATAGGAGGGCAAGGGATGATCAACAGCGCCCCTTTTAATACATCTCCAGTCTAACTGCACTTGCCAAGCGAGGGAACCACTTGTAAAACCTCCCAAAGAGGAGGCTTGCTTAATACTCTATTCGAGTAATGTCAAATCCATTAGGCTTATTTTTTTTATAAATAACTTAGAATGGCAAACAAGCTGACTGTCCACTTGATGGAAAATGGTAACCGTCGCCTATAGACATGAGCAGTACCATGGACATAACAGAGTATACTGTTTCGCCCATGATACCCCCATGCGTTGCCATTCCTGAGGACTCGGGTGTTATTCCTCTGTACCCAGTAAACTCACGCCATATCTCACTCTTCAAACCGAAACACAGCCATGCATATACAACTGCTTTACGGTTGAAACACGAATGGGACAGAGGTACCCAAGCAATCGACTTTTGTACAGTCTCCCTCTGGTGTGCCAAAAGTACGTGACTATTCATGAAGCTAATATAAAAACTTGCTCAACAAACTGGCTGTGAAGAGGAATTAAAACGAAACAAAGTTTTGGAAAGCAAAAATTTATATATTTCATATTTCAGACTTTTGCCTAAACTGATAGATTTGTATAACAGTTACATTACGTACTTTCTTATATATTATTGCGTTCATGAAGTCAACTAATGACAAGAATCGCTAAAGCAAAATGTAGCGACAGACGTAGTTACACAGAAGTCGTAAAGCGGTATCGTTTACATAATTTTTAATATAGGTAGTTATGTCTGTAGCGATACACAGAAAATATTAAAGTGAAAACATCGAGATAATTGAATAATAAAAGTCAAATGCATCGTTTGTTGCGTATAATTTGCGCAAAAGTGGACCCGCGTCGCCTCAAAAGCGTTACCTTACAAAACAAATTCGTACTAGTGACTAAAAACATTTTTTTTTATTAATATTTATTATTTTTGCGTATAAATAGAGCGAGATGCGTGATATGCTATGTCAATCTCATTTATGCATTCGAAACGATAGTTAACGTAAGATCTGATTATATATACATGTATAATAATTTATCTGTTATCTACCTTTTGTATCTTATTGGTTATTTTACTCTGATTTTATAGACTATAGACGATCAAGCAGCTTGCGTCAAGCACGCATCTATTGTCGCTTATAAAACGAAACAGAATAACTGTCTGTCCTACAAACTAATAATTACGTGCTTAATTCAAGCTGCTTGACCGTTTACGTAGCCCATAACATGTGAAACGGCTGTTGCCCAGACAAGTGGCAAATGAATCCGTCGATAGATACGTTATTGCTTACACGTGCAAAAACCACGTTAAAAGCAATACAACCTATCAGGTCGATTTTCACGCAATTCCCCCTGGAATGCATCGTAATTCATTCTTGCCGAATTAGTCATAACAGACCAACTGACCTACTTCCTCACTTATTCGCTATATACCGATAGCGCAGGCGAAAATACCATTTAATTGTCACCCATTAAAAATAAATTGTTTTTTTTTTTCTTATGTTTACACTAGCGGAATTTCATTCGCCACTTGCCTAGAGGGAATTAAAAAAAAAATCGTTAGCTATATAGTTTGAGAGCCGGGAGCGTGTGCCTCTTTCTTACTACAAGAACTAAACTCGCGACGCGAGTCCACTACAACACGCTAGGTCACTACCTAAGTACACTATACAACACTACTATTGGGAGTTTGCACAGTTGTATATTTAGTGCTGTGTCAACGATTACGAATTATAATTTGCATAATAATTTTACCTTTTATATTGATAGTCGTAAAACCATTGCGATCCTAAGTATTGCCATTTATTTTAGCTTTATCGTAAACGACAAGGAATAACAACTAATTTTTTTAACATTTTAGAATTGTATATAACAAACGCAAAACGTGATTTATTAACTAGAAACATTTGAAATGTATGACGACTCTCCGATGCATCGTAAGCATGCCAGACCGTCTAGCGGATGGTAAATTAATTTATTTGTGTGCATATACAGGGCCGGACTTAGTGTGGTGCCCCTGAGCAAGTTTTATACGACCCCCATCCCCATTCCTCTGGTAACGAAAAAAGTTCGTCATCACCTTTTACCATGGTGCTTTAACTTCATCATCAGCTCTTACTGACGACTAAAATCTAATATGGCGCAATCTTTTATTAATCTTAGCACCTCTTACATGTCATTATACGCCACTCCTTTTGGACCTCAATACCCCCCTTTGATCCCGAATATATCCCACCAAAGGCCGGTACCACGCACATACACGCGTGGGATAGAACAAGACAGTAGCGTTCGGCGTCTCATTCTTTCACATGCGTGTAGTATCGTAAATATTTCTAACAACAAATAAATTTATTTAGCATTCGTCTGCTTTCCCGGTCACCATTTATCAAAATACAATTTGGTGCAGTCGACGTAAGGCAGCACTCTGTAGTTACATATACACTAACTACATATTTCATTCTTGTGGACGCGACCACACATTACAATACTCTTTTTTTTTCTTACTTGTCACAATTGGTAAACAATCTGGACATATTCATGTCACATTTATAACATCGTTGTCGTTTCGTTATATAGTTTAAACGACACCTCATTTATACACATTCGTCCAGCCAAAGAACATCACCCTCCTTTATATGACAGTCGGGTAAATATAAAATAGGCAAAAATAATGTAGAATCATAAATTACCATATAATACTGGCAATTTTGTTCATAATATTAATCATACGTACATAGATAAAGTACTGAGTTATTATAATACGTTTGCCATTTAAAAAAAGAACATACCAAATTGTTTACAAAAAAGTACAAGTAAAAAAAAACGATCTTTATCATACATTAGGTACAGCACACGACACACGACCGTCGCATATAAACCGCAATATACACTTCGAACAATTTAATAAACATCAAAAATGCAAAGGTCAACTGTGGCTAATAGGAGAGATATAAACGACGCTATAAATATAATATACCTAATGAACCAGGTAAATTTTACATCTCAAAAATGATAACATCTCGTTCCAAGTCAATAGTAGAGAATATAATCTATAAAACGTTAAAGTCGTGTCAAGGGGGAGGGCCGGCGACTAGCGTGGTGTCGGCCGCGGGCGACGGGGTCAGTGCTGCCGCCTGTCCGCTCGGTCGTGTCGCTCGTGTCGCGCATACCGCTCCTGATACAGATAAAAACATAATCTGTATCTAAGAATAAGGAATTATATAGGAGGAGTGATAAAATTATCAATTCATAGCAGGCTAGTGTATAGAAAATGTTATACGGCCATATAATTCTACCAAATTCAGATACAACCTGCTTGCATACTTTCTACATAAACTGTGTCAATAATATAATCTAGTAATGTAAAATTTATCAACAACAACAAATGCCTAAGTTTTTAATTATGTCTTTTACTCTTTCACTCAAAAGCTACTGAACGGATTTGAGTTAAATTTGGTGAGGGGATAGGTCATATCCTAACTTAGCACACAAGATACATTATGTAGTGTATTGATCCATGCGGGCAAACCCGCAGAATACAGCTAGACTTAAATATACCAATAAGTATGCCACTAAATGCGTCCCCATAGCCTATAGTCAATAGTGCCAGCCCCAGTAGGCTCGCTCACCTGATGTACGGACACGTCGTGAAGATCAAGATCTGCAGTGAAGGGGCGTCCCACTTGCACACTTAGCTGCACGTGCTCTTCCACTCTATCAGACTCCAGTGAGGATGCACTGAACAACCAAGCATAAGCGGTCAATTCATACATATCAGCCGTAACCTGTCTTCTTTCATAAAAGGGGTTTACCAGTAGCTGCCACGCTTGGCTCCCACAGTTAGATTTTGGTGATGTTTAAAGAAAGACACTGCTACCCCGTCCCTGAAGTTCCCTTAGTCGCCTCTCACGACACTTACGGGAAAGGAAGGGGTAGCCTATTTTATGCCGGAACCACACGGACGAAAAATAGTTCTATCCTTATGAATAAAACCAGTTACATTATTCTAATTTCAATTTGAAATGTGAAACCAATAAATACTATTTTTTATTTTGGGGGAAAGGGATTGTTAGTAATGGAGACTGAGAATCCCATTGCTAGCAATATACCCAACCAGATCGACCTCCTCGCGGTTCCCCCTGGAAACTATCATGGTTAATTCCTGATGAATTCATCATGATGGTCTAACTGGCCTGTTTTCATTCTCATCTATCACCCTTCACTGGTGCTCCGCCAGCGTATCTCGTTAGCGCAGGCGGGGCTACCCCATTGCCATTTTCACCCATAAATAAAAAACAATAAATACCTAGTCTTATGCAAAAATTACTAAAGAGATATATAGAGCTGTTTTTATTGTATTATATATTCAATTTTTTACTGGGTATTATTTAGTTTATCTTTAATTCTACGGTTATTACCCTTATACATTCTACAATTTTCTTTTACTGTCTACCAAGCGCGACAACTACTGGTAAAATCTCCCAAGGGGAAGGCTCAGTTAAAAGCTGATATGATAATAATGATGAAGCTATTGTACAGTTGCTCCATACTTGGTATTTTTTATTGTCATTATTTTGATACCTAACTGATTAAACAATATTGTATAATAAACAGATAAACTAATTTTACTAAGTAATTTATGAGTACATTTATCGTAGTAGAAAAGAGATATCAAGTTGTCTGCAAAACCGGGACTTTAGGGAGATATGTTCCTTTACTTATTTTAGAGTCACGACTCAAAAGTAATTTAAGAATGACGTACTTCTAAATTCGCAGATTTCATCATACTACCAGAAATTGGAATTACCTATTGCTTGGTTATTGTTAATAACCTACATTTACAATTTTACTAGATAGTATTGTCAATGCAATTATTGAAGTATCAATTTGTTTTAGCAATTTGTCAGAGAAAAGTTCTCATAGAAAATTTAAAGTTGTGCGAGATCGGTACCTAATGCGCCTCTGCTGAACGTCGTCGTCGAGCAATGGTAACTCGTCATCACGGGAAGGAGCGTGTGTGTGGCACTCGCAGCGACACTCTTCCGGCTCCACGTAGCTGAACACTACATCCCGCCCACCGGCACCGCTCGAGCCCCCCTCATCGACTCCAACACCACCGCCGCTCGTTGCCGCGCTCGGTAAAGTTTGGATGCGTTTTGGCTGCTTGCGCCTCTCCGGCACCTCTTCGAAGTCGATCCACTCTGTTTTAGCTCGAGTCTCGTAACCTATATAAAATATTACATTTCAACCAGTTCATTTTAAAAAAGTTTATTCACTTAATTCAATATTAACTTACCATCGCTTCGGCTACGTGTACGTGCACGCTCCGATCGTGAGGGGCCGGAAGCAGATGTAGTTCGCGGACGTCGTGGTAAACGAATGCGAATCTTGTCAGTGGCAGGTGATGTTGATTCTGTTGTAGCGGGTGGTCGAGGCACCTGTGGCACTGGCTGCACAACCGGCGCCGGGGATGACCGCGAGCCAGCACGCGGTGTGGTGGCACGCGGTCGCTCCACACGCGCCACCGTCACATCGCTTCGCTCTCGTACTGGCACCATCGGCAATGCAAGTGAACGCTCCAATGGTAAGGTTGTCGGTACATAGGGCAATTCATCCTCGAAAGATTCTTGTACAACTAAACCTCGTTGCTCTACGTCATTGACACTACAAGAAGGACCCGCATCAGAACTGGTCTCAGACTCTGAGGAATCCTTCGTTCCATCTTGAGGGCTTACTGTGCTCGTCCACGTACTAATAGATTCATTCGTCGGATCTGGCTCGAGCCTGTTTTCTCCTATTCTTTGTATATTGCTGCCGGTTCCCGTAGAAACGGGAGATATCCGATCGGCAATTGTAGTTATGTGTGTATCTCGTAGAGTTGGCGGGTGAACCTCTTCGCTATCTGGAAAACTATGTATCGATTCTGATATTTCACTCGTCACGCTCGGAGTTTTCGTTATACTAAATTGCGTACTAAACACCTGGTCCCTGCTTCCTACTTGTGTTGAAAATACAAAACGTTCTTTTCTTCTTCTCTCACTGGGCTGTTGAGTGGCACTAATTGCAACAGAGTCAGCTCGTGCAGTGCTAATAGAAGTTTCACTATGGTCTCGCTTTGTTGCCGAGCTTACATCAAAAGTTTGTTCTGCATTCTGCGTGGTGACTTTTTCTTGATTTGGAATATTTTCTGGTGGGGCCTGTATTATCGCAGTAACAGCTAATTCACAAACTTTTTCTCGTGTCGACTCAGTTGCTAATGATGGTTCCGAAAAGCGTTCGTTACTTGATTTCTCTGTTGGCGAATGCAATGGAATAATTATACTTCCATCAGGTAACACTGTTCGTTGAATCGGTTTTGAAGAAGTACGAACATCAGACAAAGGTTTTGATGTGGAGTAAGTATGTGGTGCGGAAGCTGGCCGAATTGGTTCATGATGTGTAACGATATCAGAAAATTTTGGTTCACTTTCGACTTCAATATTGCTAGTACTGTTTGTTCCACTTGCAAAACCAGTCGTGCTCGTACCGCTCGTACAACTACTCGTCCCATTTTGTTCATTAGGTGGTGTACGTAGAGGTATGTGAATTATACCATCCTTCGTATCTTCATAGTACTTCAATTTATCATTGCGACGGCTCCGCTCTACAGGTTGCTGCAATATCTGTCTCTGAGATTGTACAACAGGTGAATTATCGCGCGAACTTGGCGATGGCGATGTAGCACTTTTTCGTGGCGTCCTAAACAATGAAAGCACTGAACCCCTAATTTTAGTGGCGGAAGTAGGCGTCGCTGAACGATCGCGACTTCTACTACGTGATCTACCTTCAGTTAAACTTTTTTTTCGCCGAAGAGCATCTGATGGTGAATCAGGGGATGCGATTGTTTCCCGTGATTTAAAAAGAGAACAGAAAGATGACTTTCTTGAAACAACAGTACCGACTGGCGACGGTGTACGGCTATCACGAGGAACCTTTCGACGTGATGGTGTCGGACTCACCGTGCTGGATACTGTAGTGCTAGCGGCAAGTTCTGTTGGTCTATTTGCGCCACCCAGTATTAAAGTATCCGGCTTCTTCATTCCTTCGCATCCTATCAGTGTTCTCTCACTCTCATCTTCTTCGTCTTCCTCGTATTCTGAGTCGGGTTTCAGTCTAATTCGAATTATATCTTTTGAGCGATTCTCATTTTTTTTTACTTCTGGATCTAAAGATTCCCGCCTGTCTCTCGATCTTGCCCGTCGTTCTTCAGCACGAGCTCGATTTCTCGACTCTTTCCGACGTTTATCTTCGTCGGGTGTAACCAGTTGTCTCACAACTGGTTGTGGATCAGGAGGCACTGTAGGAGTAGGCGACGTTAATCGCACTGTATTAGTTACACAGGATGCAGTAGTTGCCGAAGGCGTTCGTGAATTCGCACTACTTGGTCTAATACTTGTGCGTTCAACTGTTGCTTCGGTTCGCACCTCTCGCCTATCTCGCGCATCTACTGGTGCTGGAGTTGATGATGGAGCTTGTCCGGAACTTAATTTAGCCATTTCTAATAAACGTTCTTCGACCACTGCAGCACAGATTTCTGGATCTGTTTCAATTGGCTTCGGTCCACAGAAAGATGTTTCCAATAACATCTTGTGCGGAGATGGAGATCTTGAAATACCAGAAACTACTGAAAGACGGGATACCCGACTATTATGGCTGAAGCCAGAAAGAGCTGAATGCGCCGAACACTGTGAGCCGACACTTGATAAGCGGCTCGTTCTTCCCGATACAGCCAGTAGCGCCGCTTCTGAACCTTGGCTATCTTTTCGTGAATGTCGACGCTCAGGATTTGCGGGTGTGGGAGCTATCTTGGGTTCACCTGGCGCTGGTTGAAGGAAGGCGAGTTCCTCTGTGGAAGATCGTAAGTCGAGTGCACCGTCTTCCCGAAAACCGAGTTCTAGGCGCGAACGAGCTTCTTCACCCCCGCCACTGTTACTCGCTCCTGCGAACAGCGCCAGTTCTGGGGAGCTATCCCGAGAATCGTGATGACTTGAACTAGAAGCCCTAGAGATATCAATACGTGGCGCCGTCTGCAGCGCGCCCGCTGATGGTGTGGAGTGTGAGCGAGCGCGCTGTTCGGGCGGCGCGAGCGCGTCACTCGTGCTGGGTGATGTCGGCACGACTGACGTCGCAGAGACGGATGGGTCTTCGCGGATCTCCGGAAGGCGTATCGTTTGTTTTGTTTCCGGGCTGGACTGTAATGTGATATGAACGCTTTCATCAGTAACTCGTCACCCTACATATTTGTATTGTTTGCAAAGGCAAAACAACTACTTGTAATTATTCAAAAAACTTTGCAAAATACTACTCCCAATAAAATAATTACGTACATAGCAAAGAAGCGAAGGAGAAAGTAGAGATACATACTGGTGGTCTCACCTCATCAGAGACGTCGTGGTCGAAGGAGGCGATGGGCGCAGGGCCGCGGCGCGGCTGCCGCACGGGCGCGCCGCTGGCCGCCATGCGCGGCCGCTACTGCCACTTCTGCATCGCGCCTCTATCTACACCACTCTCCGTGCACTACACTCTTCGCTCGGTTTCTCGCCCGTATTCTACAACACGGACATAAATTATGCAATTGTGATTGGGGCGAATTTTACGATATTATTTCTAATAAGAATACATTATTTCACAAACACGAGTATCTCATCAAATACTATTTCGTTGTGACCTTATATTGAACGGTCAAAGGTTCATCGACGCATGCTACCTCAGGCGAAAAAATGTGGGACATTTAAATGAGTAAGTTAGTATAACACTGAACTACCTATATCATGACCTGTTGGTGACAGATATCGATATCTGGGCAATCACAACACAATATTCGTATCGTAATACACTGTAAATATATTCCACGACAGTCGATCGTAGTGAATGCGCGCGCCTCCACGGGGCGAGCGGATTCGTTTTCGTTTTACATTGGAGGTGGTCGCGCCTTCATGGTCCGTGTGTACTGTGAGCGGTCGTGCTACATGGGTGGTGGGCTGTATGGGCCCGTGTCACATCGCGTGGACACTCGCGGCACGTACCTGGCGGCAGCGGGCTCGTCGCGCACAGCCGCGCTGCGAGCGCCCATCGAGCGCCGCGCCGCGCATGCGTCTCTCTCGGTCCCACTCGCCCCTCGCCCGTACCCCATTTACAGTGTACGTACATTGTACGAGACTCAGACCTAATCATAACCACCACAGATTAACTATTTGTCGTCACGCGAAATACTGTTACATAATGAATGAGTGCAATTCAATATCTAACTACAATTTTGATTGTTGTTGCGAAGCATAAGTTGCTTCGCGACTGTTTCTATGAAACATGTTTAATCAATTGTATTACCTTTAATATCACTCAAATAAAATTAAAGCGCTTTACTAGGTCTATCGATATATCTGTTTAAATTACTAATGCAACGAATAACTGCGAATATGATCTTTTCTCTAAACGTTGTATTCGAATAATTCAAAAACTTCTTTCAGACATTCTTTACTTATTTTAGGAACGCAACACTAAATTACCAAAAAATTATGGATATTTTCCCTGGAATCCATTATAATTAATTCCTGGAAAATTCGTCACGATGTGTCAAACTTTCAACCTTTACTCTCGACTCTCACTGGTACCTCGCCTTCATATTTCATTTTCACACATAAAATAAACTGTAACCTCACGAAAGAGAAATATTTACTTCTAGTTAAATTTATTTTATTATACATAATATTATTTTAAAAGAATTTATATTGCTTAGCTCGTTTAATTTATTTTAACCTGTTTGTATTGGTATAATCGAATAAGATAATCGTATGTAGGCGAGTAGTACATTCGATTATGTGTATTTATAAAAATAATAGTTATTCATTGCATTACATCACTAGTATAGATTTTTCCCTGTCACCACTTTCCATTAGGTAGCCTAATTGACTATTAGCACAGTGTCACAGACACACTCTCTGTTTAATTAGATATAAACTCAAAGGAAAACACACATGCATAACCTGTAGCTATAGGCATTGAGGGGCAATGCCCTATCTTAAAAGGCCCAATGCTCTAGCTTAAAATGCAAGGCCCCAAGAAAATTAGACAGATTCGCTTTTTCAATATCACTTAATTATGGCTTTTGTCCTACCTAAGAGTTCTTTTGCCCTACCTTAAACTTAGATCTAACTACGGACCTGTACACATCTTTACACCGTTACAACGTATTGCAGTTTAACCCATTCTAATATTACAGTAAATACGTCTTTTTTTAATTCCCACTAATAAATGTAATAAATGTAAAAATTTATTCAATAAAATCCATTTTCAACCGACTTCAAAAAAGAGAACTTACTAAATTCGGTTGTATTTTTTTATGTTTGTTGCCTCATAACTCTGTTAATTTTACACCCATTTGGAAATTATTTTTTATATGAAAGGATACACGTGCAAATTGTCCCATAGAAATTTTATTAAAATCCGTTTAATAATTCCTGGGAAATATAATACATTTTTTAATAAGAATATATTTTTGAGGACTAAGTCTCAGGCCGTGCTTTTTTTACTTTTAATGGATGATAATGGAATGCTTACCTTGCCTGTGCTAACGGTATACACTGGCGAGGCACCAGTGAGAGATGACAAGTGAGGATGAAGCTGGTCAGTTGGCCTATCGTGAGTAACAATAATTCAATCACAATAGTTACCAGGAGGAACCGCGTGGAGGTCGACGTAATAGGATATATTGATAGCAATGAGATTTTTAATTCCCATTACTACCACTCCCCTCTCCCCCCGCTCAAGCCGGTCTAGAACTATGCTTGTATGGCTGTGTTTCAGTTCAAAGAGTGCCGTTAACTATTCACTGTTGAACATAGCCCTCTCCCATAGGAGAGCTTTGCCAGTGATGCCACGCTTGGCAAGCGAATTGGTAGCCGCTGTCTCTAGTTTTTTTTTTTTCTGAAAGATGGATTATAGAAGAACAATTACGGGATACGGAAGTATAACGTATCAAAATGAAAGTGGTTGTTAGTAATGGGAAGTCTAACAGCCCCATAGCTAATTATATATCCTATCAAGCCAACATCCATGTGGTTTCCCCCCAGAAACTATCGTGGCTAGTTCTTATTGAATTCGTCTAAACGGGCCAACTGACCTATATAATTTTTTGTAATGGATGATAATGGAATAGTAGCCTCGCCTGCGCTAACGGTATACGCTGTCAGGGCACCAGTGACAGATGATAATTGGGGGGAAAGGGATTGTTAGTAATGGAGACTGAAAATCCCATTGCTAGCAATATATCCAACCAGGTCGACCTCCTCGCAGTTCCCCCTGGAAACTATCATGGTTAATTTCTGATGAATTCATCATGATGGGCTAACTGACCTGTTCTCATTCTCATCTATCACCCTTCACTGGTGCTCCGCCAGCGTATCCCGTTAGCGCAGGCGGGGTTACCATACCATTTTCACCCATAAAAAAGATGATAACAATGAAAAAGCAGGCCAATTAACCTATAGCGATGAATACAACTGGAATAGAACACGATTGTTTCCAGGAGTGACCATGTGGAGGTCAACATGACAGGGTGTATTGCTAGCAAAGGTGCTGTTTTTATGTGTATATTTTAATCTTTATTTATGTTACTGTATTTCACTTGAATTGTACATTTATCATTGTATATTTTTATTAAATACAATAAAGAGTTAAATAAATAAATCCCTTCACCCCCCTATATGCGATACAACTCGTGCGAATCCGGGGCGGGTGACTAGTTAATAATAAAAAAATACGGGCATAATAATTTTATTAACAACAAAACATGAGGTCCACCGCGTAGTACTAGGTACATGCAACATATCTCGAATAGAGCTAAACATTTTGTAGGTAGGTCTTAATTTGATTACATATTGATCAATAAATATATAATTTTATTTTGTTATATAATTATTTATTGTACCTAAATATGTTATTAGATTTATCGTGTGAACCTACTTTGTATAATTTATTATTCTATATATATTTATACGGTTAGACTGAAAGGACTATACTTGTAAGGAATCTTGAGTTAATATTCATGTTTTGAACATGGCATCTTCACCAAGGAACATAGACAAAATAAGATTTTTTTTAAATTTCGTTCACATTATACAAAATATCAAAGAAATAGTTCCAATTATAAAAAAAAATATTGATATAAAAAAATATATATATTACATTATGGTATAATATTTTTTAAAACACTGTCTCGCCTTTAGATAATTGCAAATCGATCTACATAATACAAGCATTTGTATTTATAAATATAGCTGTATTGATCTAAAGATTTCTTTATATTTTACATGATATACAGAAATCTTTAGCTTTTATTCGGTACCTTTACCTTATCTTTGGCTATTATTTGGTACTATTTTTTTTTAAAATTCGAATTGATTCCTTGATTAAAATTGTTCAATTTCACGAATATTAACTGAGCTTTGAATTGGAATATCCTTTAGATTGCAAAATTTAAGTACGTTATACTAAGTCCACGGTATATCCTTTCCGACTAACTTTGTATACTTATAGATACTTCGTTAACTCTATGTGATGCCACCCTACCCTTAACACCAGGGACAATTTGATCTAAGTTTTACATCGGTTAACAACAATAATGTAATTCTTTCACATTTATTATTGAATTCAAAAAGATCAACGAACGATACACTATCAAAGTTCCAAGCAACAGATCCGTGTATATTTTACAATACATAACTCTATAAATAGTTATTGCCTACATGACTATTATTTTCAAATAATTTTTGATCGCTCTATAAGGTTTATGACGATACAATTCGCTGATTAATATATGTTTAACACCAGTTTTAAATACAGTGGTAGGTATTATCACGCGTCTACAAGCTATATTATAATCATGCCTCTATTTCTATTACAAATCAACTACCATCATAATCGTTGATCACGATGTTTATTTTATTTTTTTGTTCAAAATGAAATTTTTATTACTTAATGATATTTCATTTTACGTACTTATTATACATAATTTATGAAACCATGTTTTTCAATATATAAATATAGTAGCATAAATATCATATTTATGCAGATATATGCATTTGGATTTATCAGTTAAACCGCTAATATATTTAATATACACGTGATTCACAATCGCGTAATATGTATTCAAAAATAATCGAATAGTTTAAGTCGTCATGCTGACAGTGCGCATAACGCTTACTGCTTGTACAATACGAGACGCTCTCACGACTCACCACTTGCAAATTGGACGCTCTCACGGCTCACCGTTTGCATGATTCGTCACTATCACGACTCATCCCTTGCATAGTTCGTCGCTCTCACGGCTCACCGTTTGCACGATTTGACGCTCTTACGGCTCACCGCTTGCAAGATACATCGCTCTCATGACTCACCGCTTGCATAGTTCGTCGCTCTCACGATTCACCGCTTGCAAATTTGACGCTCTCACGGCTCACCGCTTGCATGATTTGACGCTCTCACGACTCACCGCTTGCATAGTTCGTCACTCTCACAGCTCACCGTTTGCACGGTTTGATGTTCTCACGGCTCACCGCTTGCAAGATTCATCGCTCTCATGACTCACCGCTTGCATAGTTCGTCGCTCTCACGATTCACCGCTTGCAAATTTGACGCTCTCACGGCTCACCACTTGCATGATTTGACGCTCTCACGACTCACTGCTTGCATAGTTCGTCACTCTCACAGCTCACCGTTTGCACGGTTTGACGTTCTCACGGCTCACCGCTTGCACGATTCGTCGCTCTCACGACTCACCGCTTGCATAGTTCGTCACTCTCACAACTCACCACTTGCCGATTTGACGCTCTCACGGCTCACCGTTTGCGCAATTTGACGCTCTCACGGCTCACCGTTTGCGCGATTTGACGCTCTGACGGCTCACCGCTTATACGATTCGTCACTCTCATAGTTCATCGCTCTCATGGATCACTGTACTCGTTGCTTAGAGACAGGAACACTAACTCTCACTCGCACTCTGGTTGCTAAATACATTTTTTGTGCGCACAACAGGCGATTAAATTATTAGGATCATTAATTACTCAACAGACCTTTAAAATAGTATCGATTAACATCTTAACATCTGCTTTTATATATCAATTAGACTACGCAGCGGTGGGGTATCGTCCGAAGCATCGATCGTCTCTTAAAAATAGATACAATAAATATTTTGTATTATAGTGATTTTGATGTATATATACAATGTGTTCCGGCTGAAGTGATTAATATCAGATCTAATCCGAGTCGGAGTCCGAAGAGGGCGGCTGCGGGGCAGCGGGGGCGGCGGCGGGGGCGGCGGGTGCGCAGGGCCGGGCGTCGCTGGCGGCCGCCACCGCGTACGCCGGCGCCGCCTGCCCTGACGTCCGCTCGATGCCCACTCTGTACATAAAATGTACCGGCGATGTAATAAATCAATATCACACACCATTGCAAAAAATCGGTCAAACACGAGTTGACCTCACACGCCATGGGTTCCGTGCACCCTTACTAATATTATATGAAAGTGAATTAATTTGTTTGTTTATTTGTTACTTTACGACGTCTCAACAGCTTAACTAATCATTGAAATTTGGTATACACGTACTATATGGGATGGAAAAGGATATAGACTTTATTCTGGTCACGCGGAAGAAGTCGCAGGTAAGCACTAGCAAATATATAAATATGAGATAAAATGACCTTTATCGAATTTCTCATACGAAATAGATACCTAATATTATTATTGATACCAAGTACAATACGCAATTTCTTATTTTGGGCCATAATTGTAATTAGAAACTGGACCGAATAACTAAATTGTTTTTGGGGGTTGTTTGATAATTTCTCAAAAATAACACTAGTAAGAAATATAGTTGTATTTTACTTGTACAAACTATAATTATTTCAGATGTTTTTCTTCAAAAACTTCAGATATAAGAGGGAGTGGGGGTCAGTGTAATTCTTCTCACATTATTGATCATAACTGAAACAACTAGCCAGCTTAAATATAAATAAAAATCAGTTTCAAAATATACAAATTAAGCCCTTTTATATAATATCCCACTTGTACTAGTCGGTCTATTTAGATATTTTTGTTTTGGACCCAACGTTAATTTTTTTTTTTTCATATATATATATATATATATATATATATATATATATATATATATATATATATATATATATATATATATATATATATATATATATTTTCTATTTGTTTGTAAAATGTGCTGGTTCTTGTTTAGTATATATTATTTATTAATTATATTAGTTGTAAAATAAAATTACCGTCTATTGACTTGAAGTATTGTATGTATATTTTGTTCTTTTTCAATTGTTTATCAATTTTCTTTTTTATAAAAAACTACAATTGTCAATATATAAAAAGGTTAATTTTAAACACTATTCATCATCTGTTCCTATACAATATGTGCGCCAGTAATATGTAAAGTTATTTTAAATTTCAAATCGACAGCTTTATTAGTTGCTAAGTAAAACACTGTTACAGATGGGAGGGCGAACAAAGTCACAACATAAGGGATCCTTTATACATTTCGGTATGGAACCCTAAAAAAGAAACAGAAAAAAAAACAAATAAATATCCCAAACGTAAAGGCGACCTACGTAAATTTTAATTTCATAATTTTTTATATGTCCTTAGGCTAATTTTATTTATCGTTTCCAATTTTAATGACACCAAACAGATGATTCGATATCAGATAAAAAAATGCATCAGTCAGCTTTTTTGCCATTTTTTAATAAAAACCTACTATTTATCTGGTTTGAAGGATCAACTCATCTTAAAGTGTAATACATTATTTTTATTTAGATGTAGGTATGTGCAAATGTCTCGGAACGAAATCAAGACAGATAATACAAGATTGAATTCCACAAAAAAACCGACTTCTATTGTGAATAAAACAATTTATTTAAATCTAAAAACTAAAATATTGAACCAATTTTGATAAAATTTCAAAATGAAAAAAAAAAAACAATATTCCAAATCGGTTTACAACTGATGGAGTCTTTTTTTTTGTGGGTGAAAATGGTATGGTAACCCCGCCTGCGCTAACGGGATACGCTGGCGGAGCACCAGTGAAGGGTGATAGATGAGAATGAAAACAGACCAGTTAACCCATCATGATGAATTCATCAGGAATTAACCATGATAGTTTCCAGGGAGAACCGCGAAGAGGTCGACCTGTTTGGGTATATTGCTAGCATTAGGATCTTAGTCTCCATTACTAACGATCCTTTTCCCCCAACTGACAGAGTTAAAATTCCCAATTTGAAACAAAGTGATAAAACAATGTTCAAATAGTTTAAAAAGGTTTGCAGAAGGTTTTAGTTTTTATGAATAAGACAGTAAACCTCTAATAAAAAGCGTCTTTAAAATTCATTCAATCAAGCCTTTGCGATGCCCAATTGATACAGGTTGGGCACCAAATAGTTCTGGGATGGGCACGGCTCATCCGGCCCTTCCTTGCATACGTTTATAATATAGTTTTAACGGACTTTCAAAAGGAGGATACACTTACAATTATATAGATATATATATAGATTATAGAGGATAACAATTCGATAGTATTTTTTTTTATGTTCACCTCATAACTCCGTCAGTTCTAAACCGTTTTAGAAAATTGATTTTTTGTCTGATAGGATATAATTACAAATTGGTCTCGTAGAAATTTTATCAAAATCGGTCCATTAGTTTAGTTTCAAAGTCAAAATTACTATAATTGAAATCTTTTTTTTTTATTAAAACAGCCTTAGATTATATAGATAGAGCATCGAGCCTCAAAAACGGGTCAACTTTTTGTCAGCTAATTGCCAAATTAGCCTATTCGTTTTTTTATCAGTGTTCTATATATATATACACACACATATATATATATATATATATATATATATATATATATATATATATATGTGTGTGTGTATATATATATACGCATACAATGTATCTTGATGTATTATTATTTAATAAATAAAATGAGTATTTACGCATTAAAAAGATGTAGAAATTATAAGACAAAATATAGAAGTAATAAAGGAATCACTTATAACTATTTATCAGACAAAATTGTATGAAAAAGTTGTCCCGCTTTTCTCGAATCATTTGTATAGAGACATTATATCTATATAATCTAAGAAAATAATCAATAATGGGGGGAAGGGATTGTTAGTAATGGGGAGGTTAGCCCCATCGCTATCAATATACCTTATCAAGTCGACCTTCACGCGGTTCCACCTGGAAACCATCGTGACTAATTTATCGTTGAATTCGTTACGATGGGCTAACTGACCTGCGTTTTCATCCTCATCTATCATCCCTCACTGGTGCCTCGCCAGTGTATACCGATAGCGCAGGCGGGGTTGCTATTCCATTATCATCCATCAAAAAAAAAAAATAACCAATGATTGTCGATACGTACATGTACTCGTGCCTGGCGAGGTAGCGCACGTACTTCTCCGGCGGGTCGTTGTCGTGGTTCTGCAGCGAGACGGAGCGCACGGTCATGTGGCTGACCTGCGTGGCCGGCATCGTGAACTCCACGAACGCGTGCCGCGCCAGCTCCGACGGCACCTGGTCGTAGGACGTAAGCGCCATGCGGCACACCAGGTTGTGGGTCGTATACGCACCTGCATACACATATTGAATATTTTTTTAAAATTTGAAAATAGAATAGAACACGCCTGCGCTACCAGTTCCATAAAATTGTTAACTTCATTTCATACTGTATAATTATGTTAAAGCAAATGCTGTGAATACTTTTAATAGGCATTTAATGTTTGTTATATATGTTATAATGTTGTTGGTATTCCTTTAAATAAATAAATAAAACCAATATACGCTAAGAAGCTATGAGTGACGTTAGGCGAGGATGAAGTCAGCACCGATGTGAGTTTGTACAATTTTTATGGATTCACCATGATGGGCCTACTGATCTCCACCGCTTCCATCCTCGCCTACCATACCTCACTCGTGCCCCGCCAGCGTACACCGATAGCGCAAGCGAGGTTACTATTTTATTATTACCCGTATAGAAAAAAAAAACAAACCTAAACAGCTACTGCTACCATGACTATGTCTGCTTACCATGACTTTTGACTGATGACCATGACAATTTACAACAGTAGATTACTATCAAATTTCTACAGTAGTTGTTCTTTTTTTTTTTTTGATGGGTGAAAATGGAATGGTGACCCCGCCTGCGCTAACGGGATACGCTAGCGGAGTACCAGTAAAAGGTGATCGATGAGAATGAAAACTGGCCAGTTAGCCTATCATGATGAATTCATCAAGAATTAACCATGATAGTTTCCAAGGGGAACCGCGAGGAGATCGACCTGGCTGGGTATATTGCTAGCAATGGGATTCTCAGTCTCCATTACTAACAATCCCTTTCCCCCGCTAAGATCTTATTTTATGCTACTTTTTCGGTGTTGATGCGCGTATCTTTCCTTCTATGGGCGAAAATTGAAATATTCCCTAGTAAACTTTCAGAATTCCAAATATAAACCGCTTCAAAATTATTTTACGAAGCAAAGAGGTCATTTTCGACACCTTTGTAAAGTGTGATATACATACAGGGCCGTAGTTAGACCCAAGTTTAAGGTAGGGCAAAAGAACTTTTTAGTAGGGCAGAAGCCATAATTAAGTGACTTCGAAAAAGCAAATATAATTTTCTCGGGGACTGTCATTTTATGGTAGGTCATTGGGCTTTTTAAGATAGGGATTTGCCCTTCAATGCGCCCCCCCCCCCGGCTACGGTCATGCATACATACATATGTAACAGCGAAAATAATAACAAATTAAAACAATAAATAATTTGTTGATGTACACAAGTCCATAATTGATGAATCAACAGTGAATCACTTATGAAAAATAACTTATTTGTTGATTCTATCAACATTTGTATTCGTTTGTTAACATTGTTTTTTCAATTTAATTATTATAAATTTACAAGGCTAAAAATAAATTGTTTATTAAATACGTTGCCCATGATTGGCCTCGTATTAATATCGTCCTTAAAATTATAATAACAGTTAACAAAAACATGACTGCCCTGCCAAAAACAGGCGTGAATTTACAGGGTACAGAGGAATAACACCCGAGTCCTTAGGAATGGCAACGCATGGGAGGTATCATGGTCGAAACAGTATACTCTGTTATGTCCATATTACTGCTCATGTTTATTGGCGACGGTTACCACTTTACATCAGGTGGGCCGTCAGCCTGTTTGCCATTGTAAGTTGTATAAAAAAAACTAAGGTTTCTTCAGGGTCGGCAATGCGCACGCGACACTTCTAATGTTGTAAGACCTTTTTTCCACCGTCAATATCCAGAAGGATCCAATATATAGATATAGGATCAGTATCCATATTACTCATGCCTACTGATAAGACCAGCCTCACCTTGGCCCTCTTTGGGTAATCTGGGCATCCTCCAGACTATAGCCCGATGCTGGTGCTCGTACTTGGCCTGGCCCGATGTGACTTCAATTAGAGACTCTTGCAGGGTATCAACTGCTCCTAAGAAGCGTTCAATGCCTTTTATCTTGCCTGTGCGCCTGTAAAATAAACAATAATATTTATAATTATTGATGGAATAGTTTGCATACATTCAAAAGTCAGGTGGCTCAAGACCATTCCTTATGGCAATCTATGGTGAATACCTATGATCAGCAGTGAACAGATAATGGCTGAGATGATGATGATATGCATGTAAGTATGTTTATAATTACTTCTCTCTACTCGAAGACTGCCTTTAAGAATTTTGTCGATAAAATTCCTCTTAGTTTTGCGCTGTTTGATCTTTTTCTTGTGTTATTTGTTTCTGCTAAGTATTCTATTTTTAGTCCCCTCTTTCTAGAGGGTCGTGATTTCAATTCCTCGTGAATTCATCACGATTGACCAACTGACCTGATTTCATTTTCTACAAAAAAAATTCCATCGTTCGTTGGTAAACAGTTACCATAACCTTTGAACGCCTGCCTCACCAGAAATGTCGCATGTGCGTCACTAAAACCTTAATCCATTAATTAGTAACTACCTTAACTGTATGCCGTGTGGTCCCGACAAGGAATGGGCCACTCCTTCCTTTCCCATGGGTGCCGTAAGTGGCGACTAAGGGAACTTAAGTAATTGTTAGTAATGCGAACTACCAGTCCCATTGCCTGCAATGTACCCTGTCGGGTTGACCTCCACGTGGTGCGTGAAACCATCTTATTGAATTTCAGGTGTAATCATCACGATGGGCTAACTGACCTAACTTATCCTTCTCACTTATTATCTCTCACTGGTGTCTCGTCAGCGTACCATTAGCGTACGTTACCATTTCATTATCATCCATTAAAAAAAATGTGCCCGCCATTGGTGGCTTAATGCTGAGATAAAGACCCTTTGATCCTTTTTCTTCTGTAATTATGGTCGTGTACTTCTAATTCGAAATTATTTTGCAGCCAAGCTCTATCCTCTAGTGTAAATAAAGAAAAATAAGTAAACAATGAATAGTGAATATATACCTGTGAGCAGACTTGACGGAGCCGTATCTAAAGTGTTTCTCGACCCTGAACAGGTAGATCCAACACTCAGGGATGGGGAATCGGATGGAGACATCCTCGCACGGCACCTGGCCCAGTTTCCGAGACGCGAATCCTGGCACCAGCACGTCCGCACGTAACTCCACCTGGGTATTTACCAATTACTCTTAATACTAATCTAATTTAGGGGAGAGGAAAGAAAGAATTATTACTTGAATGTCCACTAAAAGTTTACAAACACAACTACTTCACAGCAGAAACGCGGCTGGAACAGGGATATCTCGAAAATCAAATGAAACCGTATTTTATTATTGGTGTTACTTTACCTTGTTACCGGTGACGCACCAGACTGCCTTCAGCTGCAGGGGCAACTCCCGGTTCTTGGGAGGGCGCACTCGGAAGCGCATCAGTTCTATGTAGCACGCGTCCGGCGGCTTGAACCTGAAGTATTGGAAGACATGCTATTTTCGAAAATGTTTAAGCAATTACAAGCAAAAATATCAGTTCGATGCATACACAAAAATATTTTTTAAAGATTGATGAATGTGGAAGAAACGAAAGAGGTTTGTTTGAATCGAAGCATTTGGCGTTCCATTGTTTCTGCCTACCCTAATGGGAGACAGGCGTGACAGATATGTATGTATGTATGTATTTTTGTGTATGTATCGATTATTTGTTTTTTGCAATTACATTTTGAAATGCATTATTTTGGTTTTGAATTATTGCACAGTTGTATTGTGTTTAATTTACATAATATGTAAAGATGTTACCAAAATCTGGGGATGGAAAGAAGACATAACAGATTCACCCGGCCTCCCTCAAATATGCGTATACCCTTTTATGTTATACCCTTCCAATAATACCTTACCTATTATACCTGCCTTCTATCATCATCATCATCGTCATCATCATATCAGCCGTTAACTTTCTGCTGCATATAGGCTTCTCCCATAAGAGGGGATTTGCCAGTAGTACTTGGCAGTCGAGTTAGCAACCGCAGTTAGGCTTTGGTGATGTTTAAAAAGGGACGCTGCTGCTCATCCTTCGACTATAAAGTACACCTACTATATTCTTTCTTATATAATTTCCACAAAATCTAAAATAGGACATTCTGTAATGGCTGCAAAAAAAAACATAAAAGAGTTATTAATGAGTTACTTTATAATCTGCGTGTTATCGAACTCCTCCGGCTGCACGCAGGCGTGGAACTGAGCATCCTCGACGCGAATCCACTCCTCGGTGACGACGGGGATGATATCGTGGCGGCCCACCACCTCTTTGCCCTGACGCCGGAGGTCGTTCACACCCAGCTCCACGTCCGGCATGCCTGAGTACCACAGATGTGTCAGCGTACAATCAGAATAAGAGAACAAAGTGTATTACCTTGATATTGCAGTCGTTCATAGGATTCGGTCATTGCTTGCCATCAGGCAAGCCGTATGCTTGTTTGCCACATCAATGGTATAAATAAAAAGCTATATAATTTTTTAAATAATTTTTTATGAAGCGGTAACTTTAAGGCTCACCTGATGGAAAATGGTAATCGACGCCCTTAGTCGAGAACAGTATGAATATTACAGAGTGCACTGTGATGCCCAAATGTACCTCTCATATGTGGCCATTTTAGAGGACTAAACTGTTACACACCCATACCCCGTAAATTCACTACCACATTCCACCTTTGAAACCAAAACTCAGCCAAAACTAAGAACTTTTGTACAGCATCTCCTTCTGGTAAGATCAAAACAAAATAATATCCATAGGCAAAATCTAAATCATTACCTCCCTTTTAGTGCAGTATTGGGAAAATGGTCAATATGAGAATTTTTATATTTTATACATATATTATACATATTTTTATATTATTTAAAATACTTTTGAGTACATGGTTCCACTGTACTAGCTTTGACCTACGACTTTGTCTGCGTGACCGGGATATGTTTACTGACCGGGTTAAAAAGTAGCCTATATCTTTTTCCATCCCACATAATATGTGTATATCAAATTTTATAGTGATTGGTTAAACCCTTAAGGCGCTATGAGGTAACAAACAAATAAAATCACTTTCACATTTATAACATTAGTAGGTCTCGAAACTTCATTTTCAAACTTCATATTAAGTTGCACAAAACAAAAATTCAAAGAGAAGAGAAAGTATTCGTCCTATATTTGCTAGTAAAAGGTAAATAAGTTGATTGATCAGCATTTACCACTGAGGAAGCCCAGGAAAAATAATCGCACGCGTGCAATCTGCTTCAGGACTGAACCCTCAGCGTCTTGCTCCACATACAACTCGTCCACAGCTGTTATTTGTACCTGTATATATCAAGCAAGCATATCGTTTTTTTATACAACTTAGAATGGCAAACAAGCTGAAGGCCCACTTGATGGAAAGTGGTAACCGTCGCCTATAGACTTGAGCAGTACCATGGACATAGCAGAGTATACTGTTTCGCCCATGATACCCCCAATGCGTTGCCAATCCTGAGGTCTCAGGTGTTATTCCACTGTACCCTGTAAATTCACGCCATATCCCACTCTTCAAACCGAAACACAGCCATGCAAACACAACTGCTTCACTGTTGAAACACGAATGAGACAGAAGTGCCCAAGCAAACAACTTTGTATAAAGTCTTCCTCTGGTATATATATCTGGTAATATCGTGGAACTCCAACATCAGTTCATGAAATATATTTAACTAGTAACGTATTTACTAGCAGACTGAATTGATTGGAGCTTAGAGCTTAAGTGTATAATTTCAAGTGTGACGAATTTTAGACAATTTTTTTTCATTATGTTACAATTTCATAATTTTAACTATATACCATATGTGCGAACGAGAGTATCAACTGGGGTCTTAAAGGATGGCGACTAGCAACTTCATTGCTGGCATGATACTTTGTCAGGTTGATCTTGTCGCGATTCCTCTTTGGAATCTATTGTACTTAAGTCAAGGTAAATTCATCACGATAAGCTAACTGACCTGCTCTTTCATTCTCATGTATTATCTTTCATTATACTACCATTTACCATCATACAGAATTACTACTCTGTAATAACCCTTTAAAAAAGTAGTGGAGTCAATACGGGTGGCAGGGGGGAAAAGGATTGTTAGCAATGAAGTTGACAGCCCCATTGCTAGCAATATGCCTTATTAAGTCGACCTTCACGTGGTTCCCCCTGGAAACCATCGTGAACAATTCTTATTGAATTCGTCACGATGGGTTAACTGACCTACTTCATCCTCACCGATCATCCTTCACTGGTGCCCCGCCGGTGAATACCGATAGCGCGGGTGGGGTTACCATTCCATTATCATCCATTAAAAAAAAAATACGGATGGCAAAATTTGAATAACCTATTGACGGCAAATATGTAAATCTGCCACTAAATACTATAACATTGTTTTATATGGTAATTATAAATTGACATTTCATAATATGTAGATAATGTAAGAATTATATGAAAATTTAATTAAACCTTCGGACCAAGGAAAGAAAACAGATTGGCAAACCATTATTTGCTTATTTGTGTGGTTGGTTAATGCATAAAATTAATATTTAAAAAATAAAATGCACTCCCTAAAAGGCACTACATTCATTCTTATTTATTTATTTACTACATCATATATTCTACAATTTCCTTTCATCCTCTCAAAGGTTGACTGTAAGAAATCCCTTTATGGGGCAAGTCCGCCATTGTATATTAAATCTTTTAATGTGTCCAATATAAATTATGAACAATAAAGATTTTACAGTACAATACAATACTTCAATTGGATGAGCTTTACAATCTCCCAATATGCTCAAATTACGCTTATAATATAACTAGTCTTTCGGCTTAACTCTTTAGTATAGAACCTACCTTTGCACTAAATACATTCAAACCCGTTCAGCTGTTTAAGAGTGAAAGAATTACAAAGTCTATCCATCCTCACGCATTTACATAAGCGATCACTTTTATAAGTCAGGTAGTAACGTGTGTACCTCCTCCATTTTATAAGTGAGGGCGCGGTCCCTGTGTGCCGGCAGCCGGAACAGGGCCTCCTCTATGCAGCACGAGAACTGCTTGACATCCTCGTAGTTAAGCGACCCCAGCTTGAACAGCTGAGACACCTGCGCCGGAGAGAACGTTAACGTTTCAAATATAAAGCTATTTGAGGACTTAACTATTATATAGATTTATTTATACACTAGCTGTGACTCACGGCTTCACATTGTGTGAACTAATCATCAAAATCGTCATGATTATCAACCGTTAACTGTTCACTGCTGAACATGGGGTTCCCCCATAGACTGCTATAAGGAACACTCCCGTTCCTATGGCAGTTTACCATTGGGGAGACTACCAGTAGTTGCAACGCTTGGCAGGCAGATTGGCAACCGTAGTTTGGCTTATGGCGATGTTTCAGAGGAACGTTGCTGCTGATCCCTCGACCATTAAATTCCCTTAGTCTCTTACGACACCTACTAGAAAGATAATCATATATAGGTTCAGGAAATGCTATACCTGAGGTGCATGTTCAACAGGTAAACCCAGTTTTCGAAGGTCGCTGCCGAATTCCTTGACGCCCTGATAGTCGCCCTGGATAGCATAGGCGGCGAACTGTGACAGTTTATTTGTAATGCGTTCAGCTTTTGTAACTTGACCCGGCCTGTTAAAATAATACAATATCAATATAAAACTTTTTTTCAATGGAGGTGGTAACAAGGTACAGGATCCATCTGATGATGAGCAATTAGAGAAATTTCTTTAATTGTCAGTTATAGAGTCTAATGGGTTCATTGCTAGCAATTCATTCATTACATAAGCCTCCCCCATAGACTGCCATAAAGAATGCAATGCGATTCAGACCGTCACTCTATCTAGTGGGGGGTCGTCCTACACTGCGTTTACCAGTACGTGGTTGCCACTAAGAACCTTTCTTCACCATCGGTTGTCGGTTCTTCGAACTATATGACCAGCCCATTGCCACTTCAGCTTGCTTATTTTTCGGGCTATATCGGTTTATTGCTAGCAATATACCCTGTTAAACTAACTTTAATATGGTTTTCACAGAAAGCCACAAATTTCTAGTAAATTCGCCGTGGCAAGCCAAGACTTAAATTCATCCTCGCTTATCATCCCTTATTTTTGTCCTACTAATGTATATCAATAACGCAAACGACGTTATTATTCCATTTTCCAGTTGAAAATAGAGCCTTAAAATAAGTGATCAACTCAACATATGGATGCTTAGTACGCCTACAATACCAGGAGCATCATTCATGTGTTTCCAACCCTTGTGAAACCAGTGTCCAAAAATGCAACTTACGGGTACTTAGTGCTTACTTTACAAAAACTTATTCTGGTATAATTTGCCTTAATGTTTTTATTATTCAAGATAACTTAATTACAAGCATTTTTTAACAATCAGTAATTCTTTTATAAATCTATTAGAAGACTAGCTGCTGTAAAAATGGAACATTTCGATAATAAAATCACCTGACTCCAGGTCGCTCTTTGTAGAACACGTATTGCAGTTTGACAGTAAATATCTTGCCGAACTGGTCAAATTGCTGAGCGCCTACTTCAGACACTGAGTAGCACGCCTGCAGTGGCAACTCCTGGAATGGTTCCTTGTCTCCAGCAGCATTGAATAGCTGCACCACAGGATTGTCACCTTGGTAAGTCATCCGCACGAATACTTTCTTCCAAAACCTATAGAAACGAATACAATACATCAGTGAAAGTAGTTAGAAAGTAGCTGGACGAACTTGACTAGCTGGAAGGGGTCGAACTTCAAGGCCCTCACTAGTGCTTATAGCTGTAGTAACATTCTATGGTGCCAAATTAAAGGCACAAAAAGACAAAACATTAAAGACAATATTTTTAACCCCATAATGCTATAAACTATGCTCCATAACAAGTTAAGAGGTTTTAAAAACACAGGATTATAAATGAAAAATGCTTGGATTATGATATTATTAAGATGCTTAGAGTATTGGGTTAAAGATTATTAATATTCTTGTAGGGAAACCTCTCAGTTTACAGTTACGCCAGTACTTTCAGTTGAATAATTATACTAACTATTCTACATTAAATTTTAAATGGTAACATTACCTCTGACCAGTAATTTTCTTTTTATTGGGTTGACGCAAATGCATTTCCCAGCCTGGGCCCTTGTATGTGGTCCTTGGGAAGTCCTCGAGCGGCATGGACACGTCTTCATCGAAGAGAGGTGTCGGTGGTGTTTCGCCTCCGCTGGTGGATCGACGTCTTTCATCGTCTGCCACTTAAATTTTAGTTACTGATAAGTAAAGACTAGTGGCATGAATAACAACCGTAGACGCGAGATTGACTTCAATAACTAGCAAATAAATATACTGAATACGAAAATTTAGAATATTGCTCAGATGTTTCATTAAGTGATAATTGGATATTTATATCCAATTATTTACTTATTTACTCAAACTGATTTGTTTGTAGATAATCACCGAGATTGCTTCACTTTATCCAATAGAAAGAAATAAAGAATCTATCTCACAAATGTTCAAAGTTGACATACAATAATGAAGCTATGACAAATAATTTACTTGCTATATATAACCAACTATGCATCGTACAAATTATTAAACTTACCTTGATTTTGTGCATCTGCCGGAACTTGCTGTGATTCAAAGCCACTTTTATCAAATGGATTAAATCGGGGGGATTCTGGTAAAGCCTGCGGTCGAGGTGGTGGGGCCAACACTGGCACGGCAGCTTCTTCTCCAGAGGTGTCATTGTCTTTGGGTCTGTGTTAACAATGGGCTATGTAGTTACAGTTTCAATTCTTTCAAATTAATATAATCTCATTCTAAAAACTTACCTGATGAACACAGAGAAAGTGTCATCAGTCGAATCTCGAGAACCTTGGTGATCGAGACGTGGCGTGGCAGCAGGCGGTGGTGGAGCATCCATGCTCAAAAATGGATCAAATGCTTCTGCCTCGAAACCACTCGGAATACCTTCCGAACTGCCCTCATCACCCCATGCACCTTTGCAAATAAAAGTTTTTACTGTAATATCAATATGATGGAAAGACGATTTCAATGCAAATAGTTGAAATTGTAAAATTAATAATAAACAAGTCTTTAAATAAAGACCACCAAAAACTAAAAGGTTTTTTGTTTGACATATATTTATTATTGTAACTACTTTATTACTGTTTGATTTATTGAAAAATTGTAATATATTTTTAATTTTCAATAAATTCTATTCACTTTATAAGCATGAAGATACTATTATTTTACAGTAGAGTCAAAGAAAAAAATGTAAGTATAAGTGTACAAATATGTATTTTAACATTGATTAAAATAATTAAAACTCACCGGTATTCTTGTGGTTAGCTGAGGTGGAGTCGAATTTAGCAGAAAATGCATCAAAAGCATCTTGCGATTCTGGGAACGCATCTTGAACCATTGCTTCAGATGTATCACCCCATCCAGGGTCATTAGACTGTAACGTTTGAGTTTCCATAAATGAATCTGTCACATTTGTAAAGTCGTTATTTCCGAAAGTATCTTTTGTTGAGCTAAACACATCACTATGCGTAACTTCTACATTTTCATTAGGTACTGAATCAAATGCATTACTCTGTGTAGTTTCTACAACGGTATTATTTATTGTAGAATCATCTGTCTGTACATTGAAAATGCCACCTTGAGTTTCTTCAAACATGTGAGAATCTATATTACCAGAGATTTCAAATGGATTCTTTTCAGCGCCACTCGACCTACGTGTTTGCATTGCATCATCTAATATATTAGTAAAAGGAGAATTAACTACAGCTGTAGACGACATATCTGGTGCAGGTTCTGTGCAATCCATAGCAGCATCTGCATCGGCAATTACATTTACAGGTGTCGATAAATTAGTTTCTGCAGATTTCACTTCAGAAACTATAGGAGCTACAGTATCTTTCACTGACATAAAATCATTAGCATCCATGCTAGTTACAGGTTGCTGTATTTCCATGATCGATTCATTAGGTGCACTATCAAGAATATCGTCACTAAGAAAATCAATTGGTTGCTGTTCTTTTTTAGGAGCCGAATACAAACTTAATATGTCTTCCTTTGTTGGTTTAACTGCCACTGGTGCCGGTGCATCAAAAAGATTAATATCGTCAAGTGCTGGTTGTGTAGGCTTCGGTTGCGGTTGTTGAGATGGCTGTACTTGAGGCACAGGTGGCGGAGCTGGTCGTGGTGGAGGAGGTCGTGCCACTGGCGGAGGTCTAGCTGGAGGGGGTCGAGCTGGTTTATTTCGGTTTATGTCAAAACTGTCAGTTACTGGTTCCGGTTCTGCCTCTGGTTCTGGAGTAGGACTAGGTGAGTGAATATCACGTACCGACACCGGGCTTGGAGTTCGGGTTGGCGGTATACGATCAAGTAAGTGTGAACTAGTAAATTCCATCTGACCAGTGACACTTAATATAAGGTTTTGGGTTTCAGGAGGTAAAGGACGTTGCTGTGTAAATGTCTCATCTTCAATCGGATAGGTAAGATCTACTGTTGTTGAAGTTAACTCAAGTTCTGTAGGTTTAGTGAGTCTTTCAGAAACACTTGAATGAGCAGAAAAAACATCAAATGTTGTCGTCTCCGCAGTAAAATCATTGCACTGTTTTGCGCCTATGCTCGTTGGATCTGTAATACCAAAGATATCAGCCGGTACTGTATCACCTGCAGGAGGTTCGTAGTTATTACCAAAATCCGAAAATGGATTACTTGCCGCAAAAGGGTTATCATTGGAAAATGTGTTAGGTTCTGTATCAGTCATCATAAATGGATTCAGTATTGCATCAGTACTGACAGGTGCTGCTGGTTCATTCATACTCAAGAAAGGATTGTACGCCATGATTAATAGATAATAAAGCGCTTCTTAACCTAAAAATTCAGATTCGAGTAGCTTTAGCTCAGTTTTTCCTGGATTCAAATCACTTGCAAATGATGTGTCAAATGGATCAAAATCTTCTTCTGGAAGATTAGTAGGAGCTGTCGGTTCAGGACTGAGAGCTTTGACTTGAAATATATCGTCAGAAGGTTCTAATAGATCAGATCCTTCTATCTGAATATTATCAGTGTTCTCACAAGAAAATTCTTTAGCTAGTAATTTCAATTCCGTTTTACTTGGTGCAATGTCACCAGCAAATGAAGTATCGAATGGATCTGTTTCAATTTTATTCGCTGATTGTTGAGGATCTGATGGAGTTAATACTTTTGCTTTAATTTCGTTATGAGTACTATAAAAAATATCACTTGATTTTGAATTACTTTTAATATTACTTGTCTGTGGATATTCAGAGTGTCGCCTTTTAGTTTGATAATTAGATTTTGGAGCTAAATCTTCATCAGACCGGGTCCTCGTCAAATTGTCAGTAACAATATCAACAGCCTCGGCTTCTTCGCTGATATCCTCAGTAATAGAATGATCACGTGTATAGTATGGCGTAAGTGGTTTTACAATTTTTCCTTTACTGTCCAAATCAAAAGCTTCAACTGTTTCAATATTAAACACGACACTTTTACTTACTACTAAATTTTCTGGGCGAGAAGCTCGTCTTTCTTCTTTCTTTGGTTCTTCAGCTCGTGGATCAAAATCTGGGTCACTGGGAACTCGATAAATTTGAGAAGGTTGCGATTCAATTAATTCTTGTTCTAATAATTTTAATTCTATTTTCCCTGGTGCAACAATATTGTCTACAATGGTAGTGTCAAAAGGATCAATTTCAGTACTATTAATATCGACAGGATCTAAAGGTGAATCGCCTAATTGTGTTAAGTCTGTGGTACTACCACCAAGTAAATCACGAGAATTTTCTTTGTCAATAATATCATCCGAGGTTATAGATTCTCTTATACCTGAGGGATTTGTTAAATGAATACGAACAGATGATTTTCGTCTATTATTTAGCCTCGCTGGTATTTCGTCAGCACGAGGATCAAAATCGTCGTCGTCTTCAAGAATAACAGCTTCTTTCTTGGTTAACGCTGATGATACTACAACGTCAGCAAAACTTGTATCGAAAGGGTCGTCTTGATCAAGATATGGATCTATAACATCAATCTGATCCTCAACAATACTTTCTGCGAACACTGCATCATTCTTGTCCGCCTCAAAAGCTGACCATGACTCTTGTAATACAGGTTCTAACTTTATTTCCTTTTCTTGTAATTTTGTTGCTTCAGTATTACTTTCTAATGATTCTGCAGCTAATAATGTAAACTCATCTACTTCTTCCTCTTCACAAATATCTTGTTTATTTTCTGTGTTATCAAATGTAGGTTCCTCTTGGGTATTTACTTTATTTTGTAGTATTAGTGATGTATGCAATGAAACACTGAGATCTATAGGAGTTGTAATAGGAACATCAGCGTCTGTATCTAAGATACTCTTTTCTACAGGTTCAGTATTATTTGTAGTTGAAACAATTGGACGATCTGTTTCAGTGTTTTCTAATAGTAAATCTCCTGATATAGTTCTTTTCGATCTCCTTGTAGTAACTGTTACGTTGTCGATTCGACCTGTGAGAACTTCAACTGCAATACCAATGTCAAGTGCCTTTTTTCCTTTGGAGCTTTTAGCTTCCTGTCCTTTGATTAAAGCATCAACATGAGATGTATCAAAAATATCATCATCTTGAAATTCTTCAGGTGAATCTGGAACGTACGCTAATTTTACTTCACCACGTTCGACTGCTTCTACGTAAGATGTATCAAATATATCGTCTTGATCTTCTTCCTCAGATTCGTCGTCTGTTACTCCGTAGTCACTTTTATCTCCACTGTCAACTTCTGCAGCGGCTGCTGCTTGTACTAATTGTGGAAAATCGGCTGCTGTAACTTCAACTACTGGTCTGTGCGATGTTGGTTTTGGCTCTGGTTTAACTTCTTGAGCTTTTGGTGCTACGCGTTGAAAGAAAGAAGTCGACTTTATACGATCTAAATCTCCTTGTGTTTTTTTGAGAACCGAATCGACACCAGTTGTTAAATCCTTAAATTTAGACCATTCTTCATTCTCCTTAGCTGATCCTTCTCCGGTTTCTGTTTGCTGCTGTTGATGTTCTCTTCTATATTTTTCTAATTCTTCTTCTGTGAAGAGTTCCTCTTCGCCTTTGCGTTTAGACTTTTTCCCTTTTTTCTTCTTTTTAAGGCCTTTGGGTAACTTTAGCATTATACGAGATTGCGAGTAGTTCTTTGTATTGCTGAAATCAAAAACAAAAAGAATTTGTTGGTGACGTGATATTTGACAGACTACATTACAAATTGATATCACAGTGCTAAAACACTATTTAAAGACTATTTTAAATAATGTTTAGTAAACACAATAAAAAACTAATGTGCTTGATCTTGCTTTCGGTGTATCCTTTAAAATCGATTATAGTGAGACCAAGTCACATGATAGAAAACTAGTAAATATTAGTTACAAATATCTTTCTGAATCTGAATCGAAAAGAAGAATCTTCCCGTATGATTGAAATATATGCAAATAACAAGACTAATATATTTTTATTTTATAAACTGTACGTCAGAAATAACTCGCCTTTTCTATAAATTGTATTGTTCAATAAACAAACCTATATCTATTTGGACATTCAATGTTAGAGAAAACTACATCATATTTAGATATGAACAACATTCATAAAATTGTTTAAAATTCGAATATTTATTTCTTTTTAAATGTGCTTACTATCACAAATTATCGATCGTACGAATTAACTGACTCTTTTACCCGCGAACATTGGCCGCATGTATACTATTTTCTTTAAATATAATTCGGACTTTAGTAGCTATACAATGGCGAAACAATTATGTAAGTGGAGCTAGATATATATATGTTAACACTATTTGCAATATCTTCAATGCACAAAAAGTATTTTTAGTTGTAGATCACAATTGTTACGCCATTGATAATGATATAACGCAGATAATGGTAATTAAAAAATATTTTCGAGTATCTGTATAGGGTTTACGTACTGGAATATCGAAATATAATGTTTACCTACTTTCGACAATAGAATAATAGATATGCGGACAATATATGTAGCCGAAATAATATGAACAACAATCGATTGGTGAATGAAGTTATAATGTAGGTATGCAGTGATCGACCGCCCAATGCTAAACGGCCCAAGACTATCGAGTGACTGTCAACTGGTTGATGATGTCCGTGCAATGAGGGGATAACTTGATGATGAGGGGCGAGGCCGCGCAGGGCGAAGGGCGACAGGAGTGAACGAATGTCTGCGGGGGCGAGAATGGAGGCGGAGACGGCGGTACAGACACACAGAGCGGCTAGCTAAGGACACGTACCGGGCCGACTGCAGCCGCCGCTACTTACAGCTAAGTCATACCACTAACGCGCTACAGAGGACGGGCAAAGGGTCTCTCTACCTTCATCGCAACAATCGTACAGTCGCGGCCGTCGGTCGGTCGGATCGCGGGCTCGAGCGGAACACGCTGCGCTCAGGGCGCCTGCTGGCAGGCACTGGAGGCGCGCGGTGCGCCTCGCCGAGACAGCGCCGCCGCGGACGCCGCGCAGCCGCCGTCCGACGTGCTATCGATCGGCGCGCCGCGCTGCGCAACCCTACATACCGATTGCATCCAAGCGATGCTGGCTGCATTCTAGGTGCCACAGCCAGCTGCCGATTATAAGGAATCATTACGTTCTTGAACTGTGACCTCTTTTGGCATCACTCTTTAAGACGACTAACGCCCGAGGTTGTCAACTTAAGAATATGCATTGGACCGAGATAGAAAGCGAGCGCAACTATAAAGTTATCCTCTAATTACAGTAAAATAATAATAGGTTATGCAGATTTATATTATAACGAAAAATATTGTATACTGAGAGCATTATTTATAGATATCAAAGGTCGTAAAATTAAATCTAAAACGGAAACCTGTTCGACAATTTGAATTCCTGATTAACCAAAACACCGTTAAATAACTACGAGAATGGCAATCAACATACGGTCCGCCCGATGGTAAACATCAACCCTTGTGACATAAGAGATCTTAAGTTTGTAATAATAATAATAATAACTTATTTTTTTGCTGAAAAACACAGTATACTCGTACAGATGGTAGTAAAAATATGTTATGAACCTGCGTGTTTTGCCAAAACAATGACGTGCAAAATTTTAGTATTTATAGTATTTTTTTTCAAATACTTTATCATAAAATGTATCATATAATGAATATGTTTATAAAGAGGGATTTTTTCTAGTCTATCAAGTTCTTAATTGAATAATAACACTTGTCAAAAAGCCATTTGTACAGTGTTTTCTTAAATTGTCTCAGTGTCTTTATGTTTACCATATACTAGCGGCTCGTCCCGGCTTCGCACGGGTGGAAATTTTTACAACTTTTTAAAATGTGGTTATTGTGACACAACGATAATAGTTGGACATAATATATCGCGAAGTTTTTTGTAGTTATTGATATTTTCTTCAATATTGCAGAATGTATTCTATCACCAATAGTTTCCGCAGCGTACGCGACGAAATATATTTTATAGCATATTTTTTACACCTTGAGTTACGTTACTAAGGTTTTAGTAAGGATCCCTAATCTTTTCTAGCAATAAATATAGCCTATGGTACTCAGCGTAAATATTGCTTTTTAAAGATGAAAGAATTTTTAAAATCAGCAATATAGTTTTTGAGTTTATTCGTTAAAAAAAATATATTAGTGTAGATTATTTTCTGGAATATTATTAAATATTCGTATACACATATTTTAATAATTTTCTTGATAAATCGTTGTCCTAGGAATTCTATTCAATACCAGCCTATTTGGATTTCTTTTATTTCGCGGATAATGCTCATTCGTGTTTCAACCGTGAAGCAGTTGTGTTTGCATGGCTGTGTTTCGGTTTGAAGGGTGCGATATGGCGTGAATTTACTGGGTACAGAGGAATAACACCTGAGTCGTCAGGGATGGCAACGCATGGGGAATATCATGGGCGAAACAGTATACTCTGTTATGTCCATGGTACTGCTCATGTCTATAGGCGACTGTTACCACTTTCCATCAGGTGGACCAGCAGCTTGTTTGCCATTCTAAATTGAATACAAAAAAAAAGCTACTTCGTAAATATACATGCAAGCTAGTGGAAAAAGTTTATATTTTTTAAATAGTAGTCGGCAAGTCTTCCATGGTGGAAGCCCGAAAACCTTGTTATTTCACTGCCATATGCCACCTAAAACGACACAGATTTGCAATTAGGTTCAAAAAGTTATTTAAATAGTAATAAAAGTTTAGAGAAATTTTAACAATTTCTTTCTTCAATCTGTATGGTTTACTCGTGTGTTTGTTGTACGTTGTCATTCCACAAAACTTGGAAACAAGTTTTCACTTAGCGCGTTCTAGACACGTGGAAAAATAACGAAGGGACTTTTTTTTATGGATGATAATGGAATGTTTACCCCGCCTGCGCTATTGGTATACGTTGCCGGGGCACCAGTGATAGATGACAGGTGAGGATGAAAGCAGGTGACTTAGCCTATCGTGATGAATTTCACAAGAGTTAACCACGATGGTTTCCAAGGGGACCACGTGGAAGTCGACCTGATATGGTATATTGTCAGTAATGGGGCTGTTATCCCATTATTAACAATCCCTTCCCCCCTGACGAAGGGACTGAACTAGTAACTAAATACAATAATAAGCTGAAAGTTGATCAGCAATCTATTAAAAAAACTATGCTCAAAGTTTTTAAGGACAAATAGAAAAACAAAAGAATAATGAAACAGATATAGTTTCAGTGGAGATATGGAATGATGCAAACATTGGGAGAAACGTGGACTAAATCTATAAAGATCATATAGGTCGTGTATCGGTCGTATATCTATTTAATTTTTTTTTTTGTCTTAATATATACTACGATCTGTCTCCTTGCTGAGACAATAAATAGTATTTTGACGTATACTTTAATGGCGTGCTCAGTATGCGACTTGAGTCGCATCCTACTTTATTTTATAGAATCATGTCTTGGGGCATTCTGCGTTTCAGTCTGCGATTTGTGTGATTTACGTCCATAAGATCTCTTGCCAGTCTGTTAGGGTATTTTGTTATCCTCTCCTTGTAGGATTGTGTATATTGTAGTATTTCCTGTCTAACAGTTCCAATTTTTAGGTCATGATGTAGTTGCTCGTTTATGACAAACCAAGGAATTATTTAAAAATGGAACAAGAGTCTTCAGAAACGACCACATGAGCCGAGTTATGGAAGTGGATGAATCAAGATATATAAATAAGAACAGAGACCTTTGTCAATTCTTTGTGTGAATCCGGTAAATAAACTGACATGTAGACAAATAGATATAGAAGAGACAATGAGCTGGTCATATTTAGAACGAAACCAACATCAATACCAAGTCCAAACAGGCATAGTTATGGAGTTTTTTTAATGCATAATATGGAATGGTAACCCCTCCTGCGCTATCGATATACGCTGACGGGGACAACAGTAAGCGATGGTAGGTGGAGATGGAAGCAGGTCAGTTGACCTATTCTGACGAATTCAAGGGGGTTCCAGGGGGAACCACGTGGATGTCTCTAGGGAAAATCTGAAGAAGGAGCTTATTCCACAGCCTGAGCATTCGCGGGAGAAAATTCATTTGAAACCACACTGTTCGTGACCATTTACGTTCAAGCGTGTGAGGATCAATTCTCTATCGATGGCGAGCAATGTGTTGATAAAAGGTGGCTGTGGGTATCATTAAGTAATAACTAATTTGCCATCCAGGCTGCATAAAAACTGTCTCTGAATTTGGACAGTTACTCCCAAAAATAATAGCGCCTCTCTCATTTCTATCTTCACGCCAATATGTGGGTAACATACCTGCTTCTTTATTTCCGACGTTTTGACGTGGATTGCACCAAGTTGTGATCACGACAGAATTGAAGTGAGCGGCGTCTTCGTTTGTCAGCTCGCGCAGTTTCTTCGGGTACCCTCACATTGTCACCATTATTATCTAGAGCTACCTTACACATCGCAATCTCGATATCCACACTGCGTTTAAACAAATCGTCATAGTCGTAGAATACTGACGGATCTATTTCTATACTTATAATAAATCTGTAGAGAGGTCAATTCTGTACATGAAATATATTTCCAAAATAACTATCAGGGGGTGATTAGTGATCGATACTGGTGCCAAAAATGCAATCAATAAAATTTTTGTCTGTCTGTCTGTATATTCGTTATAGAAACACAAACTACTCGACCGATTTTAACGAAACTTGGTACAATTATTCTTTATACTCCTGGGCAGGTTATAGTATACTTTTCATCACGCTACGATCAATAGGAGCAGAGCAGTGAAGGGAAATGTTGGGAAAACGGGGAAGTTACTCCATTTTTAAGCTTCCATCGTGTGTGCAGCTCTAATGGTCATTTTTAAAAATGTCCACCCGTGCGAAACCGGGGACGGGCCACTAGTAGGTATGTAATATTTGTCAGATCCGTCAGTATTCTACGACTATGACGAAATAATTGCGTGTTTTAAGCGTACTAATCACTGGAGCCCATGCTAATGAAATTCGTAGTCAATCAATTCTCATAAAATTTCGTTTACACGTACTATTTGCGATGAAGAATGACATAGGCTACTATTTATCGCGGTCAAGCATCATATTCCAGTCGTACGGACGAAGTCGCGGGTAAAGACTAGTGACTAAATAAATATTTATTATGTAGCATGGCGTTTGAAATATTAAGGTCGATAATTTTTCTTTAAGCGCCCTTAGGCACTACGAGTGGTTGCCTTTTGCATGTTTACCATTCTAAGTTGCATAAAAACTAATTAAGTGTTCCACAAAAAAACTGTCTTCTTTCTGTCTTCTAACTGTCGTCTTTCAAAAAAACTTTAGTTTATTAAAAAAAAATTAAAAAAGTAAACTAGTTTTAATTAAAGTTTCTGTGGTAAATATATCCTTTTAGATAAAAAAAAAATCCAAATCAATCCGCAACTGACGGAGTTATGAGGTAACAAATAAAAACCAAACGAATTTGAAAGGGATTTAACTAAGTTTACATATATGAACCAGTGGTATTTTTAATTTTTCATATCGGTCATTGCCAATTTTATTCCTACGTTTACTTTTTTATGAGTGGTAATGGAACGGTTACCGCTTCGCCTGCACCATCGTTATATACCTACGCTGGCAGGGTATCAGTGAGAAATGTCACGTAAATTGTCCCATCGTGACGAGTTTATCAGGAATTAATCATTTAACATGGTATATTTTTGGTATTAGAGCCCGCTACACACCTTTACTTATAATTCCACCACGCCCCGCTACCTTATAAAATCTACCATTTTATATAAATATTTATGACTAGTTTTTATTCGGGACTTTGTCCGCGTGACCGGGATATGTTAATTGACCAATATAAAAAAGTAGCCTGTGTTTTTCATCTTAAATAATACGTTAAAAAAATCCTTTTATGATAATTCAATGTCTAGAAGTAACAAATAAAGAAAATTACTCTCATGTGTTTTAGAAAGGATTTGTGATAAGTAATATCGAAAATAAAATATCTCATTAAATTTTAAATAAATGCAAAGTACCTAAGTAACTAAATATAATTATCAAAATTTCGCTATTATAATTTAGTTTATATATGTAAGAATTAAACCTATATATCTAATTTGTTTTCTTTTTAAAGTCATACCTACTAATTTTATATAAAAAGCAACAAGATAAATTATAAAATTTCCATACACATTAGATACGTACCACTTTCTAAATCTATTTACAATCGAACTTATAAGGTATCAAAATTAAATGAAGATCAATGTTTTAAGACCTTGTAGGTTGTTGAATTAATTTTCTTTTTTCCGACTGCAACTGTAACAACAAAAATATATCACATCTTTAAAATATCATACATAAAACGGAACGTAGTTAAAAAAAAAAAAACAAATAGCGCCGTTTTCGCACCCTGGTGGCAGACATACGGTACTAATTTGTCAAAATAGGTTACAATGCGATAAAATTATATTGGTCATATCAGCAATGTGTACATAATTCGGATTTCTCACTCTAACATGTTGACTTTAGATGTCGTGTCGCGCTCTAGTTTCAACCAGACATTTCAATTGTATTTCATTTCATTATAACCGCAAGGCTACGTCGAGCGAGTACGTCGTCGCTTGATATTACTTCGTGTCGTTTTATAAAATAAATATTTTGGATTTCGTATAATATTGTGTATACACGGGAAAATGTTCGATACCATTACGCTCATCGCGACCCGGTCCAGGTGAAACGCGATCAGTGACGAAACAAAGCAAAACGTGGTGTGTCGAGTCGCGGTAGGTGTCGTTTGTTATCAAACAGCGAGGCCGCGAGGTGAGGGCTATGGCGGAGGCGGCGCCCGGGAACATCGTGAAGGAGGGCTGGCTGCAGAAGCGGGGCGAGCACATCCGGAACTGGCGCGATCGCTACTTCATACTGTTCGACAACGGCGACCTGGTGGGATTCAAGACCCAACCAGAACGGAACAACTACCGCGACCCCCTGAACAAGTTCACGGTCCGCGACTGTCAGATCATGGCCGTGGACAAGCCGCGCCCCTACACCTTCACGATCCGCGGTCTGCAATGGACTACTGTTATCGAGCGCAATTTTTCCGTCGACACAGAAAAAGAACGGTTAGTGCAAATCGACAGAACAAATAACATGAGCTATATTCGCCTATTCACCCTGACCTGTAGCTACTTACCTGCCTACCTCAAAAAACTGACCTAGCTTACATTCAAAACATCTAATCACAGCCAGCTAAGCATTCTTGTCTTGGTTCCTAAGAAATAAACAGTTTGTTTTAAATAAGAAATTAAGTACTGTGAACATGTTATTAAATTTAATAAGAACTAGATACATAAGCTTTAATGATCATATCGTCATAGTCGTAGAATACTGAGGGATCTATATATATGTAATATTTGTCAGATCCGTCAGTTTTCTAGGACTGTGATGATATGAGTTAACACAAAATGTAATCCCATAGAGAAATCACACTTTGGTAATTTATGACTGAATGTTACAAATAATCTTCACCCATTTATTATCCACTAGCTGTTGCCCGCGACTTCGTCCGTGTTTTCATTGTTTTTCATAAAATAAGTAGCTTATGTCCTTCCTCACGGTTCAGTGGTTTTGATGTAACAGACACATTTCACTTCACTGCTCTGCTCCTATTGATTGTAGCGTGATGAAAAGTATACTATAACCTGCCCAAGAGTATGAAGAATTGTACCAAGTTTCGTTAAAATCTGTCAAGTAATTTTTGTTTCTATAACGAACATACAGACAGACAGACAAAAATTTTACTGATTGCATTTTTGGCATCAGTATCGATCACTAATCACCCCCTGATAGTTATTTTGGAAATATATTTCATGTACAGAATTGACCTCTCTACAGATTTATTATAAGTATAGATAAGTAAACAAATATATTTTTCATTAACTGTATTAAAACCTCTATTCATCCAATGACACTACAATAGCATGTAAATTTTTGTTTTTACTGATTATAATTTACTTAACTAGTTTCTTTGTATACAACTTAGAATGGGGCAAACAAGCTGAAGACCCATCTGATAGAAATTGGTAACCATCACTTACAGACATAAACAGCTTCATAAATATCACAAATCGTCATAGTCGTACAATACTGACGGATCTGACGAATATTACATATATAGATCCGTCAGTATTCTACGACTATGACGAAATATGCTCTGATGCTTATGATAACCCTGATGTGTTGCCATTCCTGAGCTCTAAGATGTCTTTAATGTGTGATAATGGAAATGTGTGAAATGCTGTCTCCAATTTTGATATATCCTGCTATTTCTTTACTAATACAATTTTGTTTTTATATTACTATGGTGCCAAATAAGCATACGGCCCATCTAATGGTGAACAGGGTTACCATAGGTTTTGACACCTGTAACACCAGGAATGTCATATGTGCATTTCCATTTCCATAAGAAACCTTAATTTATAATTATTGATAAATGGACTACAAACAAGATAGAATTTATATATATAACATTTTAAATGAAAAAATAAAAAGTAATATATTTTAGTACTTAATGTATATCATAGAGAAATCACTTTCCCTTTAAACCTAATATAGCTTATCACTACACTATTTGCTCTCCTATTACAGTTATTTGTTTGATGTAGTAATGTTTTATGTATTTATTTATGTATGTAATTATTATATATATTTATTTACTTAATATATTGTGTATGTTTATATTAGTCTAATTATATGTTTATAATTTAAATATATCAAGTATTGCTTTATTTTTCCTTTATTCAGTAATGCACTAATAATTTTTCGTTTTACCCAATGATTGACTAGCAGAAAACATCATGCGTGTTAAGTCTGCCAAATGTTCATAAAATTTCACTGTACCTTAACATTTAAATAATTTATTTCTTGCTAATGTATCAAAAAGTCTCCAATTAGATAGACATTAATGACAAATTGTTAACACTTTTCAACCAACTTCAAAAAGAAAGGAGGTATTTTTTGTTTGTTGCCTCATAACTCCATGATTTATAAACTGATATGAATATCTGAAAGGATGTACTTTCAGATTGGCCCTGTAGCAATTTTATCAAAATTAGTTCAGTACTTTAGTTATCAAATAAAAATATCTGATTTTGTCACGATTACAGTATTTTTTTATGGAACAATCTTAAAGAGAACAGCCATAAAGAGTTTATTTATCTATCTATCTTAAATTATTCCTATATACAATCCTATCTATCTTCACACCATGTACATTATAAGGTAGACAGAGAAAAAGGTTTCTGTACTTATATACATCTCATGCTTTCTACGCATTCATAACTTGTCCTATACATGTATGACAGTTCCCTACAATAATTACAATCCTGAAGTTTATCATGATCAGAAAAAGAAATCAATAAGAGGTTTAATAATGACACTTGAAACTGATCTTATGAATAATACATAAACATAATACAAGTATGGACAAAACTTTATTACAATTTTTATGTTACACTTATTAAATATACTTTATTTAGTGTATACATTATTATTATTATTATTATCTTTACCTATTTTAATAATTTGTACCTCCTTCATAATTCAGGATTCATCCGAAATGTTGACTGGTAGAGAATGCTACTAATATTAAGTCTGCCTTTTGTACTATATTTTTTTAGCCAATAAAGTTATTTAAATAAATCAATGAAACCCCTCAATGGCATAAGCAGTCTACGAGGAAGGCCTAGGTACAATAATGGACAGTTAATGGTGATATAATGATGATGATACAACTATGGTGTGTGTTATAGATTAGCTTTCAGTCTTTCCCGAGGGAGACTTTGTACAAAAGTCGTTTGCATGGGTACCTCTGTCCCATTCGTGTTTCAACCGCAAAGCAGTTGTGTTTGCATGACTGTGTTTTGGTTTAAAGAGTGGGATATGGTGTGAATTTATAGGGTACAGAGGAATAACACCTGAGCCCTCAGGAATGGCAACACATGGGTGGTATCATGGGCGAAACAGTATACTCTGTTATGTCCATGGTACTGCTCATGTTTATAGGCGACGGTTACCACTTTCCATCAGGTGGACCATCAGATTGTTTGCCATTCTAAGTTGTATAAAAAAATAAAAAAAAAAAAACAAATTATATTGCAATATAGAAAATGTGTATAGGAAATTGATAAGGCTGCTCACTAATTAACTGCTCTTAAGGTCATTTTCCTAAGTAATGATTCTCAACACACACAGTGATGACTGTATCAATATTTAATTACTCTATCATTTATTTATTATACCATTTATAATTATTATGAAAGAAAATATTGCATTAATATTGTTCTATTATTATTATTATTGTCTGTATGTAAACATGTTTGGTTATTTACATGTTTGTATGTATGATTCAATCATTCAATGATTGAATGGATTTAAATAAAATTGAATATACAAGTAGACTATAAACAATAAACATAAATGTAGGATATTTTTGTCCCGATTCGTGTAAATTAACCTGTAAGATATAGTATTAATATGAATTTAAAACATACTTTTACATAGTATAACATTTGATATACCAACATTGCCATGACCAATTTTTTTTATGATGGGTGAAAATGGTATGGTGACCCCGCCTGTGCTAACGGGATACACTGGCGGAGCACCAGTGAAGGGTGATAGATGAGAATGAAAACAGGCCAGTTAGCCCATCATGATGAATTCATCAGGAATTAACCATGATAGTTTCCAGGGGAACCGCGAGAAGGTCAACCTGGTTGGGTATATTGCTAGCAATGTGTTTCTCAGTCTCTATTACTAACAATCCCTTTCCCCCCGGATGATCCCATATTATCCTCTATGACTAAATAATTTAAAGTTTTAATATAATAATCCTAATTTTGTTTCTAAACTTCAAAATATAAGTTTAATTATATATTGATCAATATCTATTATATGATATTATAATCTATATTGGCCACATGGGTCTCATTAGGGTAAAATCAATTATTTAACTTATTGACAAGGATGTTGTCCAAGTGACAGCTGATTGATTTTGACAAATTATTATACTTATCAAACTTTGTAGATTAGGGAATTTGCTCCACATATTACAGTCTTAAAGTTAATAAACCTCTTTTGTCTGATGATATTGAGTAATGGCATTTTAACTGAATTATTATTACTCATGTGAAAGTGGCTCCCTCTACTGACAATAGTTTCTATGCCGCTTTCTGTAACATGATGGCATCTAAATTGACTTACTAGAACACTTTAGTTGCTCTTCAAAAACAAATGCAGTGATATTGATTTTTAAATAATTCAAACATGAGTTTTTAATAATTCAGAGATTTATGTTGAGATTCAATTTTGAAACTATCTGGACTGCAGTCAAACATAATTCAATTGAACTGTTACTTCAATTGAAGATAGCGTATATAGCGTTATAATATGGGAATTCCCAATTTATAATTAGGAGTATATTTGTTGTTAATAAAGGACTAAAGTTAATGTTAAGTAAAATTTACTACTATGGTGTTATCACCATAGTCGAATTTTAATTCTTTTTAATTATATACATTGTAATATTACTTATTATGTTTATTCTGAAATATTACATGTCTATTTATGGTAATTATGGCATGGACATGGCATGGCAGGACAATAGCTTCCTTTTAAGGCAGTGTTATATCAGTAAAATTAAATATTATCCCAAAGGATATATAAAAGATGCTGAGTACCTGACTGACTAACTCATATCATATCAACACAGCTGAAAATGCTGAATATACTTGTAGAATCTAGAAATTTTGCAGATAGGTTATTTAAAATCGAACCCCTAAGGATTTGAAATGGGGGTTGACAAGTTGTATGGAATTTTATCACTTTAGAAGTTAAACATGTAAAATTTTAGATTTAGAAGTTTATAACAAAAATTAATATGTTTATTAGCTTTTAAATAGTTCACCCCCAAAAGGGTGTTATAAGGGATGAAAGGTTTTATAGGAATTGTGTTATAATTGAAGTTAGTTTAAAACTGTAATTTTCGACTTCTGATTAAAGACATATAAGATACTATTAGGTATTTTTATAGATTTCATCCCTAAAGGGGTGAAATGGGGGATAAAAATTTGTATAGGATTTCTGTTAACCTGAAGTTAGAAGTATGAACATTTGTTTTTAAGCTTTTTTAGCAGTTTTTGGCAATTCTATCCTTTAAGGGAGTGAAATAGAAGATTTGATTCAAATAATTTAAGTTTTGTGTTATCTTTATACACTGGCGGGACACCAGTGAGGGATGAAAAGTGAGGATGATGCAGGTCAGTTGGCCATTGTGACTAATTCAACAATAAATCAGTTACAAGGTCAACCTAATAAGGTATATTGCTAGCAATGGGGTTGCTAATCCCTATTACTAACAATCCCTTCTCCCATGCTGTATTGTTCCATCATTTTTGATGCGGAGTACATTACTTGGTTGCAGTGAGGAATGGGTAGCGGCGATCCGCTTCGTGTCCGGGCAGCTGAGCTCGGGCGCAGCGGGCGCTGCGGCTGCGGCGGGAGCCTCCTCCGCGCCGCCAGAATCCGACGACCGTGACATCGCGCAGCTTGGAACCAGCTTTCGCGATCCGCGTCGTATTGTAAGTATGACGATCACGGATCTTGCTCGGCCCTATCTCGGTTTGGTAAAATATTATCAGGTACTAATAATAGACGTCACAAAATGCATTATTTTAATGAAATGGAAACCCCACCTTCGCTATCAGTATACACTAGCGGGGCTCCAGTGAAAGATAATAAATGAAGGTGAGGATGAAAGCAGGTCACTTAGTTCATCGTGATGAACACCTGGAATTCAACACGATGGTTTCCATGGGCAACCGCGTGGAGATCAACCTGATATATAACCTGGTATATTGCTAGCAATAGAGCTATTAGACCCCGTTACTAACAATGCCTTTCCCCCCTAAAGAATGCATTGTGTCGGCCATAATTGTTCAGTGTTGCCATTCCTAAAGACTAAAATATAGTGCATCTGTATCCATGATTACTGTTTTGAAATAAAAAAATCTCACCCTTCAAAGAAAAATGGCTTGTGGTCCCTTAATAGAACGGTCCACTTCTTCCTTTCCCGTGTGTGTTCTAAGAGGCGACTAAAGTAACATAATGGTCGAGGGATTAGCAGCAGCGTCCCTCTTAAAACCTCACCAAAGCCTAACTGCAGTTGCCAATCCGCCTTACTAACATGCCAACTACTGCCAAAACCCTCCTTATGGGGGAGGTCTATGTCCAGTAGTGAAGGCTGATATTACGATGATGATATTTATTTGAATAAATAAGATTATTTAAAGTTGATGTAATTGAGATGGCTCTTAGCTACAATTTGTGAAAATCTGGCGGTGTACCATAAAATGGAATTCCGAATTTTCGGACTCGATTTCATGTTTTCATTCATACCGAAATCGGCTCAGTAAATGGAGCCTAACATTTCGTTCGTCATAAATCCTACCATGAGAGTCCAAAGGGACGTTATTTTAATAATTTTAATATTTTGTAAATGATATTTATTATGTAATTTTAACATAAAATTTTTGTTTCGTTCGGCACCAAAATTTCGGAAAACATTTCATAGTAGGCTCCTCTGTTCAGCTGTTTCGGGGGTTACTTAAAATTTTTAATTTTATTTATTATAACTTTTGTAATGTTTTTTGTTGCGCTAAATTCCTAATTTGAAATAAATGGATTAAACACTTTAATAGTTGAAATAGCAGGAGGTTCTAGTTTTTAGGGATCAGTACCTCCACAGAAATAAAAAAAATTAAACTTGATTTTGTACGAAACCCTCGTTGCGCAAGTCCGCTTCGCACTTAACCGGCTTTTTATAAATATGGGAAAGGTGTTTACAATGTGGGTATCTACGAAACGAGTCATTGTAGTATATCTCCGATAAATTTTGTCGTTTATCTATGTATTAAACGGTGGAAGTCGCTTTCTTTGCATACCATAATACTTGTCGACAAGCGCAACTTGTTACTTGGGTGTATTAGCGGGGAAAGAAAATGTTAGTAATGGGCCATTGTCTAACCCATTGATAGCAATACACTCTATTAAGTCGACCTCCACACGGTTCCCCCTGGAAACCATTGTGGTAAGTTCTAGTGGAATTCATCACGATAGGCAAACTGACCTGCTTTCATCATCACCTGTCATCCCTCCCTGGTGTCTTGCCAGCGTATACCGATAGCGCAGGCGAATTTACCATTAAAAATCACCCATTAAAAAAAACTTGTTACTTGGGAGACTTTGTACAAAAGTCGTTTGCTTGGATACCTCTGTCCCATTCGTGTTTCAACCGTATAGCAGTTGTGTTTGCATGGCTGTGTTTCGGTTTGAATGGTGGGATATGGCGTGAATTTACTGGGTACAGAGGAATAACACCTGAGTCCTCAGGAATGGCAACGCATGGGGGGGGGGGGGGTATCATGGGCGTAACGGTATACTCTGTTATGTCCATGGTACCGCTCATGTCTATAGGCGACGGTTACCACTTTCCATCAAGTGGGCCGTCAGCTTGTTTGCCATTCTAAGTTGTATAATAAATAAAAAAACCTTATTTTCCTCAAAATACTTACTTACTTTTTGTTGTTTGCTTATTTTACACAAATGTACAAACAGATGTGTTTTTTTTATTTGAAACCTATCAGTGTGACGTATTTATTATCATTCATATAACAAATTACTAACCGAAACGACAACACGATTGTAACACAATAAAATTAAACAGGAAAACGGCGCGTGCATGACGCGCTTGCTTCATATACCTTCTTTTTATAATATACCAGCCTTTAACTGTCCACTGCTGAACTTGAGTCCCCCTTGGAAGGTTTTGCCAGTAGTTAGCACGCTTGGAGATGTGTTAAGAGGGACGCTGCTGCCCATCCCTCGTCCTCACTTAGTCGTCTCTTACGATACTTACGGGAAAGGAAAGGACGGCCTGTTCTATGCTGGGACCATTTTGGCAATATTTTATATATATTTTATAATATATTGATAATGTTTTTTCAGTTTGATTTTCGTGCATTTTCTAGTTTTTGATCAACAAAAATTGTTACAAACAGTAACGTGTCTAGAAGTATACATATTTTTTTTAAATTGTTTAACCCTTCTTTGCATTATGGTGGAAATTTCCATCATAACATTGAATGCCCGGGGGGGGGGAGGGATTGTTAGTAATGGAGACTGAGAATCCTATTGCTAGCAATATACCCAACCAGATCGACTTCCTCGCGGTTCCCCCTGGAAACTATCTATTGGTTTACATCTGATTTGGAAAATTCTATTTTTATCTGATGGGATATCCTTTCAGATTGGTTAAGTGTGTACTTACAGATTGGTCGCATAGAAATTTTATCAAAATCGGTTCAGTGATTTAATTTTTAGATCAAAATAACTGGTTATGTCACAATTGAAGTCTTTTTGTTTTTGGGGCGCAATCTTTAATTTTAAAGTATTTGTCCGTCTATTTGTGCACGTACCATGAAAGAAATAAAGGACGTGTGGTCGTTTTTTTAAATTAAAACTATGATTAGCAAAAATGATTAAAAAAAACTTAACTAACCGAGTATTTTTTTACATGGCAATGATAATTGGCAGCTTCGATAGTGGTAGGCGTATTTAAGCGGTAGCCGCAGGGGTCGTGCCCACGCCCAGAATTGTCCAATATCCACCACCGAAAGCGAACGGAGCTTTTAACTATGCACAAAGACAGAAAAGAAAAAAAACATATTAGGCACTCTAAGAGTACCTAATATGCCTCTTTTGGAGGAAAGGGTTTATTACTAATGGGGTCCAATTGACCTATTGCTATCAATACACCCTATCAGGTCGACCTCCAAGCGATTCTCCTGGAAACCATCGTGGTTAATTCCAATGGAATTTGTCACGATGGTTTAACTGACCTGCCTTTTCATCCTCACCTATCAACCCTCATTGGTGCTCCGCCAGCGTATCCCGATAGCGCAGGCGGGGTTACCATTCCATTATTACCATTACATTTTTATGGGTGCAAATGGTATGGTAACCCCGCCTGTGCTAATGGGATACGCTGGCGGAGCACCAGTGAAGGGTGATTGATGAGAATGAAAACAGGCCAGTTAGCCCATCATGATGAATTCATCAGGAATTAACCATGATAGTTTCCAGGGGGGCTGCGAGAAGGTCAACCTGGTTGGGTATATTGCTAGCAATGGGATTCTTAGTCTCCATTGCTAACAATCCCTTGGCCCTCTACCATTCCACTATTACCTCTTTCACGCAAAAACATCACCAAAACCTAATTGCAATTGCAACCCGCTTGCCAAACTACTGGCAAAGCGTGTTCAGCAGTGGACAGTTAACGGCCGATGTGATGATGATGAACAACGGTAACTGCTTACCATCAGGTAGGACGTATGCTTGTTTGACACGTCAATTGTATAAATAAAATTATTTGTTCTTTTAATTTGTTCTTTCACGATAATTATCTATTTTATCCGCAGACATTGGAGAAATTCGAATTCGTAAAGGTGCTAGGCAAGGGTACCTTCGGCAAGGTGGTGCTGAGCCGCGAGAAAGGCACCGGCAAACTATACGCCATGAAGATCCTCAAGAAGAACGTGATTATACAGAAGGACGAGGTCGCGCACACCATCACAGAGAACCACGTGCTCAAGAAGACTAAGCACCCCTTTCTCACGGTACAGTTGTTTATATCTTAATTATATAGATAGAGTGTCTCCTGCTTTGAGGGTGTCCTTCTCTTGAAATCTGTCTGATTCTAGAATAAGTATCCCGCCAGCGTATATTGACGAAAGCGGACTTACCATTCTAGTGAAGTCGATTTTGACGTGTCATTTCTTTTAACCTAATATTTAAATTTGGAAGTTTCGGAAAATTATTATTTTATGGACTGGCTGACTGAATAAACTAAATTTATAATAAATTTTACTTAAATGTAATAGAAATTTTGGAAGGAGTTGGAGGAGGCCTTTGCCACAAGGCACTTAATTTGCGCTAAGAGACTTAATTTGAGTGAAATAATAATAATTATAATACATAATTTTCATAATATAATTTTACGATTTTATTAATTAATTCTAAAAAAATGTAATGGAATAAATATATAGTTTATTTTTAGTGAAAAATATTATAATGTATGCATGCAATAGTAATTATAATCACAAAGCAAATTTTGTATAATATTAAGCACAGAATAAAGGCTTCTTTATTTATTTTGTACAAAAGTCGATTGCTTGGGTACCTCTGTCCCATTCGTGTTTCAACCGTGAAGAAGTTGTGTTTGCATGGCTGTTTTTCGGTTTGAAGGGTGGTATATGGCGTGAATTTACCGAGTACAGAGGAATAACACTTGAGTCCTCAGGAATGGCAACGCGGGAGGGGGGAGGGGTATCATGGGCGAAACAGTATACTCTGTTATGTCCATGGTACTGCCCATGTCTATAGGCGACGATTACCACTTTCCATCAGGTGAGCCGTAAGCTTGTTTGACATTCTAAGTTGTATAAAAAAAATTATTTATAAATAAAAATTTGATTCATATTGGTCCTCAGATTCCAGTTTATTATCATGTATAAAAAAAAGATGTGTTCGCTTGCGCAGGCGCTGCGATACTCGTTCCAGACAGCGGACCGCGTGTGTTTCGTGATGGAGTACGCGAACGGCGGTGAGCTGTTCTTCCACCTGTCGCGCGAGCGGTCGTTCTCCGAGGACCGCACCCGCTTCTACGGCGCCGAGATCGTGTCCGCGCTCGGCTACCTCCACTCGGAGGGCATCATCTACCGCGACCTCAAGCTCGAGAACCTGCTGCTCGACAAGGACGGACACATCAAGATCGCGGACTTCGGCCTCTGTAAGGTGAGCACAACGTCTACTCTCACGTGATATACTTTGCATCCAGATAGTAGTATCTAGATACACAAATGCATGGAGAATTATAGAAATATTTTCGGACACATTTGTGGCCAACCAAGTCCGAGGTGCCTGCCATGTGGTCCCGGCATAGAATGGAACACCCTTTCCTTTCCCGTGGATGTCGTAAGAGGCGATTAAGGGTAACTTAATGGTCTAGGAATAGGCAGCAGGGACTCTTAAAACATCATAAAAGCCTAACTGCGGTTGCTAACTCGCTTGCTAAACGTAGCAGCTACTGACAAAACCCCCAGTAGGGGAGGCCTACGTTCAGCAGTGGACAGTTATACGGTATATAATGATGATGAAGTCTGAGGTACAATACTTATAGTAAAAATAAAAACTACGTACCAACCTTGGTTTTTTTATTGTGTAAAAATGGAATGGTAACCCCGCCTGCGCTAACGGGATACGCTGGCGGAGCACTAGTGAAGGGTGATCGATGAGAATGAAAACAGGCCAGTTAGCCCATCATGATGAATTCATCAGGAATTAACCATGATAGTTTCCAGGGGGAACCGCGAGGAGGTCGACCTGGTTGGGTATATTGCTAGCAATGGGATTCTTAGTCTCCATTACTGACAATCCCTTTCCCCCCACCAACCTTGGATTATATAAATAGAGCCTCGAGTCTCAACAATGAATCAATTTTTTATCAGTATTCTATATACTTATGCATACAACGTATCTTGACGTATTATTTAATAAATAAAATGAGTAAAACGCATTAAAAATATGCAGAATTTATAAGTCAAAATAAATATAGAAGTTATAAAGGAATCACTCATAACTATTTATCAGACAAAATTGTATGAAAAAGTTGTCTCGCTTTTCTCGAATCATTTGTATAGAGACATTATATCTATATAATCTAAGGAAACAGTCAATGATGGGGGGAAGGGATTGTTAGTAATAGGGAGGTTAGCCCCATCGCTATCAATATACCTTATCAGGTCGACCTCCACGCGGAAAATTTTAATTTTTTATGAAAATTGTATGAAAAAGTTGACCCGTTTTTTTCGTAACGTTTCTATGGAGAATCTATCTATATAAACTAAAGTACCACCATATTTATTTATACATCGACTAACTGACCCTAAAAAGTTATTTCAACTATTAAAGTTTAGTTCGCTATTAGAGTTTACCAGAGGGAGACTGTACAAAAGTCGATTGCTTGGGTACCTCTGTCCCATTCGTGTTTCAACAGTGAAGCAGTTGTGTTTGCATGGCTGTGTTTCGGTTTGAAGGGTGGAATATAGCGTTAATTTACTAGGTACAGAGGAATAACACCTGAGTCGTCAGGGATGGCAACGCATGGGGGTCTCATGGGCGTAACAGTATACTCTGTTATGTCCATGGTACTGCTCATGTCTATAGGCGACGGTTACCACTTTCCATCAGGTGGGCCGTCAGCTTGTTTGCCATTCTAAGTTGTATAAAAAAAATACTTTAAAAATAAGAAATAAAATCAGTTATTTTAAAAAAGATTTAAATTACCCTAAACTCCCGCTGCTAAATTCAAAAAGGAATGTAAAAAGGAGTATAAAAATACTTACTCTCTGGAAAATAGTTATACTTATTTCTTTTACTAACTAAGCTGAGTAGAATAAATAAAATATAAAGAACGTTACTTATAGAGATATTGCCTTATATAAAGCGCTCACTGTATAAATAAATAAGCTGATTTTCAAATCACAGTAACAGGTAAAAGTTATTGACGTTCATATTTCTACTTCCATCGCCTTATGGAGTGTGTGGGCCACTGGGATCAGGGGGCCTACCATGTAATGAAATTCCGAATTTTCGGGTTCAATTTCGTACCTAAATCGACACAGTAAATGGAGCTTAACGTTTCATTCATCATAAATCCTATCCTAATAGTCCAGAGGAACGATATTTTAATGTTTTTAATAATTTTAAACGGAATGTATTATGTTATTTTAACATCAAATTTCTATTTCGTTCGTCCACGAAATTTTGGAAAACATTTCATGGTAGGCCCTCTGTTTACGATAAATTCGCTGCTTGATTACAGGTGAACATCACGTACGGACGCACGACGAAGACGTTCTGCGGCACACCAGAGTACCTCGCGCCCGAGGTGCTCGAGGACACCGACTATGGCCCTGCTGTTGACTGGTGCGTATCCACCGAATTAGGGGTTAACCACAACACTGGTTAATCGATTAGAATTATTTAATTCCGCCGTCTGTGCCCTGACATAGAATAGGCCACGTCTTCCTTTCCCGTCACTCGTAAGAGGCGACTAAGAGGGGGGTGTGGGATGGACAGTAGCGGCCCTCTTAAAACATCTCTAAAAGCCTAACTCTGGTTTCCTAACTCAGGAAGGGATTGTTAGTGATGAGGAGTTTAGTCCCCACGTGGACCTCCACGCGGTTCCCCCTGGAAACTATCGTGACCAATTTATCATTGAATTCGTCACAATGGACTAACTGACCTGCCTTTGCATCCTCACCTATCACAGCTCACTGGTACACCGCTAGTGTGTACCGATAGCACAGGCGGGGTAACCATGCCATTTTCGCACATAAAAAAAAAAACTCTGGTTAGTTTATCGACAACCGAACGCATAGTAATTGTAGCGGAATTAAACAAAATAATTCTAATTAATTAACGAGCAATTCATAATTCACTCTAACTTTGATAATGGTCACTTCTCTTCTTAAAATTAATATAGGAGAAAATTGTATGTCTGACCGGTCGTCACAAAAAAATAACTATTGGATTGGAAACTTTTTGAAGTTGTAATATAGTTGTTATAAAGAATGTACATACATATTATTGGAAATGTATTATTTTAAATTGAAACATGATTATCCTAATAATCAATGGTGTGCTAAGTGCACATTTTTGAAATATAGAGAAGCATTATTTTTCTGTCTCTGATTTCATTATGATACATAATAATGGTTAGGTTTTCTTGTTTTAAATGAATACATAGAATAATTTTTAAAATTGAAATACATCTTAAGACTGGGGGCCTACCATGAAATGAAATTTCCAAATTTCCGGACTCAATTTCGTGTTTTTGTTTGTACCTAAATCGACCCAGTAAATGGAGCTTAACGTTTCATTCATCATAAATCCCATCCTAATAGTCCAGAGGAACGATATTTTGATATTTGTAATAATTTTAAACGGCATGTGTTATGTAATTTTAGCATCAAATTTCTATTTCGTTCGTCCCCGAAATTTCGGAAAATATTTCGTGGTAGGCCCTCTGATTATATTGTATTTTAGTTATAAAATTTTCCTCGTTGTAAATGTGACGAGTGCGGTGAGTGTGACGAGGTTGGCGACGGGCGGGCAGGTGGGGCACGGGCGTGGTGCTGTACGAGATGGCGTGCGGGCGGCTGCCGTTCTACAACCGCGACCACGAGGTGCTGTTCTCGCTGATCCTGTCGGAGGAGGTGCGGTTCCCGCGCGCGCTGTCGGCGGCGTGCCGCGCGCTGCTGGCCGCGCTGCTCACCAAGGAGCCCGCCAAGCGGCTCGGCGCCGGGCCCGACGACGCCGTCGAGATCATGCACCACCCCTTCTTCGCCTCCATCAACTGGGCCGACCTCGTCGCCAAGCGGGTCCGTCGCTGCTACCGCCCCCTCCGCACCCTTCCCCCTCCCCTGCCCCCGACTCTAACTCCTTTCGTATGCAACTACTTACCTACCCTCTATACAGCTTTTACCTGACATACCCCTCCACTGCCATCATTTCTTCCTCCGTAGTATAATTTTCTTAGACGAAATTTCCCTCTGTCTCGTCAAAGGGCATTTTCGAGTATACATTTAAATATGTTCATCAATTCATGACTCATTCCCATAACCAGAGGGAGACTTTGTACAAAAGTTATTTGCTTGGGCACCTCTGTCCCATTCGTGTTTCAACCGTGAAGCAGTTGTGTTTGCATGGCTGGTTTCGGTTTGAAGGGTGGGATATGGCGTAAATTTACTAGGTACAGAGGAACAACACCTGAGTCCTCAGGAATGGCAACACATAGGAAGTGACATGGGCGAAATAGTATACTCTGTTATGTCCATGCTACTGTTCATGTCTATAGGCGACGGTTACCACTTTCCATCAGGTGGGTCGTCAGCTTGTTTGTCATTCTAAGTTGCATAAAAAAGGTAATGTTTGCAAAGTCCAAATTGTTTTTTTTATACCATTGAACTGGCAAACAAGCATATAGCCCACCTGGTGGTAAGGGGTTATCGTAGCCTATAAGCGCCGGTAATACAAGTGACATTACGCGCGCGTTGCCGACTCAATTGTGGTTCGTATTTCATAATTAGTTTGCGTTGTGTACGAGCGCGGTTGACAGTGAGTTGTGTGGCGATCAGGTGCCGCCGCCGTTCAAGCCACAGGTGGAGTCGGAGACGGACACGCGCTACTTCGACTCGGAGTTCACGGGCGAGTCGGTGGAGCTGACGCCGCCCGAGCACGACGCCGGCCTGCAGCGCATACAGGAGGAACAGTTCCCGCAGTTCTCCTACCAGGTCGCCGCCGCCACCTCCACACACACACACTCCCACACCTGCGCTTGCACTATACACAACTGCGTGGCTATCGCTCTTCTACTCATGTTTCAGGCCCAAAGCAATTGTGCTTGCATTAATTTAATGAGCACACAGCGGAAGCTACAGTGTATTTTGTGATTTCTGTGGTGCTTTTTTTTATGGATGACAATGGAATGGTAACCCCGCCTGCGCTAACGGTATACACTGCCGGAGCACCAGTGAGGGATGATAAGTATGTCCGTGGTGCTAGTCATGTCTATTGGCAACGGTTATCATTTTCCATCTAGTAAGTTGGCAGCTTATTTGCCAATTCCCAATAATATAAAAAGGCCTGATTGCCATATTTATTAATTGATAAATTGTTTGCTTAAACATAAATATATATATTTTTTACAATAAATATTCTGTCTGCAAATGTCAAGCTTCTTCGATCTTAAATAAAATTTTGTATTATAAATTTGAGTGACTTGCAATATTCAAAGTCCTCCCAAAGCCTCTAACTTTGAGTGTACCGTCAACATAAGCATTTGTCTCCCGCAGGACATCAGCTCGTCGGCGCACTCGGCGCTGTCTCACCTGTCGCAGTCCGCGCTCGCCGACCGCCACCAGTAGCCGCCGCCCGCGGCCCTCGGTAGCCACTAGTGACAGTCGCCCCTGGCCGCTCGACGCTCGACTCAGTCGTCCCTGGCCATCTGGCACTGGTGTCAACCCCCTTGGCCGTCCGACGCCGTTGTCAAGCCCCTAACTGTCCGACATCGTTGTTAATCACTCCTGGCTGTCTGATATCAGTAATAATCGCCCTCGACCGTCCGGCACTGGTGTCAATCATTCCTGGCCATCCGGCATCGATGTCAGTCGCCCCTAGTCCAACACCAATGTCAATCGCCCGCTAGTCGTCCGACGCCAATGTCAGTCGCTTCTGGCCGTCCGACATCGATGACAGTCGCCCCCTAGTCGTTCTATACGAATGTCAGTTACACCTGGCTGTCCAACACCAGTGTCAGTCATCCTTAGTTGCCCGACATCAATGTCAGTCGCCCCGGGCCGTCCGACACTAGTCCGGCCACGGGCGACCAGGTCAGTCACCCCTGGTGAACTACCGCCAGTTTTGCCACAGTGCCAGTCAACCTTGGACGACTGGATGTTACAAGCTTGTGGACAAAATAAGATTCTGTCAGTGATATCCCTAATAAAAAAATTGCAAAATGTATAAGTTTAACATAAGCTTTAGAATATTCGAGTGTTCTCTGGACGTAAATCTCATGCATTTTGTAGTTTTTTTTTTTTTTTTATTTTATTTTATTAGTGATACCACTAATAAAATATTGCTTGGGGTACAGGCTTAAATCGCTCCCGGTCGACTGCCACTCGAGAAGGTTATAAACAAATAGGTATCACAGTATAAATACATATTGCCAATAAATTTGATCTTGAAAATCAGTCGTCCTCTTTCTCACCATCACCGTTGAGTGTAAGAGAGATAGAGAATAATTCCATGTTTAATTGTGAGGTTGAGAATGATGAGTAAGCGGGACAGAAGACGCGAAACGTCATTCGAGCTCAAATGTATTGGATGTTCCACTATTATCCGATTCCATTTGGTTATAAACTTCTGTTTAAATTGTATCTTTTTTTTGTTATTTAATACTGGCATGTTCTCCCCCGCCCCCTGTCGCCCCATCATACTTCTGGAACAGAAGTATCTCAAGGTGGATTTAGACTAAGCGAGCACACGCTCTATCTTTCCTTACTTTTTATTTAGTCTAAATTGTTCGCCGATGCATGGCGAACTATTTCGTCGCTGTTCCTTTAGTCTAAACATAATACTTTTTCTATTCTCATTGTTAAGTCTAAATCCACTTTAACAGAACACGGATGTAATGGACTATGTGTTTACATGTATATATAATTGTACCTTAAACCCCTTTTATCTTTGCCGGCTCGATTTTGTAAATAATACATTTATGGTATTATGAAGTCTTTAATAGTAAATAAATAGGATATATTATTATTATATATAAGATTATGCAGTTCGTATATTATTTTTACTGCGCATTTTAATGTTGACTTTCACGAAATCAGGAACAGTCACGTTCGCGACCAGCCGACAAAGGTAAACGGAAAGGGTATAGAACACAGACATAACGTAAACAGATGTCGCAACTACATTATAGCGTGCCAAGTTGGCACCTTGAGAAACATTGCAAAGTTCTGTTACTCTATGTAAGTTTTAAACCGGAATTCTTAGATGAAATTCATGTCGAAAAATTTGGGGGATACGCAATACTTTTCATATACAGATAGTGATTTAGTAAGGGTTTTGTTGATTGATAAATTGAAACGCCACAGTAAATAGAAATAATATGGCACGCTTATTTTTCACAAAGGTTGAAGTTGCGTCGTCTGTTTACATAATGTCTGCGGCATAGAAAGTTAGTACGCGGGGCGAGAGGGGAGGTGCGGTGAGGGGGACACGGGTGCGACCGTACGAGCGGCCACAATGCTCTAATGTATTTCCTTTTTGTATATATTAAAATTAGGATTAAACTACTGTGTGTGTTTTTACTTACCCCCATATATAGGCAGTCCTCGTTCTTACGGCATGGAAGGTTCCCGAAATACGCGACGTAAGTCGAGACATATTTTTTCATATGTTTACATGTAAAACCCAAGAGTTTTTTTAATGGGTGACAATGGAATGACTACCCCATCCTCGCTATCGTTATACCGCAGGGCACCAGTGAAGGATGATAGGTGAGGATGAAGCAGGTTAGTTAGCCCTTCGTGACGAATTTAACAAGATTTTTTTATACAACTTACAATGGCAAACAAGCTGACGGGCCACCTGATGGAAAGTGGTAACCGTCGCCTATAGACATGAGCAGTACCGTGGACATAACAGAGTATATTATCTCACCCATGATATATACGTTGCCATTCCTGAGGACTAAGGTGTTATACCTCTGTACCCTGTAAATTTGATATTTTCAATTTGATATTTTACATCGATCAAATCAATTTATTACAAAAAAAACAAAAGTAAATGAAATCGTTATTTAAACTGCAAGTTACTGGTAACACTGATCGGGTATGTAATCTGTATTACCATTTAAAACGTCTTGCCATAAATAAAACTACATATTTTCTTATCTCGATATATTTTCAATAAAAAGATAGTAATAATAATTGAGGAGCAGTGGCTTAGCGAGGGCCGAGGCGCCCGGCAGCGTACCGTACTAACTACGCGAAGATATCAAATATCTCAGATAAACTTTAAAAACGTTAACAATAAATCACTAATCGATAATGAAGGCGTATGCAGACGGGGGACTTTTCGTTCGCGGAGCACTATGGCCGGTATTAGTCGCGAACTGGCGCGTTTTCGTTATAAGTATCCATGTGTTCTAAAAATATGTTTTTTTTTACACTTGAATTCAATAGTTATTAACGCTTCTGCCTGGAGGGCACCCAGCAGAAACTCGATTTAGTGTTGCCAGGTTGTGTAAAAAATTTCGTTCGCACAATTTTGGAGAAAAGTAAAATGGACCTCGAGAAATTTAGGTATTTTCCTACGCTTAGTATTTGAAAACTGCATAACGGTATATAACTATAGTAAGTATATATCAATATATGTAGTTAGCAAAATAGAAGTGACACATAAAAAAGTAGAGAGGCACTTTTTTCTTCATTCACTTTGCGGTTACGCTATGACAAAACGTAGTAAACATCGACACAAGTTTACAATAGGGAAAAATAAAAGAAATTGTAGCAGTTTAGAGAAAAATATTTAACATTTGGTTAGAAACAAAAAATTGCATCTGGTAACCCAGCTTTTGTCACTACCCCATCATCGACGAAGGTGATGTTTTTCAATAAATGTATCTCTAATTTTTCGCAACGTGATTTAACGGATTTATTGAGTTAAGGAAAAATATTAGAGTATGAATTTCTATGTGCTCAGTTGTGACAGGCAAAATGTACGCCGGGAACTATCCCCCGTCTGCACACGCCCTAAACAAGAGGCGCTTCGGACGGTCGCGTGATCGCGTCGGTGCGCGTCCCGAATACGATAACAGTCTGTGTACTCTGTCGGCGGATATGTATGCGGAGGCGACTGGCTCCCGAAGCGAACGAAATTACATGTACGTTTCTCTTTACTTGTCCTTCTTGCCCGACTGTCAAACAAAGGAGTGTAATCTCTTTCGAATGTCAAGATTATTTGAGGCGGTATTGCTTAACATTTTATGATAATATGGTTCGTCTTAAACGTGAAAGTATTGATAGTTTATAATAAATATAAATTGCCAAATCAAATTAATTTTCGTTACATTTGTACAGTTTAATTTACTTTAGACGTTTTACGGCTACATAATAACAGTTTATAATCAACTGTCAAAATGCAACCGAAACTATTTTAGGAATTTAACAGTCGGGTCTGTGACATCACGCCCACTTTACAGTTAACAATCTTGACATATCTTTTCACTTTAAATAAAAGAACAAACTGCTAGAGTTTTTCTTTTAATTAAATTTTTATTTATGAGTGATTTCGTTTAAAAAATGTGTCACGACTGTTTATCAAATAAGACAAGTAATTAAAAACGGAGTATATACTAACAGTGTTTGTCCATTACAAGAACTCGTTGCAATCATAATATAAAAATATTTGGTCGTTTGTGTCGAGATCGAAAATAGCGAAAACGAATCGCAGGAAAATATATTGCTTTTAAATGTGAAATATCAATTTGATATCACCTTTAACATTAATATCATTTACATAAGTTTCGTATTACATTACGTTTCGTACTGTGATAATTTTTCTAAGTGAAACTCTTACATTTTTTGTTACTTGATATCAAGGTATTAGTGCCTATGTAGTTATAAAGTTTATTTGATTTAAGTTGGAATTAAGTTAAAAAAAATTAATTCAGTTGGAGCCGCTACAGAAGAAAATATGTATCCTATAATCAATAGCACAGCAGCACAGTATTTTTTTTTTAATGCAGATAAACAATTTTAGGTTAAGGTAAAGTATTGTCTGTGAATTCTAATATAGATAAATGACGATAACTGTGTCTGACAAGGCTTGACTGCGATATAGGTGTTCGAAGATCCAATCCCAGTGTAAATTTCAGAATTTTTAAATTCATGTTTGGATCATTTGAAAACAATTATCACTTGTTTCGCGCTTCGGAGTATACGTAAGGTTGTCGTTGAGTAACCCACTTAACTTTGAGATTTCAACAAACTAGTACTGGTATATACAAAATAATATAAATATTAGTTGCTAAAAAAGCATATTTCAATATGAGATTAAGTATTACCCTATCATTTGGAGGAAATGAGGATATATCTATGAAAAACGGAATAGGTAAACAAACCTCCCTACATACTCTTGAGCACTAATACATTGATATCAACTGTAACCTTACTACAATTACTCGAGCACTTCGCAACGTACAAAGAGCTTCAATCATCAGTTCTAAACTGTGTCCCCCTACACACGGAAAGCGTCACGTCAAGACATTGCGTACTATCACTCGCGGACTGCTTTACTCATATGCACTTAGTGTCAATACGCACTGCTGAAGTGGCGTCGAAGTAACCTTACTAATAAATATTCAACTAAAATTTTGAAATTTAAAAATTTTAACGCATTAAAAATAGTAAATTGCTTCCCCATATAAGAAAGATTGATGGATGTATGTATGGATTAGACCAGGGATTCCCAAACTTATTTTGTCTTATTTTGTAAGAATAAATTATTTATTATTACCAGAGAGAGACTTTGTACAAAAGTCGATTGCTTGGGTACCTCTATTCCATTCGTATTTCTACTGTGAAGCAGTTGTGTTTGCATGGTTGTGTTTCGGTTTAAAGGGTGGGATATGGCGTGGATTTACAGGGTACAGAAGAATAACACCTGAGTCCTCAGGAATGGCAACGCATGGGAGGTATCATAGACGAAACAGTATGTGTGTGTACTGTTATGTCCATGGTACTGCTCATGTCTATAGGCAACGGTTGCCACTTTCCATCAGGTGGTCCGTCAGCTTGTTTGCCATTCTAAGTCATATAAAAAAAAATTTTAGCGCCCCCATTTTTTCACCTACTTAAAAAAACCACTATTACTTCAAGATCAGCAAATCACCCGCCAAGCCTCTACACAACGTCCTCATTTTTTTCTGGGTCTCTTACTGCCCCCCTTTATGCCTGCAGCGCCCACAAGGGGGCGTTATCGCCCACTTTGGGAAAGGCTGGATTAGACGATATTAAGATATTTGAGTACATTTATATTCTTTGGTACATATACGTTTATTAGAATAAATAACCAAGTTGAACCGACATTTTTATGGATCGGCGTGTTAATAGCCTGCTTCTCTTTAATAGCTCAACGAGTCAGGGCTTGCAAGCAAAAGACTCACTGATACGGTGTCACGTAAGTCGTAAAATTATTTGTTGACTGCGAATGAGTTTGTGACAACCCTCCCAATCCAAACGGAGTTTGAATAAAAGGAGGGTACCTACATTTTTACAGTATTGTCTTTACAAAATAATTATACAGATTTCGTTTCATTTATTGTTATTCTTAGATTATATAGATTGTCTGCATATAAATGCTTCTAAAGAAGCAGGTCAACTTTTTCATAAAATTTTGCGTGAATATATATATATATATATATATATATATATATATATATATATATATATATATATATATATATATATATATATATATATAGAACACTGACAAAAAATTTTAACCCGTTTTTTTCGATGCTTCAGATCTATATAATCTAAGTTCTTATATATGGTACGAATCTATGTAAGTCCCTTTCACACTTCAGAAATTAAAAAATAAAGGTTACTCCTGTATAAAGCAATTTTATGTTAATTGATTTTTTAATGACATATATTCCTAGATTCGTATAGGGGATTGTTGATTTTATAGAGACACCTCCGTCGCCACTTCACTAGTTGCGTTGATTTCTAATTTTCCGTAATAATTTTTATTCTAGCCCGCGACGTCGTCGGTCGGGGTGTCCGCCGCGAACCCGAATAAATATTACTCGTAATGTAAATACTTTATATAAAGTTAGCGTAACGGTGCCGACAAGCGTTAATGCAGCGTGTCTACTCGCGAGTGCCTACGAGTAAGTACATTTTATTATTACTGTAAGATATATTACAATATCAAATATATAGGATCGCGTCTAAGTAAATTTATCAATTAACTAAGTGATAATGTTTCTAATGAGATCGTTTTTCGCTTTCAGCTTGTATTTATGATTCTATGATACACATGGTCTTACATATTCGACAGTGTAATATACCCTTATGTGTATTTACAGCGAGCAAGCGCGGCGCGGCCGCGGTACTCGTAATATATTAACTACGTTCTATTCGACCCGAATCTTTTATAGCGTCACGCTCAGTACACGACAGTGTAACATTGTGCTCGCATCGTATCACGTACAGTGCGAACGGAACAAGAAACGTAACGTCATAGATTAAGCATAATGCTCGCAAAGTCAATATTTTCAAACTGTCAAAGAACTGTCAAATTTACATAACGAAATTTAAGATTTAATTCTCGATTTTTATATATTTAATTAAAGCTTAGAAGCATGTACAAAACTTTAAGTTTCAGAATTAATCTTTTGGATAGCTAAGTCATAGGTAAATATAATTTTCGCTAGCGTACGCATAATACAAAACAAGACAAGAACGTGCAGCGTCTTATTCTCACTCATCAGTGTGATAACGAAATTTACTAGTATGTTTGATTGTCATTCGCCTATAAGGGGGTTTATTCTTATTTCGAACGCACAATAGCGATACAGTCTAGAGAACTCCTTTCTACCAATCGTCCAACAGCACATCTAGGCAGAAGAGTGCGTCCCGAATTGCTATGTAATTCGGGACACACGAAGGGCGTCGGACCACTGGCCGTGCGTACACTGCGACGACGAGCGATCGGTCGCGTCACAGAGCACCGAACGGTGTCGAGCTCGAGGGCGGGTGGCAGGCACTGGTGGCGCGGGCGCGGCGCCCGGCGCGCTAGGCGGGCGGCGCGCCGGGCGCCGCCGCGCGCTACACGAACTCGCGCCGCCGCGCCGCCGCGCCCGCACTCGCGCCGCCCGCGCCGCCCGCGCCGGTCGCGCCGCTCGCGCCGGTCGCGCTGCTGGCGCTGCCCGCACTACCCGCGCTGCCGCCCGGCGGGCTGGCCGGCGCCTCACCCGGCGTCGTCGGCGTCGGCACTTGAGGCGCTGTGCCTTTACTGCGCGCCTGTGGACGATGTTCCAAATTTAAAATCCTTCAATACAATAAAGATTAATTAATTCCAGAGACACCAGTCTCTGTTACTAGTTAGTAATAAACTACATAGGAATCTGTCAAATTGTTTATAATCAAAGGTTTACACATACTTAAAATATTAATTAGTTAAATTTAATTTAATTTATACAACTGAAAGCAAACAGTAACTGTCAAAGTGCTAGTCCAGCTCAAAGGACCAAAAAATGTAAATTAAAAATATACGAATATTAATTACATTTAAGCATTTTTGCTATATCTATATGACCAATTTATCAATTAGCTCGACATATTTTAGTACACAATTTTTTTTAATTTAAAAATATGATTTCCCACGTTTTTCATATTAAATTATTTTATTTAATATTTATTTATATCTTTACTTATGTGCCAATACCAATACGATACACTTATATTTAATTGAAATTATAAACTCAGTATAAAGCGATTTCTATTGTATCGAAAATTAGGATACCGGCGAGATAGGACCGTTCCTTATATTCTCTAGTGGACAATGAAGGATGCAGTGAGGATAACGATGCAGTAACCTTGGAGCGTCGTTTCCGCGTGAGGGCCGCGATGTCGGCAGGCGGGGCGCGCGCCCTGTCGCCGTCCTCGGGCCGCGCGCCGCCCGCCACGCCGCTCCCCGCCCCGCTCGCCGCCCCGCCGTCAGTCGTGTCGGCGCCTAGTCGCGCTGCCAGCATCGTCAGCAGCTCCTCCACTCGTCCTAGCTGTTACATAAAAATAACGAAATATATTGAATCTCTCATTTTAAAATGGAGATACGTCATTTTAATTTTATTTGTGGCTATTTTACACGATTACATCATTGATTCTAAACCAATTTTGATATATCTTTTTACACGAAATTCCTTTATAAATTCAGCTTTTACCCTCGATATTTTCAGCGCACGCTATGAGATAACGCACAAACAAACTCACTTTCATATTTATATTATTAGAAGGAAAAAAAAACAAATTTTTAAGTTGCACACCTTATGTTGGAGACGTTGGACTTCATTTCGAACGTCTCTGCGCAGTTCCGCCAGCGCGGCGTCATGTAAAGCGGGTGTGGGAGCGGTGCTGGCGGGAGCGGACGAGGCGGTGGGCAGCGCGGGGGTGGATGCGGGGGCGGGCGCGGCGGAGGGCGCGGTGGCGGGGGCGGGGGCCGCCGCCGCGGGGCGCCGCTCCTCCAGCTCCTCCTCGATGGTGTCCTGCCGCCCGCTGCCCGCGCCCAGCGTGCTCGCTGATCGGGCTTTGGCGAACGACGCCTAACGTACACACAATAGATTCGATGTCGTAGTTTCCTTAAAATTTTAAAAATATTTCAGACCAAGCTGTTTAAATAGGATAACCTTTGTAAACTGAACAATTTATATATCTAAATGTCAATAGTAACGTATTTTAAGGTTTTTGTGTATTAGTGTATTAATTATGTCACAAATGATACCTTGAGAGCGAGCACTGAGACGTGAGGCGTCACCCCGGATCCGGCACTGGCATCCGACGACGGGGCGACACTGGTGGATGTGGGACGATCGCGGGTACTCAGGCTGCGGGCGAACGGGGCGCGTGGCTGGTCTCCCCCGCTCCCCGCACCGCCACCAGCCCCGCCCCCTCCACCGCCTGCATCAAGTGACCCGCCGCCCGCCAGCAATCGGCCCCACTTGCCTCGCGCCGTCGCTCCACCTGTGGCTGCGGGGGCTGGAGCAGGTGTAGCAGCCGGGGCCGCGGGGGCGGTGGCCGTCTCGCCCCGCTCGGGGTCGGCGGGGGCGGGGGCGGGGGAGGCGGCCGCGGTCCGCGCGGGTGCAGGCCCTGGGGCGGCAGCGACGCTACGCTCACGTCGAAACCGCGAAAAGATTTTGCGGACGAGGTGATCCTGAGCTTGTTCGAGCTGGGGCTCTCGCTTTCGTCTTTCCATCAACTCTCGTTCTCGTCTTACATCTGCAACCTTTAATATGACAAAAATCGTGTCACGTCATCGTTAATAGAAAGTAGTATGAAAATTTCTTAAATTGTGAAAAATTATCAATAAATAAATATAAGAATTATTCTTATGGTAGTGGTAATGTTTTTACATATTTGCATACGAACCTTTCTAAATATTAATCGGTGTCGAAGATTGTAGGTGAGCGTGAGGTTGCGCGCGAAGCTGTTGGCGAATGCTTGGTAGAAGTCGAGCACCTCGAGCAGGCGGTCGCGCTTGATGGTGTGCAAGTCGCAGTAGGTGAGCGCGCGCACGTTCGCCGCCGACTGGCCCACCGCGCTGTCCTTCCAAAACGAGTCGCCGAACACGTCGCCTTTGCCTGCCACAAAAATTTATCATAGAATTTACTGTTCATTAAAGTTTAAAATTGAAAAAAAGAATCTAAAATAGAATGCAGCGATATCTAGAGTATACTTCCGAAAGCCAAGAAATAAAACACCAAATTGGATAATAAACTACAATTTATTCAGGTGTAGATCGAACTCGAAGAACAAAAAAAAAAATAATATACTAGAATATAACTACATATATATAACCCATGAGCCAACATTTTCCAAATGTTATAAATTTATCTATCCTATTACAAAGTACTAGTATTCAAGTTCTACTTTTTTACAATAGATAGAAAAAAATTGTGCATTGAAACCATACAGAATATTAAGGACGCTTTAAACCATCCTGCACAACCGAAAAAACCTATCACAGAAAAGTTAATATAACGCTATTTTCATGGTAGACAATGTTCGAGTTTACTGAGGAAGCGAATAGACACATACTTTCTGTAAGTAAAAAGTAAAGTAAACAAAGTAGATAAGTCCCACGTTGGGCGCCAAGTATTTAGTAGTACGTAGATTTGAAATTTCATTACAGTTTAAGTTATCGATATATATATATATATGTATAATAGATACAGAATATCCCAAATATCTGCTCTTATTGTGTGTTTGTGTGTGTGTTTTTTTTATCAAAATAGTGTACATCATACAAAAAATCGATTGACAAGGTACTGAGTAATGAAAAAAAATATTTGCACACGGCGGCGCGAGGCATATATCAAACGCCTTACAAGAGTACCTTACTTAAAATTACCTAGTATGGCGACGACCTCGTCGTCCTGTATGACTTCGAGGCTGCCGGTGACGATGAAGCAGAGCGAATCAATGGACTCGCCGGTGTGGTAGAGCAGATCGCCGGGCGCCGAATGCGACATTTGGAAATGCATGGCGAGAGCACGCAAGCAGCCATCCGACGCCAGCCGGAACGCCGGGTGTTCGTTGAACACCTTCCGGTTCAGATGCACGCAAATGTCCGCCTTCATGTCTTTCGGGCAGTAGTTCAGCACCTGCCGGGGTACCATTCGATTCAAAATATACTTATTACAGCTCGTGTCAAGGTAAAGAGTTGCCAAACTACCTTCATTATACCTACACGAAACACACTTCTTCTTATGTCACAAGATTCGGCAACAAGTGTACTCAATTTAACTTCATTGTCGTCTCATTTTAATCTTGAAATTATAACATTTAAATTAGTAGGCATATTATTATATATTATATGTTTGAGATATATATGTGTGTATATATATGTATGGTGAAGAGACTCGCTGAAAATCGTAGTGAGTGGCAAGAGCTCCACCGACAAGAGCGCAGCTCTTAAATAGGATAGATAGATATATATGTATATACGTGTGTGTGTGTGTGTGTGTGTGTGTGTGTGTGTGTGTGTGTGTGTGTGTGTGTGTGTGTGTGTGTGTGTGTGTGTGTGTGTGTGTGTGTATCTATATTAAGATTGCTGTGGTGTTCCTTGTATAAAATATATATTTTAAAACAAAGAAAATTCGTTTGATTAATAGTGTTAACAAAAAGCCATATGGGCACATATATTTTCACTAATAATTTACCTTATCTGTATCGAGCCCTTTGGTCATGGCCCAAGTGGACACGACATAATCCATGACGCGTTCACTGAGTGCTTTAGGCACCTCGTTGAGTTTCATGAATTCGCGGACGTTGTTGAGCATCTCGTGGTATTTGGCCGTCGCCGACGTCATCTGCTGGATGATGGTCGTCACGTGACCGAAGATGGTCGCGTACAGTAAAGCTGCGGAGTCATAATGATTAGTGCAAACGCCTGTATTACTGTTTCTACAGCTCCCATAGACAAGTGGCTACGAATACATACGTCGTTACCGTACTAAGAACAAGGAATTACATAGAAGGAATGATAAAATAAAAACTGTAAATCATACGGTTGCCTCCTTTCTTCTTATGCAAATATAATTCGTAAAAAGAGGACGAAAGATACACCATCACTTGCTATTTTTCTCAATTCATAGCAGGCTAGTGTATAGAAAATGATATGTCAATTATTTGTCAACGACAAATTTTACATTATTAGATTATATACTGAGCACAGTTTATGTAGAAAGTATGCAAGCAGGTTGTATCTGAATTTAGTAGGGTTATACTATGCTATGAATTGACAAAAATAGCAACTGATCGTGTATCTTTCGTCCTCTTTTTACTAACTATATTTGCATAAGAAAAAAGGAGGCAACCATATGATTGACAGTTTTTATTTTATCATTCTTTCTATGTAATTCCTTGTTCTTAGTTACCATACGTATGGGAAAAAACGAGATAGCAACTTTCGGGTTCTTGTTCTTTAAATGCCGTGTTTGAAAGAACAAGCTGCCGAAGGTTGTTACGGCATGCATTTTAAATGCATACTTTAGAGAATGCCGACGTATCTATTGATAGATTCGTATAACACTTATCTAGGAAAGCATGTTAGTCCTCAAGGAAAAACCTGAAATCCAGTGAATATGTATTCACTTTTCAGTCATCTTTATTCAAAATTGATCAACTTTCCACAATTAGTATAAGTCATATAAGAAACGAACTCGTTTCCTTCGTTAGCTTGTTCGATAGCATAAAGTGCTGGAAATATACTTTCTAGCAGCCTGTGGATGACTGACAAACAAGCTACTACACAACAATGGACAAGACTTTCAAATTTTAGCTACAAGTGCAGTGACTTTCCTAATGAGCTTTACTGGACTTCACATTAGTATAACCTTTAGGACTGACTGTTGTACATAAGGCACCTAAGAAACTCGACAGATCAGTGTGTATCGACTGAACTTATCGTTTACATACCGCCTAAGTTTTTTTTGCTTTTAAGTGACAATTTTCAAGAATATTTTGCTGACGGTTTGTACACGACTTGTAAGACCACACAGGTGACTCACGCGATGCGACACTTCGTGGGCCTGCACAAGGGAGATAGGGGGAAACGAAAATAAACGGTGAACGGATAGTTCTAAAGAGTGGGACAAATAAAGGGAAATATGTGCGTCAACACAATAACACATGGTGTACGGTACAAACAAAATGGTGGCGAACAATAAAACAATGGTGACACATTTGAGGAACAAGGACATAGGAAGCGCGGCCCCCGGCGCAGTGTAGCCTGCGCGGAGGTCGCGTCAGTGCTCCGGCTAATAACAGAAGAATTCCGGCACCTGCCACAATCATCATACAGGTGGTAAAGATCTTTTCGTTGTCGGTTTCGGCGGCGACGTTGCCGAATCCGACGCTGGTCATGCAGGTCATGGTGAAGTAGAGCGCCGTGACGTACATGGTCTTCCGAGAGGGCCCGTTGACGAGTTCCGGCCCGTCGGACTCGTTCGACCATACGTAAGAATAAGGGGTCTGCGTCACATTGGCTAACTTCCAGAGCCAGGAATACTGGAGGCCCGAGTCGGCGTCCGAGCGGCCGATGCTGTACCACACGCAGGCGAGCCAGTGCGCCACCAGCATGTAAAAGCAGAGCAGCAGGATGAGCATGGCGGCGCCGTACTCCAGGTACCGGTCCAGTTTGCGCACCACGCGGCCCAGCCGCAGCAGACGCACCACCTTCAACGCGCTGAACAGACTGCCAATACCCTACACGCAAACATTATGATTACATTACACACATATTCTGTACGTCTTAATTTACGGAGAGACAGTAATTTGTATAGCGCACATGGTGCTTCGCTCTAGCAAAGTGTCATGTTACGTCATTAGGCGTGCACGCATATAAGCGTACCTACATGTACACTTATTGATCCAATCTGCGCCATCCCAAATTTCCCACCTTCATAAAAAAGCTTATTGTGGCTAAGAAATCGTTTGTATTTATTATATCTGCAAGATTTTGAATCTAGAATAATACTCACATCCTCGTCGTGGTCGAACGCGTTGAAGACATCGTAGGGCAAACAGGACAGCAGATCTATAAGGAACCAGGACTTGAAGTAGTTTTTCCGTATAACTTTGGGGTCGCTGACCACCTCCCCGCCGGGGCCGACGAACGTCGTGTGGAAATTCAGCACGATGTCTATGAAAAACACAACGTCCACTATGGAGTCGATGACCAGCAAGGAGACGTCCTCGCTGGTCTTGTTTTTGAAGGCGACGTTGTACGGCACCATGATAGCGGTGTAGAATGTGAGGCACAGTATAATCCAGTCCCAGATGGCCTTGAATGCACAGTAGTGCAATAGTATGTGTGGTGGCGTCTTGGGCGCCTCCTGCCGGTACTGGGGCAGCACGTCTCCCGACAGAGACATCACCTGAGCGGACACACACACGCAAAGTATCTTATTACATAATACGTTTTTCGAATTACACTTAAATGAAATATATACACAATTATTATTATTATTATTAGAAATTCATTGGTGCTGAGTTAAATTGAAATTATAAGCAGGGTAATTAAGAATCAGTATTCCATGAATACGAATTTATTTCATGTTATAAATCGCCAATGGAATTATATAAATCGTATTATAATTCGGATGATGCGGCTATTTTAAATAATCGACTATGCAATGCTAACCGTCTTACCACAAAAAAAGTTAAACTTCCCATAGAAATACGTTTAATTCATGTTTGGATGTTTAGATAGATAGATAGATAATTTATTTGCATTACTTACAGCACACAAACAGCAAAAGACACAAATGCAAAGTGAAAAAAAATAAAATAAAGATACATGTACAAAAGATTAAAAAAAAATCAAAAACAAAATCAGAATGCATAAAATTAGTAAAAATTTTTTTTCTTCATGCGTGTGCCACAGTAATACAAAATAGCCACAACTCAACTTTTTGCTTTGCCCTAAAAAGAGCAAAACACTGATATTCTGTTGTGGCCAAGAGTGAGCCGCGAAATACCACTAAAAAAAATAATAAAAGAAAAAGAAAGAAATATAGATCAAATACATAGTGTGCGTGTGTTATATTCGCTATTTAGAAGAAGGGTTTAGTGTTTCACTACATAAGCATATATCTAAAATCTGAATATGTTTAAACAAAAGACAGTCTATATTATTAGAAATAAAAGGTGTTTGAAGCAATAAATTGTATTATAAAAGTGTATACATTTTGGTACCTACATAAAATTATAAGTAAACTTTACTACATTGACTAAATAATGTTTAATCAAAGTTTTGTTACGCAATGTTTAGATAAGCAGTTAATTTTTTTTTTTTTTTTTGTAGTAAGACTGTGTGTGTCTAATTAGTGCTAGTATTAAGTAAGTTAGTGTGCTGTGTGTTTACATGCGGTGCGTTGGTACTGACATGCGCGAGGTGGCTCTGACGCTGCGGTTCTTTCAGGGCCGGCAGCGCAGACACCAGCACCGAGCGTGACCGCGTCACGCTGCGTGCTAGCTTCGCGAACTTTGACAGCCCTGTAAGGAGCACGAAAAATCTTAATACCTAGACAAAACAATTAAGACTAAGTACAAACGAATCTATCGATAGAATCGTTATCGCTAACGAGTACAAAAGATATTCATAGAATGAAACAGCAACGCTGTTTTGTTCTCTCTTATGTGAACGTTGTCCTAAGCTATTCTATATATTATAGACTTAGATTATATAGATAGAGCATCGAGCCTCAAAAACGAGTAAACTTTTTGTTAGCTATCTGTTTGTCTTTTTGTCTGTCCCATTCGTGTTTCTACTGTAAAGAAATTGTGTTTGCATTGCTGTGTTTCGGTTTGAAGGGTGGGATAAGGTGTGAATTTACAGGGTACAGAAGAATAACATCTGAGTCCTCAGGAATGGCAACGCATGGGGGGTATAATGAGCGTAACAGTATACTCTGTTATGTCCACGGTACTGCTCATGTCTATAAGCGACGGTTACCACTTTCCATCAGGTGGGTCGTCAGCTTGTTTGCCATTCTAAGTTGTATAAAAAAAAAGCTAATTGTCTAATTAGCTGACAAAAATCCATAGTGATCTCCATGGTGTTATACACCCTAGTGGTCACCATTTTCCATCAGGTATGCCATCAGCTTGTTTGTAATTCTATATGTTATAAGAAAAATATAATGTAACTAAAGGAGACACACAAACCTCCTTTGGGGTCGTCTGCATCGATGGGCTGCTTGAGGGCGGTGATGTCGCGGAAGGTGAGCAGGAAGAGTACGACCAGCTCGCGCTCGTTGCGGATCGGCGCCACGTGCACCAGCAGCCATAGCGGCGTGCCTGCAACACGCACACACCCTCTGAAGGTTTTTTTTTAATAGATGAAGATAGAATGATGCAATACCATAGCGAAACATCACTGGAGGATGAAACTATGTGGATGTTATCAGGGTTTGCTGGAACTCTTACAGAGTTAAGCTCGCCTGTATCTTTATTCAAAACAAATTACGACAATATAATTTTTGTGTACAATAAAGTATAAATAAGTAAACCACGATAATTTCTAGGGAGGATCGCATACAGGTCAATCTGACAGGGTATATTGCTAGGAGTGCTAGTGAGGATTAACTACCCCTTACTAACAATCCTTTTCTCCCACCATCTGAAAGTTGATAAGAGATTGTTAGCGACAGACAATGGCAGCCCCATGCCTACGGCACGGTCCCCAATTAGAAATAATTGTATATAAGTCACAGTGAATGATGAACCAATACACCTAATTCATCCTCAAGAGGGAAAAGAGTTTATTAATAATGGGGCTGTTAAATTTCATAACAGGTTGATCTCCATGCGGTTCCCCTTGAAAACTATTAGTGTTTATTTTTGATGAATTCGTTACGATGGGCCAACTGACCTGCTTCATCGTCGCATATCATCCCTCATTGATGCTCCGCCAGCGTATACCGACAACGCAAGCAAAGTTACCATTCCATTTTCATCCATTAAAAACGTTCATCCTCAAAGATGAAAAAGAATTATTAATAACAGAGTTCAGCAATATATCCAGTTAGGTCGACTTCCACATGATTTCCTGGAAACCATGACGCTTATCATGTCAGCCGTGAACCGTCCACTGTTCAACATAAGCCTCACAACACTTTTTTGTATCTACAGCAAAATTTTAAATTTAAACACACACAGTTCTTAAGAAAATAATAAACACAATGGTGGACTTATCCCATAAAAAGGATTTCTTCCTATCAATCTGCCTGAATGTCTGATAAAAATTGTGAATTGGTGATACCAAAAAAAAAAATATAACTAATTAAAAATAAAAAAAAATAAGGCATTGTCAATTAAATTGATTTATTTACTTACATATGTAGGTATTATTTTTCGATAAGTATATTTATGATGTAGTTACGCTGTTAAATTCTATAAATTACTTAGCCATGAAAGCCTCTAATTTGATATTTGTTTTTATAACACTATATGCCATCTATCCACCATAATACCACAGTATCTACTATAAACCTCTGATTAGTCTATCCAGTACATTAAACATTTGAACATATAGATGGCATTACCTCGCTGTATGACATTTGAAGAGAAAAACGCCACCTTTTGAATCCCCAGTACCTATAGCATTCAACCTAACCGCCTTATCCTTCAATGGGTTAGGGCAGGGAAACATGAATTTGAATAATCGACTTTGAAACACTATTTATTTTCGTCTATCAAATTATTGTGTTATAGTACAAATAATAATATTGTACTAAGTGTCATCTTGCGGAAGTCCACATTGCTGATAATCAGATTTTTTTAACTCTAATTCCGATACAATTACTGTGTGCGAGTGTCAACACTCGAAGATTTATTACTATTCTTATTACCGGAAGTTCTACAATCTTCCATATTAGCTATCAATCTCCGACTGCCATTTCGTCCAAGCACGTTTTGTTATACTAGTAATTATAATAAGGAGAGTGAGTATATTTTCAGTCAAAGTTGAAAAATAAAGAGAATCAAAGAGACTAGATAGTTCCCAATCAGGCGGATGAATTCATAGGTGGAAACCATTTGATTATAAAGGCAAATATTCATTTTAGCTTAGAGCAGCTGAATCGAAGTCAGAATATTCTAAGAGCACTTCAACCGAAGGATGTATATGAATAGTTAAAAGTTCTTTGAAACTAGACCCTCTCTGCCTAGAAAACGTATAAAAGAAATACGTGCCAATAATTTTAACGTTCTCGACAAAAATGTCGTGACGAATAATGGTCAGAATAATTTCCAAGGGCCGTAACATTCTGTTTTGGAGCAACGGAAATACGTACAACATTCGAGGTCAGCGTTGGTGGATTATGTCGGGTGAGGTGGGGTTGGGGCGGAGAAGGAACATTAGAGGCACGCGACACCTGACGCGGCCTCGGTAGTGTTGCCTACTAATCGATTAACGATTACTCGATACAGTTGACATAATAATCTTTACTAATATTATAAACTAGCAATCCGCACGGGTAGACAGACAGAAAGATAAATTAGTATTTTATATTAGCTTTAATAAGCAAATTTTTAATACCTTATTATTGTCATTTCCGTAAGGCTCTGTATTTTTTTTAATAATATATGGCCCATATTACTCACCAATAAAATACTCTTCTGTAGCTTTTAAAATCAGTTGAGATGTTTTTAACTTTATCTATTTCAAACAAACATACAAAAAATAAATATTTTTCTATATAATGTGAAAGTGGGTTTATTTGTTACTTCTTAGCATCTTAATGGGTTAATCACTCGTTACGAAATTTGGTATAAATTTACCATACGGAATGAAGAAGGAAATACGCTACTGGTTACCCCTGTCAGTGAATAAATCACAGTCACGTGTATACTTAACTGGTATTTGTAGCTTTTACCCACGAGTAAAAGCTACATACTATAAAAAAAAATGCAGCTTTCTTTTAAATAACTGTCCTACTAGTGTAATTGAATATTTTTGCCCAAAGATACATGAGTTGAGGAATAGTAAAAAATGTTAATGTAACTAATAAATCTTTTATTAATTAAAATAATGATAAATATCCTAAACATAAATGAATAAAACTAATATATTTCATAGAATCACAAAAAAAAATTAAATTAATAATCAGTCCCATTCATGATCCGTACCCGACCCAAAGGTCCCCATGACACTTGCGGTATTCCGCGTTGGATCGCCAGAGATATCCTTTGAACCAGATACGAACCAGAACGGCGATCATGGCCCCTATCCGCAATGCGCAGACTCAACTCTCTTATGAAGGATTTTGCTTCCGCTCCCCACACGTCCGTAGTCTCAAAAGCTAGAGGAACGAAGATGTAAGCTGGTTTGAGAATCTTATATTTTGAATGTTCGATTGTATGTACTTTGATTTGATGTAACTTGTTATCAGGCTATACAGCAATGTAGAAATACCTATCAATAGAGAATATCTAAAAAAATACTTGAAATCCAATTAGTTTTTACAAATAGATTTTATCAATAGTATCCACATAAATTTTGCTCGATTTATATGAATGAATGATAATTATTTATTTTTTTATATCATAAAAGTGGCAAACAGGCATACAGCCCGTCTGATAGGTAAACAATATGTATACAATTTTTTTTTATATATTATTATTATTATAAAATATTTTATTTTATTAAATAACAAAAATCGAGGTAAAGAGTATAATTATTTGTACATTATGATGTAATCTTAATTTAATAACACTATCAAAAACATCGATCTGTTATTAATTATAGCGTATTATCAATTACATATCGATTATTTTTGCCCCCATTCGAACTATCGATTAACAATCGATACCAAACGTCCAGTCTAGTATTAGCCAACACTAAACTCCGGAAGTGGCCTCGGCGCACGGTGCACCGGACTGTTTGTGGCTCCATCTTATTCCGTCAAATAAAAAGGCACTTTTGTTTTCATGTTTCCGTACCTATATAAAGGAAAAACTGTATGTTTTATTCCACAAAAAAAGTAAAGCCTTCAATCGTCACGGACACATATTTAATTAAAAAGTTATAAAACGCATAAAAAACATTTCTGAAGCGACATTTTTCTAAACTTATCACTTAATCAAATGTTTTAATTTGATAATTTTGCGAAATATCCATTTCCCATAAAAAATGACAACAAAATACCGAAATATATATATAAAACAAGAAAAGAAATCAATATGATAGGCAAGAATGAAACTGATGATAGGTCAGTTGGCTCATCGTGATGAATTCAACAATAATTAAGCACGATAATTTCCAGGGGGAACCGCGTGGAGGTCGTACTGATATATCATGTGTTTTTTAATTCCACATGACGGTAAGCGGTTACATATATAATAGCCTATAAATGCCTGAAATACCAGGGGCGTTACGCGCGAGTTACCAATCCTATTTAGATCCCATTTCGAACAATACCTGTTCTATATAATATGGTACACCTTTTTTAATAATTAGGAAATATTATGCGGTAGGTTGAGGAGTTAATGGCTGATATAATACAAACAAATAATTAGACAAACAAGTAAGAGATTGCCTAGCGATAAGACCTCTTTTTGTACCTTTATGTGTATATTTCAATCTGTATTTATGTTACTGTATTTCACTTGAATTGTTCAATTGTCATTGTATATTTTATGTTTATGGTGCAATAAAGAGTTAAATATTAATAAATAAATAATATAAAAAAATCAATTCAATTATATTACACAAGGGTGGAATGGAGAGAACGTCTCGGGGGAGTATTGTGACGCTTCAATTAGCCCACGCCACGCTCAGTTTATGTGCCGTGGACCGCCGCGACGGTGACACGGCTCTAATCAAACCAACATGTACCCCCAATCAACGTGCAACTCTCGCCCACAATACTGTCACCCAGTACCGGCTTTAGGGGAGGGGCGCAGGAGCTTTTGTTTTAATGAGTGATAATGAAATGGTAATCCTGCCTGCACTACCGGTATACGCTGACGGGGCACCAGTGAGGAGTGACGATGAAAACAGATGATCGACGACAAGATGTGACATGATGACCGACAAGAATTAACCACGATAGTTGACTACGACCTGATAAGGCTGGTAGACGTTATTACTAACAATCCCTTTTCCCCCCTCCATAGTATTGTTAAATATATTTGTTCTTTTTTCGTCGACAGAGGGTACGTTAAAATATTTTGTGGTTGAAATAAGCCGACCCTGTGGCTAATATAACCTTGATGATGTCGTTTGTCGTGAACCAGCTATAATATATGGCTGGCCGGTATGTTATTTGTTTTTATTTTATTTATTTTTCTGTGACATGCAGCTTCGCAAACTTTTATGTGAATTCAGGATACAGTCCATCTCTGCGCCGAATGCTCAAGTGCAATAGAGTAACTAATATTCATTTGGAATATTTATCGTTTATGGTTCATGCGGATAGACTATGGAACTCTCTTCCATTGCACATTCGCGAATATCATTCGCTGAATGTTTTTAAAACAGTTTAAAAGAGCATCTTCTGTCGTCATGAACTTATCATGTTTATGTAGGTATATGTACATAGTTTGAATATATAGAGATGGTATTTTAGATATATGTACGTATTATTATATATACAGATATCGTCATAGTCGTAGAATACTGACGGATCTGACAAAGATTACATATAAAGATCCGTCAGTATTCTACGACTATGACGATATGTGTGTATTTTGAATGTGAGTATAAAACTTAGAATGTATTTAGGTAAGCATATTTATTATTTCTTAGTAGTATTAAGGAAATAATAAATATATAATAATAGTAAGTACTATTTCCACTTTCTATTTGTACGCACACTGCCCGCTGATAATTAATGCTCCTTTCCACTCAAGGTTTGCTGGAAGAGAACTCTTACAGAGTTAAGCACGCCTGTTGTACATCTTCATTTAATATAATATATAACAATGTAATTTTTGTGTACAATAAAGTATAAATAAATAAATAATATCCAAACATTTTAAATTAATCAATTGACCTTAGCGTCGTTATCTAGAGCTAAGATGTCCAAACAGCGAATGACAGCTCCAAAACGGTGCTAAATTGGCAATAGCAGTACCATCAGTTGATAAAGAAGATGCCATCTTAGATGCTCGCCGATTCGAATTTTTTTTATCGCAATTAATATATTAAATATGATTTTCATGTCTATTTAAAAAGCATTTACTGCATTAAAAGCATTATAAATAAGGGTTTACTTACGATTTTTCTTATAAAGCAGTATCTCGAATTGATCAGCAAGGTGGTGATCGAGCGCGCGGTCCACCCGTTCCACCGCCTCCTTCTCCGTTAGCTCGCCGTACATCCACGTACACCTACCCATCACCACCATGTTCATCACCATCAATACCATCATGCGTACATTAACAAACGAGTTTAACATAACACGAAATATCGAAATTTCCATCCTCAATATTTTTTTATGCAACTTAGAATGGGAAACAAGCTGACGGCTCACTTGATGGAAAGTGGTAACTGTCGCCTAAAGACATGAGCAGAGGGCCTACCATGAAATGTTTTCCGAAATTTCGGAGCCAAACGAAACACAAATTTGATGTCAAAATTACATAATACATAAATATTAAAATATTGTTCCTTTTGATTTTTATGATAGGGTGTATGATGAACGAAATGTTAAACTCCATTTATTGATCCGATTTTGGTATAAACAAAAACACGAAATTGAGTCCCAAATTTCGGAATTTCATTTCATGGTAGACCCGCAGTACTATGAACATATATTTTGTATTTATACGTATAATATCTGTCTTATTATTACTTTGAATGTTATTGACAAAATGCGATGTAGTATTTGGATTTTCTTATATTGTATTATAATATTAAACTGTGATTTTTGCTATTAAAAAAATTAATTGATTATAGAATGAAGTATGTACTTTCATGCCAAATAGGGCCCGTTAACGAACCTTAGCGTTACGTTCATCCATAAACCGTGCAATAAAAATACTGAAGCAATAGAATTTTAAGTATCGACCAATAATACACGCAGCGTTTTTTTTTTTTTGTTTGTAATTTAAACGTCAAATTCTTGTTTCAATGAGCGGTAAGATTTTTTAGACAAACATATTTACTTACTGTTATGTTAATTTATATTAGCAGTGGGACATAGTAAAGTATGCAAGAGTACTTCTGTTTCTGTTTCTGCTTGCTTACATAGTGTGTTTCATTGTGAAGGATGATTAATAATACTATATTACCACAACACTAAACATTTTTTAAGTAACTATAGTAAATGAATCATTTACCGCCACACCTACCGCCAGGACCGCGAGCTGTGATAGCTTATTAGGAGGCACTACGCAACGAACGTCACCAAACACACGACCCACTTTAAAAAAGTTTATTTCCTAGCTGGTTTCGACCGGGAATTGAACCCGGGACCTCGTTTATGTAAAGCAATGCCCCACCACTGGGCCACGGAGATCGTCGTATTGCATATTTCAATAACACAGTATAACACAACAGAAGTTTACCTGCAAGATTTCTGCATCACTTCAGCTCGATTGTAACCGCTCATCTTGCAGAATGTCTCGTTACAGTAGACTATAGGATAGTCCACGATCTGTGCGTTCGCCAACAGGAAGCTGCTGTCTGCTGTAAATAACCAGAGATGGGTAAGAATCTTGCTCATGTACACGAAGAAAAGAACGTCGAGATACCATCACCGGGTGTCTGCTTATACATCGACCACATGCTAAATGTCACAAGCATATCTTCATGCCATAGCGTGCATTGTTCATCATTTGTGTCTGTTTCAGGTGCCTTTAGACATGATTGAGAGACTACGTAAATGTACTGGAAATCCTCAATAATTCTAGTATCAATATGACACTGAAGTCTGGTGACTTCAGTGGTACCACCAGAGGGAGATTTTGTACAAAAGTCGTTTGCATGAATACTTCTGGTCCATTCGTGTTTCTTTATATATTAATCTTTCCTGCTTCGTGCATATCTTATTCTATTAGCCCTTAACTATCCACTGCTGAATATAAGCCTCCCTCCATGGAAGGTTTTGTCAGTAGTCGTCACGCTTGGCAGACGGATTGGCAACCGCAGTTAGATTTTGGAGCCTTCCCTTAGTCGCCTTTTACAACACCTACGGTAAAGGAAGAGGTGGCCTAATCTATGACAGGACCATACGGCACTTAGTTCTTATTAGACCTCAGGAATGGCAACGCATGGGGGGTATCATGGGCTAAACAGTATACTCTGTTATGTCCATGGTACTGCTCATGTCTATAGGTGACGGTTATTACTTTCCACCAGGTGGGCCGTCAGCTTGTTTGCCATTCTAAGTAGCATAAAAAAAATATCAAACACTTAAAGTTGTACACCGATTGAATACTTTCCAGTCGACATCTGAGTCACCTATGTAGTTTTCTATTATCTTATATAGTGCAGGTTGTCTTATTATAGGGTACTGACGTTGCGAGGAGGAGCGGCGGATGATGTTCTCGAGGAAGGTGTTCTGCGGGGCCACGAGCCCCCTGCGGCCGCCCGGCATGCCGGCGCCTCGGCCTCACGCGCCGCCGCCGCTCAGCTGGCCGCGCCCGCACCCGACATGCCTCACCTGGTGGCGCGTCGCGAAACACGCGCGCGTCTGCGCACAGACAAAAGTTCAATGTACCACCGCCTGCTGTATTGGATTACGCTGGCGGGTTACCAGTAAGGCATTATAGGAGAGGTGGAAGTCATCTCAGTTGGCCCATCGTGACGAATTAATATGGTAAATGGCGGAGAAGCTATCTGGTAGACTTCCACGCGCTCCCCAAGTATTTTCTGTGGAGAGCGAAGTTTACCAGACAGCTCCCCCTCCCCCTATCTTACCCTTCTCCTTTTGCAAATTTGTGATACATTTATTAATTAGCCGTTAACTGTCCACTGCTGAACATAAGCCTTCTCCATAAGGGGGAGTTTTGTCAGTAGTTGCCATATTTGGCAAGCGTGGTCAAGCATTTTTAAAAATGTTTTAAGACAGACGCTGCTGCCTATCCTCCGAGCTTAAGTTCCCTTAGTCGTCTCTTACTACATCCACAGAGAAAAAAGGGGTAGCCCATTCTATGCCGGGACCGACACGGAGACACTTTTGACCATAGTCCTTATTAATAGCAAATCATGAAGGATACAATGGACTTCGCGAAATATATTTTGTGATGTCGGTGGTTTATATTATCTTGTCGAGTGGTTTCTAGACGACAGTTACCACTTTTCTGTCAGCTTGTTTGCCATTCCCAGTTACACAGTACAGAAAAAATTGCAAAGTGCTTTTCGCAAAATTTTAGCAGACCTACCTAATTCTATTACAGATGATTTTTGCTGTGTTATATACGGTTTCAAAAGGAAAAAGGTTCTCAGTTCGGTTGCATTTTTTGTTTGTTTCCTCCATGGCCGTAGCCAGGGAAGGGCATTGAGGGGCAGTGCCCTCTCTTAAAAGGCTCAATGGCCTACTTTAAAATGAAAGATCCCAAGGAAATTAGACAGATTCGCTTTTACGAAGTCATTTAATTAGGGCTTCTGCCCTACCTTAAACTTGAATCTAGCTACGGTTCTGGTTTCCTCATAATTCCGTTAGTTAATTTAGTTTAGTTAGTCAGTCCGTTAGACTGAAATGATATACTTACATTGGTACCATAGACATTTTATTAAAAACGGTTCAACAGTTTAGTTTTTTAACCAAAATAGCTGGTTTTGTCAGAATTAGTCTGTTTTTTTTTTTGTGAGACACAATTTTTATTAATGAATACTTTTTAGAACTGGCTCAGAAGTTTCATTATTTACTCGAACCCTACATTTGCTTTAAGCCATAAGAAATTAAAGTTATCTATAAAATTATATATATATATGTATATATATATATATAATTAAGGGCTCTAATGGTCCTATAGGATAATTTTACTTAGTTTTATCATAATTTTATACCCAGAAGTTTATGTCTAGACTCTTTAATACAAAATATGATAAACTTGTTTCACATTCTTCAGACCCATATATCGAGTTCTTGGATGATTTTTTTTTCAATTGGCTTTATAAAGAAAGGTTCTCAATTCATATATATTTTTGTTTATATTTGTTACCTCATAGCTCTGTCAGTTCTAAACTGTTTTGGAAAATTCTTGTTTCTCTGAAACCTTTTCAGATACAGATTGAATTTATAGAAATTTTATAAAAATCGGTTCAGCAGTTTAGTTTTCACACTGAAATAATTGATTTTGTTATAATTGAAATCGGTATTTTTTGTGGGACACAATCTTTAATTATTAATTTGCAGAATGCTATATCTCTTAGTTTAGTACTAAACTTCTATATAAATTTATTTTGACTCCTTAGAAAATTTTTTTTTTGTTGTATTCTTATCGCTTATATTTTGTTTACAATGAAAATACAAATTTAAAATTGTGTTCTAAGTCAGATTCTAAATTTGACTTACAAATTTTTAAACTGATACATATTTCTATTTTTCTTTGTCGCCGTCTACGGCCAGGGGACAAATATAGACATAGGATATTATAGAAAATTTCTTAGGTGTCACTTATAAGTACCTAGTAGGGTCTCTTTGGTAATGAACAGGCTTATAAGTTTTAGGTAAGAGGTACCTAGATACGCGGGACGTAAATAAATTTGAATCCACAGACCCTAGCATTGCTATGCGACTAACGAATATCGAAATAGCTAATGACCTAAATACATTCGCTTCTTTGTTATAATTTACATAATAGAATGCTGCCTGAGTATTCAATTTGTCAGATTTTGAAATAATCCTCGGTTATAGCATGCGATCACGCATACAATACAGTCCAAAACACTGCAGCAACGACTGGGCCAGTTGGATTGGCTGCTCCGTCCCCTGATCCAATATTCAATATCTTGAATAATTTAATACTGAAATAGCTTCCAGGAAAGCAGCTATAAGCAAGATGCAGTTAGGTTTTGTTACTTTTACAGAGTACCTTTGATTACTTTCCCCGATTACCACTTAAGAAATAATGTTATTGCGTTCTTTTTATATATATGAAGTTAGAGGTCCTATTAAATATTACATTTCACTGAACAAATATTATATTAGACTTAAAATAATTTAGTTGTAGTTGCCAGTACCGTAGTTCTATTACATGGTAACTTAGTTGGAACATGCAGTGTCGCGAGACACGAGTCGACATACGATCGATACTGTTTACGTGTTCCGAGGACCGACACTCAAACGTCGAGGCACGCGGTAGGCCAACAGCTGAGGGTGCTAAACCACCACACAACCACCAATTCTTCGTTTTTCGCCTTTTAAAGCGTTCTCTGTTATCGACGTTGGCTAGTGATGGTTTCCGAGTTGACAACAACAGAAAGGGGCGCGGACACGGCTCTGAGAGCAACACACACGCTCGGGTTTAACATTTTCTTAACACCTCTTATTATCTTTCAATTTATATGTTACTTACATCGTATATACTTCAGAAAAAACAGATTTCACCTTCAGGTCATTTCTATAGGAGAGTTACACTAAAATTGTTGCGTCACGTTTCCTTTAACGACTTACATTTTACCTTAGCCCAAAGGGATAAGCGCCTATTTACATAATTAGTTTCTCGTATTCGAGGACTTGCACATACCTATATTGCTTCCCATTCATTGATAACCACCGATCTACCGATTCTCTGCAGCGATACACAGAACGTTAGGTGCACTTTAAATTTTTTAAGCCGTTTTTAACTCGCGCAATCCGAGTACGTGTCGAATGTAGCACGAGCTGGGAGTAGAGACGTTTCTCATGTTCTCGGCCAGGTCTGTGTGAGAGAGAGCGGAGCCGAGGAAGAAGCGGTGGCGGAGTGGCGCGGTCGCGCGGCGGCAGGGCGCTCGCGGCTGTCGCGCGGTCGCGGCTCGCGTGTCGCTACTGAGCGCTCGGCGGCTCGCTCGTGTCGCCGCTCGCGGCCAGCACTCGCTGCTGGCAGGCGCGCGCCGCCGCGCATGCGTCGCGCGGTCGCGAGCTCGTTGCATTCGGGCAATCGCCGAAGCTTCCTATTAGGGGTTGATTTGCCCTTTGTGCAAATGCGACGATTGGCTCTACTTATATTGACTTATTTCAACTACTTTCAAGAATTATAGTCAGACAATCCAAAGAGAATGTAATGTTTTGATATTTCCACTACAATACCTAGAAGCTACTTGCAGTCCATATTCAATAAGTACCAATTCAACTCTTATAAATCCTTGACACAAATAGTAGTAAAAAGGTGCTTACATATTATATGCAAAGGGTCAATTCCAGTTCTAATCAGTATCTACTTTAGCAGTTTTATTTCTTACAAAAACCTATAGTATGTATATTGTAGGTATATATATATATATATATATATATATATATATATATATATATATATATATATATATATATATATATATATATACTCATATAATTCTATATTTTAGAAATTAGGAATTTAAAAGGTATAAAAAATAAGAAATAAAAATTTATAATATGTTAAAAGGCGATTGTGGTTTCAATTATCTCAAGATAAAAGAATAAAAAAATAAGAAATAGTATGAGTATGGAAAACAGAGAAATAAACAAAACAGAGCATAGAATAAAATACCCTAATTTTATTTAGGATATTTCATTCAACGCTCTCTTGTCTGCAACCTAAATTAATAAAAATACCCTTGATAAGGAAATACCAAGAGGAAACCTGACAAATTAGGCGAGTCAGTTTTTCTAAACGAGCGTTCTCTTAAAGTAAAACAGCTAATTAAATTACGTTAGCTACTACACATGAAAGCTATTTGACTATTTAATCCCTATTTAGTTGTTTAAATATATTTTTTGTTTGAAAATAAATCAGATAACGATGGCAATTTCTTTAAACTATCCAAAGCTTTAGACTATATAGACTGCTCAAAACTATAATTAACTTGCATTCCACTTTATTGGAAACAACACTACAAAATTATCAATTGTGGGGAGGGGGCATTGTTAATAATGCGGACCAATCCCATTGTTAGCAATATCCAACCAGGTCGACCTCCACGTGGTCCTCCCTGGAAACCATCGTACTGTATTCCAGGTGAACTCATCACGATAGGCTAACTGACCTATTTTCATTCTTATCTATCATCCTTCACTGGTGCCCCGCCAGCGTATACCGTTAGCGCAGGCGGGGTTACCATACCATTATCATCCATTAAAAAAAAAAATTATCAATTGTAAAGTATTTGACAAATAAAATTATACAAATCAAAGTAAACGACATTACAAGAAACGTGTCGATTATAAATATGGGTGTACATCAAGGTTCAATACTAGGTCCCATTTAAACAGTTTCGTTTGTCCGAATCCTATTGGGACAAAATTATAATAGCTACATACCAAAAAGCTACTTACTTTTTTTTTCATGGTTGAAAATGGTATGGTAACCCCGCCTGCGCTAACGGTATACGCTGGCGGAACACCAGAATGAAAACAGGCCAGTTAGCCCATCATGATGAATTCATCAGGAATTAACCATGATAGTTTCCAGGGGTAACCGCGAGGAGATCGACCTGGTTGGGTGTATTGCTAGCAATGGGATTCTCAGTCTCCATTACTAACAATCCCTTTCCCCCAAAGCTACTTATTTCTAACAATGAAATTGTAAATAAAAAAAAAAAAAGAAAAACATGTTATATACATATTCTTTATTAAGAACAAACGTGTCCATTGGGCTTAACATTACGTAATAGTCACGTCAGAACTGAGTTCACTTCAAATAAACGTAGTATTGGTCGTCACAAGGCAGCACGAGATCTGTAGGAGAAATGTTTTGTTTAGTTAACACAGTTGGTCAATGACAATTTTCTATATGTTGAGATAACAGTGTATTATTGGGGGGAAAGGGATTGTTAGTAATGGAGACTAAGAATCCCATTGCTAGCAATATACCCAACTAGGTCGACCTCCTCGCGGTTTCCCGTGGAAACTATCATGGTTAATTCCTGATGAATTCATCATGATGGACTAACTGGCCTGTTTTCATTCTCATCTATCACCCTTCACTGGTGCTCCACCAGCGTATCCCGTTAGCGCAGGCGGGGTTACCATACCATTTTTACCCATAAAAAAACAGTGTATTAAAAGAGCGTTGAGATGTATGTGGTGTTACTGGTGTCTATAGCGTAATACATCAACTTTAATTAATTGAGAGGTTATTAGTACAGTTCTCATATTTTAATTAGTTTGTTTATAATATTTTGTTATCAAGTGGAATTTTAAATTATAGGACATAGAACTCTATGTCTTATAATTTAAAATTCAACTTGACAACTTACAATGTCTATAGGCGACTGTTACCACTTTCCATCAGGTGGGCCGTCAGCTTGTTTATCATTCTAAGTCTAAAAAATAAAAAATAAATTTACTCTTATTCATCTTGTATCATACAGAATTATTAATATAGGATTGAAGGTGATGATGGATTTCTGAAAAGGATTTCCTCAAGTCGACTTATGGTTTTATAGTATTTGGAATTTATTTTTTTAATCTTATGTTTATGTTTTAACTATGTTTACATATATATTAATAACGGGGATGTTTTATGAACTTACTATGTTTGTCGTTTTGGACATTCGAGAATTTTTTTACTCCATTCAGAATTTTTCGTCAAGGCGAGTATGGTGCTTTACGTTGCAGCGCGTCGCCTTTCGGATAATTGTTGAAAAACGGTAAAAGAAAGTTAACGACAACGTTGGTGAAGAAAGTTAAAACGAAAGCTTTAAATGTTAGACGCTTAAAAATAGCCGGTGGTTGTCGCAATGGTGATGACTGACTGACTGACACAAGAGTGACGGCGCGCGGTCAGTGCGGCCGCTGCAGCAGCAGCTGTCGCGCGCGGCGGCCGCGCTTGGCCAGCACCACGCGCGTGAACCGCGCCCGCACGCCGCCCGCCTCCGCCGCCTCCGCCTCCGCCGCCGCCGCCGCCGCCGCCGCCGCCGCCACGCGCTCGTCGTCCGCGAACACGATCGGCAGCTGCATGATGTCGGCGGCGGCCAGCGGCAGCGTCCCCGCCCCCGCCGCCGCCACCCCCGCCGGCCGCCGCGGCGGCAGCAGCGCCAGCGGCGTGCCGCCCGCCACGCGCGTCACCACGCGGCCCTCTGCTGGACGTGTCGTTATATTACAATTCGAATACTTTACGTCACAGCTTAAATATCATATGATACGCTAAATCACACGTCGTTCCACATACGTCGCGTCTTAAACACTGCTACAAATCACTATACATAAAATGTATAACTCATAATAAATTACTAATTAATATAACTATTTTGTAAACAAAATACACTAAAAACACATTTATAGTAACAATCATTAGTGACAATTTGATTACTAACTACTTATTACATAATATTTTATAACAATTGTACCGTTTATTTTTCGAATAAAATCAAATAAATAAAAATCAATAACGAATGCGATATAAAGTCATTGCTAGCGAAAATCACAGTTTGTGATTTATAACTGTTAATAAATAAATAATTTCACAGTGTGATAATGAATTAAATGCAGCAATATTTTCCATGCTTACTATCTACACCCACACTCTTAGTTGATACGTAAAGAGCAATACAATACAGATGTTGCTTGTTCCTTCTCAATATATTTAGAGTTTGAATCACAGTTGTTCCCATGTAAAATTAATATTGTACTCACCAACAATCTCGATCGAACGGTTGCCACTGCAACAATATATCATTCATTAGTGTTTTTTTTTTTTTTTAATGGATGACAATGGAATGGTAACCCCACCCGCGCTATCGGTATACACCGGTGGGCCACCAGTGAAGGATGATAGGTGAGGATGAAATAGGTCAGTTAGCCCATCGTGACGAATTCAACATGAATTGTTCACGATGGTTTCCAGGGGGAACCACGTGGAGGTCGACCTAATAGGGCATATTGATAGCAATGGGGCTGTCAAACTCAATTGCTAACAATCCCTTCCCCCCATTTATTAGTGTTATGCAATAGATTTTTATCATAATTAAATTTTGTGTACCACAAACAATCAATTTTAATTGTGTCAAAGCCATATTAATTTGATAGAAAAACTATTGAACCGATTTTAATAAAATTTCTATGGGTTCAACCTACAAGTTTATTCTTTTAGATAAAATAAAAATTTTCGAATCGGTTTACAAGTAATGAAGTTATGAGGTGACAAACAAACACAAATATAACCGAATTGAGAACCTCCATTTTTAAGAAATCATTTGAAAATTCTAGCAGAAGTATTTTAGAGAGAGAGAGAGAGATTGTTACTAATGGGTCACATACATTCACCCCGTTAAAAGAGTATACGGAAACACGATAGAAAATTAGTCACTTGCAGTTTAGTTGCCGAACGGTTAATACTAGGCTCCGAGCAACAATCTAACAATTTGTCAGAAGATGTTTCGTTGCGAGGTGAAACACGTGTCGCAAAACGTGCGTGGATGAAATAGCTGTCAGAAATTGAGGGCTAATATGGAAAGTCTCATTCTGGTAGTAAAGATGGTGGCCAATCATCACACATATATTATATATATATATATATATATATATATATATATATATATATATATATATATATATATATATATATATACAGAGAGATGTAATAATCTGTGATTATTAGTAGCAGTCACACATATCGGAATTAAATAATTCTAAACAAATAAGCAGTAATATAGAATTTTGCAAGATAACACCTATTTCAATATAATAGTTAATCAAACATAAGCATATATATATTTTTTCTATTTTTATATATTTTATATATATATATATATATATATATTCCTTATATATATATACTATTGTTGTATTATTGTTGAGACTTGTTATTGGCTATGTGTTTCTTATTATAATTTATATTTACTATTATTGTTAGAAAAACTGTCGGTCTTCCAAATACATAAATAAATAAATAAGGTATAAGACAGCGGCAGCTCGCAGTACTCACCCGGCGGTCCGCTCGCGCTCGGCCTTCTCCGGCCGCTCCGGCGACGCGGCCTCCACACCTGCGCACGCGCCACGTTGTTATACACATCGAGTATACAAGTGTCCAAAACAGTTTAAAATTTAATGAGATAATTTTATGTTATACACCCAGAAGTTGACGTCAAGCCAGAATCGGATAACTGGCTAAGCCATAATAGTCATCAGAAAAAAAAAAATCTGTTACATATTTCAAAAATTACAGACATTTAAAAAAATCGGGGAAATTTACACCCTGTGATGGTATTTTTATTACTGTTACTTTAGTTATGTACTTTTATAATATATATATTTTTTTGTTTTATAATCTCAAATAAAGTAGTCTTTAAAGTACCATCAGCACCTGTAACACCAGAGGCATTGCATAAATATTAATATTATTTGTGCCTAATTTAAATATATTTTTTATGACCTATATTCAATGTGACTACAAACTGAGCTATAAAACTTAATTCTTGGATCCAGTTAAACATTTAAATTAGCTAAATAGCGCGAAAATGTCTAGACATTTTCTAGAAAAAGGGTTTATTTTCTGTCAAATTTTATATAATTGTCCGGCTCGAAGGACTATAAAAAGTTAGCATGATATTTATTTTCCTTTAGAATTTAATATATTATTGCAGGAAGAAATAAAAACATAATTGTGGGCTCACCAATATGGAGTCCTGATTTGTCCTGCTGCGTAGCGTCCTCCTCAGCTATTTCATTCACCCAGCGCGCACACTCATCCTGTAAACATAATACGTGGGTCGCGATTACAATATTGCCGAATTGTACTATATGCATGGCACTGTAATAGGCTTAGTAAAAGATTAATGTCTATAAGATTTTAAGGCTGATTCGAGTCAAGCACTAGAAGCACGACAACTGCCACAAGGTCATGCAATTAAAAGGTTAAAAAATAAAAAAAAAGTAGGGTCTAACGGCGATGGCGGCGTCGAGCGCGTGCTGCGGCAGGCGCAGGCGGCGGCAGTGCGCGGCGGGCAGGCGCAGCGCGTCGTCGGCCGCCGCCACCAGCAGCACGCGCCGCGCCGCCGCCGCCGCCGCCGCCGCCGCCGCCTCGCGCGCCGCGCCGCGCCAGCTCTGCGCCGCGCCGCTGCCCACCACCTGCGCACATCAACATACAACACCTCCAAAGGAGGAAGGGATTGTTAGTAATGGGGACTTACTATCCCATTGCCAACAATACACCCTATCGGAGGGAAGGGATTGTTAGCAATGGGAAGGTTAGTCCCCATTGCTATCAATATACCTTGTCAAGTCCACCTCCACACGGTTACCCCTGGAAACTATCATGACTAATTTATCGTTGAACTCTTCATGATGGACTACCTGACCTGCCTTTTGATCCTCACCTATCACCTCTCATTGGTACCCCGCCAATGTATACCGACAGCGCTGGCGGAGTTACCATGCCATTTTCACCCAAAAAAAAGCCTATCCTATAAAGAGTGGCTCCAAAAAATACATCCTATTAGGTCGACCTCCATGCAGTTCCCCCTGAAAATCATCGTAACTAATTTTAGCGAAATTCGTCACGATGGGTTGACTGCTTAACCAGCTTTTATCCTCACCCCTCACTGGTGCTCCGCCAGCGTATACCGATAGCGCAGGCAGGGTTACCATTCCATTAAAAAAATACAACACCTGCATGGCTACACGTCCAAACGTTTACTTATCTATATATTAATATATGAAGCAAAAACTTTGTACCCCATTTTACGGAATTTACACAGACGAAAGAGTATGAAATTGGGTACAATTATAGTTTAAAAGATAAAGAATGCAGAATGCTATTTTTTTTTTATTTACACAAAAATATACACTCCTCGCAAAAATTAAGGGAACATAAAAATTTTTGAAATTTTTGGGTGATTTTCAACAGGCTGTATTTCAGTGAAAAATAATCGTACAGGAAATTTAAAAAAAGGGTTTTGAAGCTTGAAAATTCTAGTTTTCAGATTTTTTGGTAAAAAAATTTTTTGAGCTCCGGTTTCCATGCAATTCTTAAACAAAGCTGAAAATAATTTTTTTCAAAATTTTCTAGGTTTTGTTTTTCACTCTATGGGCATGGAAAAATTTTTTCGAGCTACTCCATTGTATAGGACTCTTAGCGTGTTTATTCAGCTTCAAAAATCGCTTTGGATGGCTCATAAAACAATTACGACCATTTGTCTCCGAGATATCGAACTTTGAATGCAAAAGCATCCTTTTCCATTCAACTGCTAATATCTCTGGAACTACTGGTCGCACAGCAAGCGGGCGCCGAGTTTCTTTATCTGCATAAAATTTCCAATTAAGCAAAGTCAAGAGTTAGTGAAGAAAAAAATTTTTTCCACCTCTAACATTGAATTGAAAAAAGTGGAAAAAAGTGACTTTTTCTCCTTTTTTTGTTACTTGGCTGTATCTTCGCTAATATGGGCAGGAAAGCTAAGGTTTGAGGAAAATTTTACAGTCTATTGTTCCTTAAAGAACCCCCTAAATCCCTGGAGCGATCGGTTCAACGGTTTTTCCCGGACCAATTGATTGAAATTTTGGAAAAAATATGGGAACAAGGTTTTTGTCCCTTAAACTCACCCTAATCCATTCAAAAATCAATAATTTCATTTGTTTTTCACATTTTACTCAATTTTTTGTTTTTTAAAAATTCATTATCAAAAAAAAATCGAAAAAAATCAAGAAAATTTTTAAGAAAAAATTTTTTTGTAAAGTCGAAAAAAGTTTACAAAAAATTTTTTTTTTCGTTTTTAAGGAAATCAAAGTTTTTGACAAAAACTTTGATTGATGATCGATTTACCGCCGGCATTAGCGTTACCCAAAGCATACCACGTGGAGGTTGCACGGTCGGATTTACGCTTCTTTTGTGTTTACGCACGTGTTTATGATATGGGATTCTTCAGAAAAAATGAGACCCTGTGGTTCGTCAGCTCCGCAGTATTTCGTGACTCCAAACTCATTTTCTGAAGAGTGTGTGTGTTAGTGTTGTGTAAGTAATTTTTAGAAGAAATGAGACCCCGTGGTTCGTCAGCTCCGCAGTATTTAATGACTCCAAACTCATTTTCTAAAGTGTGTGTGTGTGTGTGTTTCTCCACGTGGTATGCTTTGGGTAACGCTAATGCCGGCGGTAAATCGATCATCAATCAAAGTTTTTGTCAAAAACTTTGATTTCCTTAAAAACGAAAAAAAATTTTTTTGTAATCTTTTTTCGACTTTTCAAAAAAAATTTTTTCTTAAAAATTTTCTTGATTTTTTTCGATTTTTTTTTGATAATGAATTTTTAAAAAACAAAAAATTGAGTAAAAAGTGAAAAACAAATGAAATTATTGATTTTTGAATGGATTAGGGTGAGTTTAAGGGACAAAAACCTTGTTCCCTTATTTTTTCCAAAATTTCAATCAATTGGTCCGGGAAAAACCGTTGAACCGATCGCTCCAGGGATTTAGGGGGTTCTTTAAGGAACAATAGACTGTAAAATTTTCCTCAAACCTTAGCTTTCCCGCCCATATTAGCGAAGATACAGCCAAGTAACCAAAAAAGGAGAAAAAGTCACTTTTTTCCACTTTTTTCAATTCAATGTTAGAGGTGGAAAAAAATTTTTTCTTCACTAACTCTTGACTTTGCTTAATTGGAAATTTTATGCAGATAAAGAAACTCGGCGCCCGCTTGCTGTGCGACCAGTAGTTCCAGAGATATTAGCAGTTGAATGGAAAAGGATGCTTTTGCATTCAAAGTTCGATATCTCGGAGACAAATGGTCGTAATTGAGCCATCCAAAGCGATTTTTGAAGCTGAATAAACACGCTAAGAGTCCTATACAATGGAGTAGCTCGAAAAAATTTTTCCATGCCCATAGAGTGAAAAACAAAACCTAGAAAATTTTGAAAAAATTTATTTTCAGCTTTGTTTAAGAATTGCATGGAAACCGGAGCTCAAAAAATTTTTTTACCAAAAAATCTGAAAACTAGAGTTTTCAAGCTTCAAAACCCTTTTTTTAAATTTCCTGTACGATTATTTTTCACTGAAATACAGCCTGTTGAAAATCACCCAAAAATTTCAAAAATTTTTGTTCCCTTAATTTTTGCGAGGAGTGTATTAAATTAATAAACAAAAAACATTACACAATTTTACTTTTTAAGTTCAATGACGAATAACGATAAATATATATAAATATTCGATAAATATTTTTTTACGAGCAATAATGTTCCTTTGTTTTTTTTTTTTTTTCAATAAACAGCTTTCTATTTGCAAGCCAGTTCAAAATTTAAATAAAACTTTGTATTAGTTACTTCCTTAGTAGCCATGTTTCGAAGTAAAAGGTCATTCCATTTTTAAATTACAGGACAGGTATGAGTTTACATAGTAACTTATCTGGCTGCAAAACACGACAGATATGGATTTTCATACAACTTTTGCCGGCCGCTGCCCGCATGTATCTGACTAGTACGGCAATTTAGATTTATCTCGAAGAAGATTGTCAAAATAATGCTCACATTTCCAAGCATGTTTGAGAAAAAAATATTTACATTTTGTACATATACATACTTAAAGGTTAAACGTGAAGTTTAATGCTTAAATTTATAAGCATGCTAAAAAACTTATTTCAATAAGCATATTTTTCAATGATTTATATTTACATGGTCGTACGTACTAGTAGCGCGGGCACTCGCAGTTCCCGCAGCGTATCGTCACCGCCGTCGGCCGTGAGCAGCGGCGGCGCCAACAGCAGCGCGCCCCGCACGCGGGCCGACCCCGCCAGGGCCGCCACCAGTGCCGCGCCCGCCCCCGCACCACCCACCACCACCGGCCGCTCTCTATCGTATTGATCATAACATAGTGACGATATACTAAGTGCCGCATTTTCCACTACTATTTATTCTAAATTGCAATCCAATATCCAAGTTGGTCATGAGTTTAGCAACCAACACTAACAACCCCAGGAATGAAAAGAATTATTAAGAATGCAAGTTTGCAAGGTCCCTCTGCCAGCAATATTTTCTTTTACAACACAGGGGGCAAACGAGTATATGGCTCACCTGACGGTAAATGACTACCGCTGCCTATGATCACCCGCAACACCAGAGGCATTGAAGCTGTGCTGCCGGCCTTTTAAAAAGGAATATGCTCTTTTCTTGAAGGTTATGATGTCGTATCAATTCGGAAATACTGCTGCTGGAAATTGACTTCAAAGCGTGGTTGTGCATGGAAGAGAGTGCCTTGAAAACGCACGATGAAGGACCGCCACTCGTCCAGATAGTTGGGATGGAACTTTGACTTGTGGCGGATTGTACAGTGGTGAAAATCAACAGCAGCAATTTGAACAATTCTTTAGAGCATTCCCCATGATATATACTCGTACCATAAAAGATGCATAAAGATGCAATATCTTTACGTAGTTTTAGTGGGTCGAGCCAGATCGTCAAGCGTTGATTATCAAAAATCAAAGCCGCCCGACTTTGAATTCAGTCCAACGAAGGAACAGATACTGTGCATAGGTGAGAACAGTATGCCATATGTCGCCAGACTTGAGCTTTATACGATTGCAAGCGGTTTTCTGGCGCGAAATATCATCTTTCTATTGAGCACTCCTAGCTTTTTGGAGGTCGTTTTGACCTTTTCTCCAGATGACTGCAAAACTGGACGTCACTGGATATATCAACGCAAAGAATCCCTAGACTCGACTTATTATCTAGGGAAATGCCTTGAAAGTGAGAAGATACGACTAACGGCGTCTTTTTTGCGGTGAACGCGCAGACTTGTCTTCTTAGGGTTGATTTGAACAAGATTTTATTCGCCCCAGATCGAAACTTGATTAAGTGAAGTTTCGATTTCAGACACAAGACTATTCCGGCACTCATGGGTATGTGGTCGCGAGATCTTTGCATGACCGGTATATAATGTATCCCTTGTACTGTCAGCCGCATAGTAATGAACATTCCTGATCTGTAACATATTATTGATATTTAGAACAAACAGGATCGACGATAGTAGCCTTGCGGGATACCAGCATTCAGAGGTTTTAAATCAGAACATGCTCCGTCTACTACGACCTTAATGCTACATTCTTTGAGAAAACTGGCAACCCAACTGCATAATCTCGCAAGCAATCCAAATGAAGGTAGTTTTGAAAGTAGCACTTTATGCCACACCCGATCAAAGGTGTTTGCAATATCCAGACTAATAGCCTGTATAGGTATGCATAGATGCAAGGCCGGTCGTTGCAGTCTACGCGGAGCCATAGACTGGACAGGTCCGTATCTTCAAGTGTCGCAACATGGTGACAGGCGGCACGCGGAACAAAACAATGTTCTAGCTTATTGTCCAGATAGGTCAGGTTTGAGGTTCCGTTTGGAGAAGATATCTGTGTCTCCGTGAGAAGAAGCAATGCCGGTCGCGCTGTTTCTAAGTGGTGATAGACAGCGTTCAATTCGTAAAGTCGACTTTCAAAAAACTAACTTCTGGTGATTAATCACTGTAGATACACTGGTTTAATTTAATTTTTATTTACCATCTCTCCCACTGGTACCTCGATAGCGTTTGTAGTTCATTTCATTAAAAAAAATCTAACAATGTTCTGTGAAAATAAACTTTTTGTTCAACTCCACGAATTAACAGACTTTCACCCGTTGAATACGATCCGTACTGGGTCACTGCACCATCCGCAATGTACTCACCCCGCCTCGGCCACGGCGTCGAGGAGCGAGGCACGTAGAGCGGCGGCCGTGGCGGCGCACCAGCGCTGCGGGCAGCCCCCCGCCGCCGGCGCCGCCAGCTCGCGCGTCGGCAGCAGCGCCCGCAGCCGCCGCGCCCAGCGGCCGCCGCCCAGCCACACCAGCAGCGGGCCCGCCTCGCTGCTCACCGGCGGCCCTGCAGCGACGTGCCTCGTTACTGCGCCGCTCGCATCGAGCCACGGCGACGCCCGCCTCCTACTCACCGACGGCGGCCAGCGGGTCGGGCGCGGGCGGCGGCGCGCGCGTGCCCAGCAGGCGCCCGGCCAGGCGCGGCACGGCGCGTCGCAGCCGCGCCACCAGCTCGTCGTAGTCGCGGCGGGGACCGCGCGGCAGGTAGGCCAGCAGCGCGGCGTGCAGCCAGGCGGCGGGCCGCTGCTGCACCGGGCCGGCCGCCGCCCACAGCGGCGCCAGCGCGAGCCGCAGCCGCCGCGCCTCGGCACGCAGCGCTGGCGCGGCGCAGCCGGCGAGGCGCGCGAGGCGCAGGCGGCGCAGGCCGGCGGCGACGGCGGCCGCGAGCCGCTCGTGCGCGGCCGTCGGCGCCAGCGCCGCCACGCGCGCCTCCCAGTCGCCGTCGTCGTCGTCGTCGGAGGCGGGCGCGGGCGGCTCGGGCTCGATGGGCTCGGGCGGCGGCGGGTCGAGGCGCTCGACGTCGACGGTGTCGCAGGCGGGCGGCGGGCGCGGCGCCAGCAGCTCGCGCGCGGCGCCCGCAGCGCGGCCGTCGCGGGCGCGCGCGTACGAGTGCTCCACCCACACCTCGGAGCGGCTCTCCTGTGCACAGCGATCGACTGTGGTGAACATGCGCAGTACTCCCTAGTAGAAAGTTACGATCGACTCTCCTCGTGGCGACCACCTACTGAGCCTCCGGCGACGGCGTGCACGTAGGCGACGAGGCGCTCGTGCAGCGCGGCGGCAGAGTCCGCTGCAATGTCAATCGCCATATTCTCGGCGCTGCTCTCCATCTGTTAACAATTATCTGTTTTTGATTTGGCCATTTAAAAACAAAATTTAAACATGTTAAAAACATAGCTTCCTATTCTCTTGTGAAAACTCTGTCTATGGTTAATCTACACTAATATTATAAAAAAGAAAGATTTAGTTTTTTTTTGTGTGTATGTATGTTTGTAATGAATAAACTCAAAAACTACTTTGCCGATTTCAAACATTCTTTCACCATTAGAAAGCTACATTCACCCAGAGTAATTTCTACAATATTGACGAAAATATTGATAACTACAAAAAACTTCGTGATACTATATGCCCAACTATTATCATGGGAAAAAGCGCGGGAAACGTTTAAAAAAGCGGGAGTGTTTTTTGATCTTCTTTAAATTAATTTTATTTTTATTTATATAAGGATTAGTCTTTTTTATATATTGTGTATTAGATTGTATATTTAATTGTATATTTTGTAGTAATAGTGTTTGTTGCTGTAAATATTGGTAAGTAAATTACCTATATTAACATTATGGATCCACCTATAGACCCTGGGGGGACAACCCCCCAGGTGTCTGCAAATATAACTATTCCATTCAATAATAGTTTTGATATATTGGGTGAATCTAGTATGGACACAGATGGTTCTAGCGTTGCAAGTTCTAAACGTAAGCGAATACGTGGTGAACGTCGCATTTGCAAACATTGCAATAAAAAACGAAGGAGGCACACCAAGGGTCTTGAATCTAAAATTAAAGATAGTGATTGTCAATGTATTGAAGATGAGAATCAAACTCAAGTATCAATACCAGTTGTAAACAATACCGAGTCTGTTAAACCTGCTTCTCCACCCAGTACTTTAAGCAGAACTTTGTACAATGCCGAGGATATAGCACCTTATGTCGTTCATGTACAAAAAAATGAAACACATCCTAATGATAACACTACATTACATCCTATTGCATTTGGTCGCTTTTTACACACTAATAAGATAAATAATATAGTGAATGGTAGCCTCAAAAGAATAGGAAGAAACCGTTTATCGCTTTCTTTCTCAAATTTTGAAAATGCAAATGCATTTTTAAATAATAGTAACTTAGTGACACATAATTTTAAGGCATTTATACCTTCTTTCCATGTAACCCGTATGGGAATTGTGAGGGGTATTCCTAAAGATTGGACAGAAGAGGAAGTAATCCAAAATATATCAGTACCGATAGGTTGTGGGAAAATTCTAAAAACCAGAAGAATAAAGAAAAAGACAATTAATGAAGGACAACCAAGTTTTATTAATACTGAAACCATTGTTATTACTTTTGATGGACAAATATTGCCAAAAAGAGTATTTATGTTTTACACATCATTAACTGTAGATTTGTACATTTACCCTACTATCCAATGCTTTAACTGCTGTAGGTTCGGACATGTCAAGATGCAGTGTCGTTCAAATCCTCGGTGTTATAAATGCAGGCAAAATCATACAGGTGATAAATGTGAAGTAGATGAGGAAAATGTTTCTTGTATCTTGTGTAATGGTTCTCATTCAGCAATTAGTAAAAAATGTCCTGAATATGCACGTCAGAAAGCCATTAAAGAAACAATGGCCCATAGTTGTGTTTCTTATGCTGAAGCATCAAAATTTCATCCTCCAACTTCTAAACTATATTCAGATGTATTAACATCATCATCTCCTTCCAATAAATCTCATTTTCAATCTTCTTTCCTTAAAGAGAAATCATCATTACCACATATACAATCATCATATAAAAAAACAGTTACACTTAAACCACGCTCTCCTCAAAAAATACAACAAGGATATGATCGTTCTGCCCATGAAGCCATAGTTAAGGAATATAATATTCCTGCTCCCTCTAATGGTTGTGCATTATCATCAAATAATATTGACAATAATCAATCCATCATTGATATTATTCTCATGCTTATTAAAGTGTTATCGCAATCAAAAATGATACAAACAACTTTACCACCGTCCAACGATGCCATGTACAATGTATTTTCTCAATTATTAACTTCTCACAATGGATTACAAAGTCCAAATAATTCAGTGGAACTGTCGTAGCATAACAAATAAGAAATCAGACTTATTTTATTTGATTAATAAATATAATCCTTTTTTAATAGCTCTACAAGAGACTTGGTTAAAGCCAGGATATCCTTTTAGGATTTCAGGCTTTACAAGTCTCCGTGATGATAGAGCTGACGGATATGGCGGTGTTGCCATATTGGTCAAAAACTCCCTTCTTTTTTCTTCTTTTTCGCTTCCTGTATATAGCGGCATTAATGCAGCTGCTATAATTATAAATGGTATCTGTTTTGTTACTTTATATATTCCTGATCCTACATGCCAAATATATTCACAACTAGAACAATTATTTTCAATTTTACCTAAACCTTTTCTCGTAATGGGCGATTTTAATGCTCAGCACCAATCGTGGGGCAGTTCTACTTCTAATTTTTATGGTGGAAAACTCCTGACGATAATTGACACTTACAACTTATGTATTATTAACTCAGATGTACCGACACGTAGAACTGCACCGAATGAAGGGTTTAGTGCTCCTGATATTTCAATATGTTCTTCTGATTTAGCTTCTTCACTGTCGTGGTATCCTCATTCCTCTACCTTCGGAAGCGATCACTTTCCCCTCATTCTTTCTTTTCCAATTTCCATTCCCTCAAGTCGAAAGAGTGGTCCTCGACTTAAATATAATTTATCAAATGTAGACTGGAATATTTACAAACAATATTTAGATAATAAAATATCGGAGTTACCTATTGTTTATCATGGAAATGAACATCAATGTTGTAATGACTTGATAATTAATATGAAGGAGGTTGCTGATTTATTATTTCCTGTTAAAAATAGTGCTTCAGGGAAAATTCCCTCCCCACCTTGGTGGGACAAAGATTGTACGGAAGCAATTAAAAATCGTAAAGAGGCTGAAAAAAATTATAATAATTACATGACATCAGAAAATTTTGAAATTTACACCGCAGTTTCACGTTCTACTCGAAAACTACTGAAAAAAAAGAAATTGGAAGGTTGGAGAAGATTTTGTTCTTCTATCTGTCCAGAAGTTAATTCATCAGTCGTTTGGAATAATATTAAAAGATTCAGATCTGCCTTTAGTGATCATACATCACGTTCTGCACTCGATTTAACTTTAGCGAATAAATTTTTAGATCGCCTTGCTCCTAGTTATGTGCCGGAATGCCTTTACAATATTTCTCTATCCGTCTCTGACGAATTATCCGACCTTGAGTCTCCTTTTACTCTTGTAGAACTTAAAGGTGTTCTAGCTTGTATTAAAGACTCTGCACCGGGAGAAGACGGTATACCGTATTCCTTTTTTAAAAATGCTAGCGATGCGACATTAATTTACTTTTTAAATATAATTAATTCCATAATTATTTCGGGAAATATACCTACTTCATGGAAGTCTCAGATTATTATACCATTTCTAAAGCCTCATAAACCACCTTCTGAACCATCTTCATACCGTCCTGTTGCACTTTCCTCTGTCTTACTAAAGCTAGCTGAACATTTAGTGAAGAACCGTCTAGAATGGTTTTTAGAAAGTAATAACTTACTATCCCCGAACCAGTTTGGTTTTAGGAAAGGTAAGAGCACCTTAGATAATGTGAGCATTCTTATTTCAGATATTCATATAGCTTTCTCACAAAATTTGTCAATCCTCTCAGCCTTTTTAGATATAAATTCTGCCTATGATAATGTAATCATTTCTATTTTAAAAACTAAATTACAAGCTTTAAATGTACCGGTAATGCTTTCTAATTTCATTATTAATATTTTATCAGAAAGAATAATACATATGGATCTAGATGAAGATACCAAATTATCTAGAACAGTATGGAAAGGCCTTCCACAAGGATCTGTTCTAAGTCCAATTTTATTCAACATATACACATACGATCTAGAATCATTCCTTGATAAATCCGTCAAAATTTTACAATATGCTGATGATCTCTTATTATATTTTATTGCCAAGTCCATAGAATCTGCTTCTGCCAAATTATCTGATTCATTAGATTTGTTAAAAACGTGGTTAGATGCAAATGGTCTTAATCTTTCTGTAACCAAGAGTAGTGTAGTTTTGTTTTCAAGAATGAGATCACCGCAACAAATTAAGGTGCTTTATGATAACTCATACATTCCTATAAAGACTGAAATTAAATTTTTAGGTATCGTGCTAGATAATAAATTAACAGGTCTGTCCCACTGTAATTATATTTCCACGAAATGTGAGCGTAACCTCAACATTCTTAGGTGCCTTGCTGGAGTTTGGTGGGGAGCACATCCCGTTTCACTAAAACTTGCTTATAATGGTCTTATAAGGAGTGTCATTGATTATGGAACTTTTTTGTTAGCTCCAGGAAGTTCATTTGCTTTTAAGAAATTGGATTTAATTCAATCAAAGGCCTTGAGGATTATCTCTGGAGCAATGAAATCAAGTCCAATCAATGCTTTACAGCTCGAAGTCGGTGATCCACCTTTGGTTTTAAGAAGCCAATATTTATCTGATCGCTTCTTTTTTCGTTGTTTACAATTATCTGATCATCCGCTTATTCAAAAGTTATCTCAACTATATATCTTTATTTCGTCTTCATCTTATTGGAAACATAAAAAACCTCCATGTTTAATACAAAGTTATGAAAAATATAAATCCATAGAATCTCCCACTTTTACATCGTCCTGTTTTCCCATTTATAAATGCCCATATCAATCTTTAGTTTTATCTCCTAATATTAAATATGATTTTGGGTTATCAAAAAATGATTCAGAATTGAATGCCAAATTTATGTTTATAACTGACATTGAATGGAATGAATGGCACTACATCTTTACTGATGCATCAAAACCAGACAATAGCGGTTGTGTAGGTGTGGGTGTGTTTCATTCACAATTTAATATCGTTCAAAAAATTAAACTTCCACCGGAATCTTCAGTTTTTACCGGGGAATGCTATGGTATTTTAAAAGCTGTAGAATATATACTTTTAATGAAATTACATAAGGCAATAGTTTTCACTGACTCTATGAGCTCTTTGCAAGCTCTAGCCAAATATCCGTTTAAATCAAAACCAGTCTATCCCATTATTTGTGACATAAGACAAAGTCTTTATCTTTGCATGTTGAGAGGGTATTCCGTTTCTTTTGCCTGGTTACCAGGACACAGTGGTATTAGCGGCAATGACAAAGCTGACCTTATTGCAAGAGAGGCTGTAACTTGTGGTGATATGTATCCGTATCATAATTACTGTAGTGACCTAGCTTGTCTCCCAAAAATATATTTAAGGTATGCCTGGAAGGAATATTGGGAAAAAACAAGTACAATAAAAGGAAGATTTTATCGCCTTATACAACCCGATATTCCTTTCAAACCATGGTTTTGTAAATTAAAGCTTGGAAAGACCGCAACAACTATTATAACTCGTATGCGTCTAGGTCACGTATGCACACCTTCTCATTTATACAAGCTTGGTATTGTACAAAGTTCGTCGTGTAATTGCGGTGCTGAAGTGGCGGACTTGAATCATATATTCTTCTCATGTTCTAAATTTGACCACATCTCCCTTTTTAATCATCTCCGATCCATCCGTGTTCCATTCCCAACTTCTATTCTTACTCTACTTTCTTCCAATGATCCTATTATCTATAAAATACTATCTTCATATATATATGATAACAATATTAAGATTTAGTTATATTACATGAATACATTTATAGTTGCATCAATTGCTTTTCCTATATATTTATAAGTATATTCTCATATGTACAAGTATATCCTTCATATCCTATAAATATCCTAGACCTAATCCTTATCCTTTCTAAATTCGTGTGTGTTAGGTATTTTTATTACTATTATCGTTTCCCCGTTTTGTTCTTGGCAAAATACCCTAATATCGGGGTAAACGCCACAAAAGAAGAAAAAAAAAAAAAACTATTATCATGACATAACGTCACAATATTGTGACATAACGTCACAATATTCACTTTATAAAATTTTGTAAAAATATCCACCCATGCAGGACATGAAGCTAGTACCTAATCAATTTAAAGTCTATAGTTGATACTTTATGCTAATATACAAAACAAAATTATAAAAAAAGATATAGTAAGGTATATACAGTGCACATTGAATGAGTCTAGGCAACTAAAAAACACTTTCTATGAATTTTATTTATACCATTAACCAAACTTTAGTAATGTTTAGAAAGTTCTCATTTTTTTATTACAGAGAAAACAAGAATGAAACATTCCTAACTAAATCCAAAATGATCATCATTGTTATGAATGCTACAATTTGCAAATCTGTTGAAATCAAACCAGAATGAACAAATTTAACATGATCAAAATAAATATGCTCTTTATATCACAAATAAATTTTTGTTCTAATTTTTAGCTCAAAATTATGTTCAATGGAGTCCAATTTACTTTAGCTGAATTCAATCTAAGTTTCTATTCTACTATTAGTAAACCATTATATCCCATTGTTGGGTCTCTTAGGGTAGGCCTTACATAAATTTATATTAATTAGAAAATTAATAAAACAACATTTTTTTTAAGGAGATTTATTTTACTATAACATTAGATAAATAGTGTTATAATGATACATATTATTAGCTCTTGGTACTTGATATGGAGAAAGATATTGGCTACTTCTCATTTACTCATAAATTAAGACTTGCATTAATCCAAAGTGGGTAACAAAAGACAGTAATTTTATAACAATAAACGAATCGAGTTTGTGACATCTATTATTACAATATACAATATAAGTTGTAAATTTTTTACAAAAATCTTTATTAGAATTAGTCAAAATAACCTCAAAAGACTTTGCACACAAACTTCCTTCTTACCTCTTGCAGATTGCTTATTACACAATTGCTGACTCGCGGACTCAATAATTCTGTAGCCATCACTATATAAACACCTTACTGAATAATTATTACATCAATCACATTTCAATAGTGCATACTTAGAATGTACTATAAGACAATAACAGACTAATATTACTTGATTTAGGAACATAATTCCCGTCCTTATTATTTTTCTATTTTTTTTTTATAAGAAATTAAGAATGACAACAAAAAAAATGAAAAGAATAGAAAATACAAAAGACAAATAACAACAGTTTCTTATAAAATTTTATTTGAAATTTAAGTTTAAGCCGATGACATAAAATGACAGTAACTCGCTGTCAGTGAGTGAGGAAGTCATTGGGGTCTATTCTAAGACGCCATTTCTCTAAAATCACTAATATTCAAATTTCTATTTGAATCAGTAAAATCTTCATCGTAGGGAATAGATTTAATACAAAATTATTAAAATTTTAATTTATGATGATCCATAAAGCAATAATTTGGCGAAATTATCAAATTAAAATATTAGATTAAAAAATAAGTTTAAAAAATGGCGCCACAGATCAACCCCATTGTATGGGGAGGGAGACTTGACAGATGATATTCGTTCAACATAAGTCAATTTTAACGTTTGAAAGTCAGTTGAAAAACAGGTAATAGTACCATTCAAAAAAAATCGACAGTGGAAAATAAACAAATTCCCTGATGTTAATAATGTATATTAAAAAAATTGTCCCTTTAATCATAAGAAGTAAAATCTACGAACCTGTTTTAACTATAACAGTGTTTTGTCACGTTCTTTCAATTTGTGAATTTAGCAAAAAAACTTCAATAGCTACAATAAGTTAATGAGAAGTTTAATGTTATAAATAAAGTATAAAGCAAAACTAATAAGACAAACTAACTGACCGAGTCAGAAATATCTTACCAATGTAAACAAAAATTTTCCTTTTCTCATAATGTTGGCCAACCTAATGTTCTAAATAGAAATGAATAGGTTGTAATTATATTACAGTTTAATAGTGGAAACGCGAATCATGTAATAAAAGAAATGTATAAATTTTATGTCAAATTGCATCTTCCAATAAACATTTTTTAGCAAAAATATTATACGATTTCGTAATAGTATTGATAATAAACACAAGTTTTCAACCTCTAAATAAAGAGAAATATGAAATTCAAAGCTAAAACTGTTGCACAAATAGTTTAGATAGCAGCCAATTGCATCACATTTGACAGTATATTTGTTAGTTAAGTTGGCACTATTGTGATTTCATCATTTAACTAAAAATTTGCATGTATTTTCTGACCAAATCCATCCATTAAAATCTAGTATAGAAATTACGCAAGACTGATCTACTATTACTGGACCACTGTCTCATGTATTAAACAAAAATTAAACAAATTGACACTAGTAGCGCGAGTAATTGTACATCAATGAGTTAACACGTACTTTGTGAATGACCTCACACGTTAGGTGAAAAAATTTTAATTTTTAACAAAAAACTAAATATTCGCCTTCCTAATTTAAAATTAACAAATTTACATACAAATTTTCATCTAAAACAAATTATCGTTAATCTCACTCCCATAGAGGTAAAATCAAAAACTGCTGAAAAATGTTTGGTTTTAATCAAAAGCCTTTCATACTTGTAACTTCAAAAACTATAATATTTCCATAATTTTAAAATTAACATAACTTTGTAACTCTTTAGTGCAAAAATATTTATTAAAAGCGTATATAAAATCAATACTTTAAACACAGATTTTTTGGCCCATTAAATGATTCGTATTTAATAAATCAATAATAATTATTATTTATAATAATTACTTCACGTTTTATAATAATTACTTCACGTTTTGTAAAAATATTGATACTGACAGATTTCAAAAATTTCTGATTTAGAGAATTTATTGATAGGCATATACATAATTTGAAATAAAGGGTTGGATAATAATCTTTATCTTTTTATCGGTACTTTATTATTAAATTTGTATCATTTTAACGTAATACCAAAATATGTAAAATTAGTTAAACTAAAATTTTTCGATACTATGTTTTTTAATTCACCTAAATCCGACCCTTTGACCTTTCGTTCAGAAGTGAACTTTTCTATAATTTTAATAAACAACTATGCCTAGTTTAATGCTAGCAGCAAATTTTCAATTTTACTTCATTTTGCTGCTAGTTAAATTAGACTATCTAACCAAAGATAAATTACATTCTATTGGTTGTCTTAAGTCACAACATAAAAAAAATAATAGGTACTCAACTAAACTAGGTACAAAATATTAGAAATACCTAGTGATTATTTCTTTTCTTATTGTTCATTTTCTGTCTAGTCTCGTTAAAAAGTGTTTATTATTATTTTTTAAATTAGTAATGCATCGTAACGTAAAAACAACACCAAATCTTGGGTGGAAAATCTCAAATCATCAACTTAAGTGAATTGTTTATTACGTAGCATATGTTTGTAGTGATGGAAGTCAATCCGTTGAATATATTTTTTGTGAAGTCAGACAGCAAAGGTGATAGATTGTTATTCAGATATCCCTATACAACAGAAAACAAAAATGAAAACACTGAGAAGCAATGCGGTCGACATAATCCCTACGCGATCAATTCCACAGAAGACCTCCTACAGAATCCTCAATCGCAAACATCAAATATTTGTAAAGGTTAGTGCTTTTTTACTCTAATAAAATTGGTCAAGTACCATTATAACATGGAAAGTGTAAATAATCACCCACTGCGGACAATATTAACGTATTATGAAATCTAGTGTAATTAATTGTAATACACTATCTTAGGCAGGACTACCATAACTTGTTACTTGTTTACTAAGATATAATACCTTAAAATGCATTTTATATGACATTTCATACTTAGGTGAAGGCCTTGAACATGAAATACAATATAATTTATTGCAACAAAGCATAGTTGTATAAAAGTAGATGTTGGTAAATAGAATCTAGAATATATCTAGATTTTATGTTTTATATAATAAATATATTTAGTAAATAGTCTTAATATATTTTTTTTTATCAATCTATTATATTAAAAATATTATATATTTTTAATAATTGTATTCCTATTTGGGAAATATTATATTTATTTTAAATACACTGTTGGGATTCAGAGTGATAAAAGATTTTTGCAGGTAAATAGACACGGATTGCACCAATTGTGTATTTTAAATTAAACATATTTACAACAATGTAAAAGTTTAAAATTAAATATTATATTTATTTTTTAATTAATATTATTGTTGTAAATGTTGCAGGACAGTTGAGCGGGTTCACTGATGAGATGCTATCAACACTGTTTGCTGTTAAGGCAGAGTTATGTAATAGAAAGTTTGAGCTCAAAGTTAATGATGTAAGATTTGTGGGGCACCCAACATTGCTTCCATACAGGACTAACAAAGATGATACAGCTGCCATGATACTTATTAACATTGTGTTTGCACTGCAGGCCTCTGCAAGTCATTCTATTGGTGAGTACATGGCAAATTAATGTTTTTATTTTATAGCTTAAAAGTGGCAAGCATTTGTCTTTCATTTGTCAATCACATATATACAGTGAAAACTCTATATAATGCAATTGAAGAAGTGGAATATTTTAATGTTTTATAAAGAGTTTTTGTTAAATGGAGAGTAAAAACAAAATAGTATAATTTTATGAATTGGTACATTTTAATTTTGACTAAACTACTTCAGTGAAAAAAAATTACACAACAAAGTTGTAAACAAATATCTTTGTCTGTAGTTTTTTATTATGCCAGTATTTTAATCATATCTTTTATTGTATTTTATTCATGTCTTGCATGTGGGATCATCTTTGTTAATAAAAAGATTTTTATCTGAAAAGAATGAAATATTTATGACTCAGACAGTATTGTGTTTGAAGGTCAGTGACACTAATGTTTATTGGGATTTAAACAACAATGTATTGTTTTGCTATTGATAGTGGTTGCAACACTATAAACAGTGTTTCAATACAAGGGTGACAATGTAAACCAAACAAATCTTAGTACTTCCTAAATTTTAAGGAGTTTTTTATTAAATAGAAGTTCACTACATATAGTTTACACTGTATATAAAAAATATAATGTTATAGTGAATATATTAGTTTATTTCACGAGAGGGAGACTTTATACAAAAGTCGATTGCTTGGGTATCTTTGTCCCATTTGTGTTTCAACCATGAAGCAGTTGTGTTTGCATGACTGTGTTTCGGATAGAAGAGTGGGATATGGTGTGAATTTACAGGGTACAGAGGAATAACACCTGAGTCCTCAGGAATGGCAACACATGGGGAGTATCATGGGCGAAACAGTATGCTCTGTTATGTCCATGGTACTGCTCATGTCTATGGGCGACGGTTATCACTTTCCATCAGGTGGATCGTCAGCTTGTTTGCCATTCTAAGTTATATAAAAAAAAATATTATATCTTTACAGTTAAATGTTACTATGATTTGAGCAAAAGACTGGGTAAAGCACTGAGGCATGAGGAAAAAAGGTGTTCATATTTGACTGAAGAAATGAAAATTATGGTAAGGGATTTTTTTAAAATTTTAATAGACATAAAGACAGGTGGTACAAGTACTAAATTATTTTTTGTTCATTTTATAATAATAATAAGTATTTATTCAGGTTACCAGGATCCACTTTAAATTTATACAGATAATTAGAATTACTTACCTAACCTACTTTTTTTGTATATTATCAACATGTGAATCATACTATATACATACATCAAATACTGGTAGTGTGGATGGTCCGTAAATACCCTTGGGGGGAGGGATTGTTTGTAAAGGAAAGATTAGTCCCCATTGCTATCCATATACCCCATCAGATCGACTTCCACATGGTTCCCCCTGGAAACCATCGTGACTAATTTATCATTGAATTCGTCAAGATGGGCTAACTGACCTTTCTTTTCATCCTCATCTATCATCCCCCACTGATGCCTCGCCAGCGTATACCGATAGCGCAGGCGGGGTACCATTCCATTAAAAAATATACCCTTAGGATTAGTGTTAGAGGTGGCTCGGACCTTAGACATCAGAGATATGCACCATTTTCTTATAACAGTTTTTGCAAATTTTGTTAATGTATTATTTTGTATTTCTTTTTTGTTATAGTTTTTTTTTAATGTCTTTAGTTATTGATATTGTTGTTTAGTTATTAGTATAGTGCATTTGTTAATAGCTTTAATGCTCAGGAGGAAGGGATTGTTAGTAATAAGGGGTAACAATCCCATTGCTAATAACATACCCTATTTTTTTATATATGAAAATGGCATGGTTACCCCGCCTGCGCTATCGATATACACTAGCGGTGTACCAGTGAGCGGTGATAGGTGAGGATGAAAAGGCAGGTCAGTTAGCCCATTGTAACAAATTCAATAATAAATTGGTCACGGAAACTATCCAAGGGAAACCGCGTGGAGGTCCACCTGATAGGGTATATTGATAGCAATGGGGACTAAACTCCCCATTACTAACAATCCCTTCCCCTCATTAGGTCGATCTGAACGAGGTTCCCCCTAGACACCACTATAGTTTATTTTTGTCACAAAAAAGATTTTGTTTGTTTGTAATGGATAAACTCAAAAACTATTCAACCCGACGCTTTTCTTTACAGACTCGCTACTTGAGAACCATTCGATCCAATTGGATTCCTTTCTGCCACATGCAATATTTTTTTTTTCCATTTATACATTTCTTTCATCCAAATCCCATCAAGTGCCAACAATCACCTGTTAACATAGGTTATTTGCTTTCACAGTTAGCTGCTCACGACGAGGTGTCGGCGTTAGATAGTGAAAACAATTCAGGAGAAAATGATGACGAGGAGGAAAACTCACGCCATTCTGTTAGTTCCACAACGTATGGTACAGAGAGCGAGTCAGATTGTGCTCCGAAGTCAGCGTTCCATCTTATATTGCAAAGGAGCTCGTTAGCACGATCAATGAAGGCTGTGTTTGAAGAGCTTAGTAGTACAGGTTTGTTTGTATTTGTTTGCTGTATGAATGAATGAAAATTAACATTCCCTTCAAAGAATGATACAGATTATAAAGATTGTATTATATGTACAGAGGGAGACTTTGTACAAAAGTGAGTACCTCTGTCACATTCGTGTTTTTACCGTGAAGCAGTTGTGTTTGCATGGCTGTGTTTCGGTTTGAAGGGTGGGATATGGCGTGAATTTACTGGGTACGGAGGAATAACACCTGAGTCCTCAGGAATGGCAACGCATGAGGAGTATCATGGGCGAAACAGTATACTCTGTTATGTCCATGGTACTGCTCATGTCTACAGGCGACGGTTACCACTTTCCATCAGGTGGGACCGTCAGCTTGTTTGCCGTTCTAAGTTGTATAAAAAAAAATACCTATAATTGTTTCCAAAGTGTGATAGTTCACCTAATTACTAATTTGCATACGAATGTAAACTCTCGATTTTAAACCACCTATTAACTTCCAGGTATAGTACAAGTACGGATAAATAAATGGGTGCTTTTATCTTTCTGTTTGCCACATAAAGCACATCAAATACACAATAAAGGATTAATTATAGAGCCGGAGACGATAGATAAGTGTTTACAGAAGTTGCGACCGTATCACGGGATTCTATTAATGGTGAGCAGATTTACAAAAAAAAGAGCAGATACGAGCTATGTATGTATCCTATTTACCAAAGGTTGTTATGTGAAGTAGTTCCACATCATTTAGTGTGCATTTAATTCATTTATCTTTCATGCAGTTGTTTTATGTCGAATATTGATTATAGTACGTTTGTGTAGAGATGAAAAGTAATATGGATACTGGGGGGAAAGGGATTGTTAGTAATGGAGACTGAAAATGCCATTGCTAGCAATATACCCAACCAGGTCGACCTACTCGCGGTTCTCCCTGGAAACTATCATGGTTAATTCCTGTTGAATTCATCATGATGGCCTAACTGACCTGTTTTCATTCTCATCGATCACCTTTCACTGGTGCTCCGCCAGCGTATCCCGTTAGCTTAGGCGGGGTTACCATACCATATATAGATACTGATTCGATATCTATATATTGGCTTCTTCTGGACTTTGCTAGTGAATCTCCCATTCGGATATCGCCCATATCGGTTGTATACCTATTTTCGTATATGTTCAAAGTCTGATATCCAATATTATTTATTGGATAACAGACTATTAGTATATTCGTTGTTGGGTCAGTATTAAGATATAATAACTAAAATATATTGATATTGCTATATATTATTCATCCCTAAAAAGTAAATTTATAGATAGACTAGTTACATCCTAACACACATATAGTGTTAGCTATTTTTGTATGAATTAAAAAAAAAAATTCTAAAAATAATGTATATAGCAAAACGTTTGCAGGTAGATAGATAGATATATAATTTATTTGCATTACTTACAGCACACAAAAACACCAGACATACACAATAAAAAGAGATAAAAGAATGCATATACAAAAAAAAGCAAAATGTATAAAACAAAAAATTTTACTTTCATGCGTGTGTCATAGTAACACAAATTATTAATTCATATAGGACATGTTGCTATCACTTATCCAAATAAATTTTTTGAGTTCCGTACCTTGAAAAGAGTAACGGAACAATTATACTATAGAAGGATCACTTTGTTTGGTCCGTCTAACGAGACCCATTTCTCAGGAATGTCTGAAGATATCGAGCTGAAATTAATAGCAAATACTCAAGTCTACAATGCATTGAAGCTGTGAAAAAATCAAACGTCTAAGTCGAAGTTATCAAAATATATAGCTGTTTATAGCATATATTTTGACATTTTTGCAAGAGAATCAAAAGCTATAAGGTATTTCCCATTGACCTAATCATGAAATTTGACAAAGAAACAATGTCGTCACAAGTAAAGGGAAAAATCTGAAAACTGTAAACTTGCAGTTACATCACATCACATATCACAAAAATAATTGACGAATTTTTCTTTTCTCGATTTTAATTTGTATAGAACCCACGGTACGCGAGTCTGACTTGCGCTTGGCCGGTTTTTTTTTTACATTTTTATCCATAAAAATAGTATAGAAATCATCTTTATTCAAGTAGATTTGTTTTTTTTTTTAAGTCTTAACATTTTTATTATTCTATTTGCTCAGTGCAGAATGTTGTTATTTGTTCAGAAGATAGAAGACATAGCAGGTGATTCTTTACAATTTTCTAATGTACAAGATTTTTTATTTGTACAGTCATTGTGACTATTTTTTTTTTTTTTAATGAAATATTATTCAAACTTGCACAGTCAGTCATAAGCATTAAATATGAGCAGAACACTTCACAAGTAACACCCGTTCACGAGTATGATGGAAGTGTCCTCTGTCATACTCGGGAACGGACATACCTTCAATGCGCTCAACCATATTTTCGGAGCTTAATGCTCTAGTTTACTAGTTTGAACTTATCAGAGAATTTTACAAGTGGCTGATAAAAAAAATGTCATAATAAACTGTTTCAATGCCATAAGTCCAGTATGCGGCCAGCTACGCTCTAAGTGTATGATATACTACCCAATATTGATATGTATTTCAACATGTTACAGGTGGATCCAAATGAGTTACTCGCCTCAATACCACTGGACGGCAGTCCGGCGTTGTTGCGGCTTATAAAACATTACAGTCCGCTAAAAAGTCTGCAAACACTAGCAATTGAGGCGGATCTGACCCTCACTCAGGTATTTTTTTTTCTATTTTTTTTTTATTTTTTTTTTTTATTTTTTTGTACAACTTAGAATGGCAAACAAGCTGACAGCCCTCCTGATGGAAAGTGGTAACCGTCGCCTATAGACATGAGCAGTACCATGGACATAACAGAGTATACTGTTTCGCCCATGATACCCCCCATGCGTTGCCATTCCTGAGGACTCAGGTGTTATCCCTCTGTACTCAGTAAATTCACGCCATATCCCACCCTTCAAACACAACTGCTTCACGGCTGAAACATGAATGGAACAGAGGTACCCAAGCAATCGACTTTTGTACAAAATCTCCCTCTGGTACTATAATTTATATATTTATTCCTCCCTATTATAATTTATATATTTCAAACTGTAAACCTTTGTCATATGGTCCCGGTATAGAATGTTCCACTCCTTATTTTAAGGACTAAGGGTACTTAATGTTCGAAGGATGAACAGCAGCGTCCCTCTTAAAACATCAGGAAAAGCCTAGTACATGGGACACTAACGAGATATTTGGGTGATATAGTGATTCCCAGTTTGGGAATACTCCATCATCATCAACATCACCATGTCAGCCGTTAACAATCCATTGCTGAACATAGGCCTCCCTTATAAAGGGCAATTTTGCCAGTAGCAAAATTGCTTTTCATAGGGCTCGTCTGCCAAACGTTGCTGCGCTTGGTTGCTACGATACGGCAAATGCATTTAGGCTTTGGTGATGCTATAAGAAGACACGCTGCTGCCCGTCCCTTGACCATTATGTTTTTTTCAATGGATGATAATGGAATGGTAACCCCGCCTGCGCTATCGGTATACACTGGTGGAGCACCAATGAGGGATGATAGGTGAGGATGAAGCAGGTCTGTTAGGCCACCGTGACGAATCTTATAATAAATCAATCACCATGGTTTCCAGGGGGAATCACGAGGTCGACCTGATAAGGTATATTGTCAGCAATGGGCTACTAATCCTCATTATTAATATTTCTTTCTTTCTTTATATAATATCGTCATAGTCGTAGAATACTGACGGATCTGACAAATATTACATATATAGATCGGCCAAGGAAATGGTGACCCGTTGTATTTTTTTTACAACACAGGGTAAACGAGCATGCGGCTCACCTGATGGTAAGTGACTACCGCCGCCCATAATCACCCACAACGCCAACGGCATTGCAAGTGTGCTGCCGGCCTTTTAAACAAGAATATGCTTTTTTCTTGAAGGTTATGATGTCGTATCGGTTCGGAAATACTGCTGCTGGAAGTTGATTCCAAAGAGTGGTTGTGCGTGGAAGAGAGTGCCTTGAAAAACGCACAGTGGAAGACCGCCACTTGTCCAGATGCTGGGACCATACGAGAACACAGATAGTAAAGGAAATATTGTCTCTGCTTACAGGCATTTCAGTTGACTGGTCACCTGGTGTACTGGGCGAAAGCGACCGTAATCTACCCGCTGTGCGAGGGGAACGTGTACGTGGTGGCTCCCGGCGCCAATATACACATAAACTCGCCAATCGTACACGATTTCGCTAAGGAATTCCCTGGTCTCTGTTTGTTGCAGGTATGGCGTTTTATAATTTTATTATCTGTTCTATTTACAGTAAAATTCATATATACTAATCCCCCTATAACAGGGGGAGAGGAATTGTCAGCAATGGAGTTTGACAGCCCCATTGATAGCAATGTCCCCTATTAGGTCGACCTCCACGTGGTTCCCCCTGGAAACCATCGTGAACAATTCTTGTATGAAGTCGTCACGATGGCCTAACTGACCTGCTTCATCGTCACCTATCATCCCTTACTGGTGCCCCGCCGGTGTATACCGATAGCGCGGGTGGGGTTACCATCCCTAACGGTAGATTCGTTCCGCGTTATACGAAAAAGCATTGTAGCAGTATTCTTGTATAACGTGCTTGTATTGTTATGTACAAATGATTTCATGTAGGTAACTGACATTTACATCAATTTGAATAGTTGTGTTCTATATGATAGGGCAGGCAGAATGGTTTGTATGCTTATTTTATTTTATTTTATTAAAATTATTAATTTAAATAATACACAAACTTAGGAACGTCCATATGTAATCTTTTTATATTTGAAAGTGTTGCCATAACTAATTGTAATGTACAACTAAACATTATAGTGCCTTATATGCAACAGGTTGATATTATATTTATTTATTCTTTACTACAAAATATATGTACAAGGTGGACATAATACTAAAAATATACTCCCAATCAACCTTAGGGAAGTGTTGGTATGTTGGAATTAGATACTAGTATTAATTGATAAACATAAATTATATAGATATACAAATATGTATAATTAAAAATATATACTTACACATATATATAATATAGGAGAACCTGTTGAGCCTTGGCACTATGTGTACCTAGGCCACTTAGCTCGTTTCAAATGTTCTCATGTTATTATATTATTTTGCCTTTGGTATTCGGTATATCACTGTAGACTGTCTAATGTCAAGTTAGTCGCTTGCCGCTATTGGTATGGTGTTGTCGAGGAGTAGGTTTTATTGACGGAAAATGTATTTTTAATATATTTTGAAGTCTGTTATTTCTATACTTTTTTTTATTGGTCACTTAACTTTTATATGCAATCGATTGTTTGATGTTTTGAGATCTTTTCACAACCACCTCTTCCCCCCCCCCCCCCTAACTAATTAATTACACTAATTAATCGTCTATTATATTAATATCTCTCCGTTATTAGAAAGTCATTGCGTGTATACACTATAAATGTTGCTCTGTTGCGCTCGAGTATTTCCATATGATTTTTTTTTGCATGTTTCAAAATTTGTATGAGCTCCCCCCCCCCCTCCCTACTTAAATGACAAACTACATAAACTTTCGTTCGCTTTAGGACCTAATTTCCACGATCCAAGAAGTCCCCAAGACGCTTTAGTAACTGCATATTTAACTTCCGTTCTTCCCTATTATTATCCCCAAATACTCAATGTGTTCTAGGTACAACATAGTACACCCCGAGGTACATAGGGTATGTTATGTCTTGGCCTTATTTACGATTGTTTTTTAACGTTTTAAACACATTTAAGTATAAATTATCCAGTTATAATATTTTACTGATAGATACTCAAATAACTTACCTTTCAAAATATGTAAATGTAGTTTATGTCCAATACGTCAAATTACAGAAAAAAATATTTTTCACAAAAATTGTCTTAGGCACACTCACAGGCTCTCTAGACAAGTGCACACAAGCGGCACTGCCCTTCTTCGATGGAATCGACATCGCTCAACGAGTCAGTGAGATAGAATGAGTCACCCGGCGTTGCTATCTCATTCTGTCTCACTGACTCGTTAGCGATGTCGATTCCATCGACGAATTCGCTTGCCACTTGTCTAGAGAGCCAGGTTCTTCTACTATATGAGTCTTCATGCATGAAGATGAAAAAAGTCAATAATATTGATTAATAATATTGTTGTGGATAAAATGTCGGTTAGGTGGCTTTTGGCGGTCGATGTGATTAGGATTGTAAAGTGTAAATGACAGAATGGCCACTGGGTGAAGTTCTCGTGCTTGTATTTGCAGATGCTGGGCGAGTTCTCGCTGCCGGCGCCGCTGTGGTACGTGCGGCGCGGCGCCGGCGGCGCCAACCTCGCACGCTGCGTGGCCTGGCTGCTGCGGCGCCGCCTGCTGCTGCAGCTGCACACCTACGTGCAGCTCAACTCGCCCGCCTGGCACTGCCCTCGCAACCCAGGTACGGACCTCGCACTCACACTCACACGCGGCTCTCACTGCGTGGCCTGGCTGCTGCGGCGCCGCCTGCTGCTGCAGCTGCACACCTACGTGCAGCTCAACTCGCCCGCCTGGCACTGCCCTCGCAACCCAGGTACGGACCTCGCACTCACACTCACACTCGCACGCAACTTTCTTTTTTTTTTGATGAGTGAAAATGGTATGGTAACCCCGCCTGCGCTAACGGGATACGCTGGCGGAGCACCAGTGAAGGGTGATAGATAAGAATGAAAACAGGCCAGTTAGCCCATCACGATGAATTCATCAGGAATTAACCATGATAGTTTCCAGAGGGAACCGCGAGGAGGTCGACCTGGTTGGGTATATTGCTAGCAATGGGATTCACAGTCTCTATTACTAACAATTCCTTTCCCCCCACTCGCACGCAACTCTCACTGCGTTGCTCGAATCACATATCAAAAACCTTTTTCAATCAATACGGAACTTTAGTAATAGGTTCACATTAATGTGGTCAAGATTAAACTATGAGTAACTGTTTTTATTTTATTTTTTTATTTTAAGGGCTTTTACCTTCTTCGGGTATTTCAGTACTATCATACTCAGAACTGATTTCTCAAATAAAGTTTTATCTACTTTCCCTAATCACGGAAAAAGAGGAATTAATGGATATCAATAATTTACAGAGATGTTAATAAAATTCTGATTTGGGTTCAGCTAATAATAATAATAATAATACTTTATTATACAGACTACAATGCGGTCCAATTTTGTTAGTAACAATTTTCTTACAAACTATGTTAGTAAAAAAAAAAAAAAGAAAAACAATATCTAATATATGATTAGATTGAATAAGACCAATATTTATTTAGGTTAGATTAGTGGCGCATGAATTCTTCTCTTTCATATCGTATCACAAGCTGGACATTCCCGTCATATGTGCAAATTTTTGTTTTATAGAATGGGGGTCGTAAATCAATTAATTAATTCTTTTTTTTCTTTTGCTTCGACTTTTTTAAATTAATGTGTGTCATTTTTCAGATGGCAACGAATATTTCTGTGAAAAACACGACATTTACAATCAATCGTGCAGCGTGTCGTTCTCGTCACTTAATCAAATGCAACTGAACGTTCCGGAACCGGTCGAGGCAAGGGACAACGTTAACATGTTCCCAGACTCCGATGAGGATTACCCCACTGAGAATAATCTCAACCAGACAGACTTTTCGCATACGAAACCAATAGTAATCGAGTCGGATCATACGAAATATGATCATTTCAATGAAATCGATTCAGCCAATCATTCATTCGATGAAGGCATAGACGTTGTCGATGGCCCTGTGAAGACTAACGGACTGAACGGAAACCACGATAATAAAGAAAAGAAAAAGAATCAAGGAAACTCCGTAGATAGTGGTATATCAAGTAATATAAATGGTACCAGTAGTATTGCTAATGGCCTGAATGGTACTATGGAACATATAAATAGTGTGTCGGAGAAAAGTGAAGACAAACTAAAGGCATTAACAACAAGCATAACGGATTTGTCGTTAAAAGAAAATGACACTGCTCTGAATACGAGTAGTGATGATGATAAGTTCGATCTAGATATATCACCGAGACAGAAGAGGGCGAGTGCAATCGTGAATAGTGATAAGAAAAATGGCGTCTCACTCAATTTGAAACTGCAAAGTGAAATGAGGTTAGACTTTATGTATTATTATTTTTTTATTATTTAATTTGTTGAAATGAAATGAAATGAATTTATTTTGCTAGAATGTAGGTAGTTTTCGATGAAAGAGGTTTACATTTTCTATATACATTCTGCCTCTATGTCGGCGTGCAAATTTTTAACAATATGAAAAAATTAGATAATTCTACATTATATTTCCCCTTATTAGTCATACTATTTAACACACACATAATTTATTACAGTAAATAGAAAAGAAAACAAGAGCCAAAGCGTAATCACATCTCCACATAACTGTCAAGTACATTTGTTTTTTTTAGTTAAATATATTTTTAAAAATTATTACATAACAGCCAATTCCTAAGTTTATGTTTGAACACTGTATGAGCTGTTATTTCTCTAATGTAATTTGGTAGATGATTGTAAACTTTAATAGCCATACAATATGCATTCCTTTTATGTAAATCTAATCTACACTTTGGTACACGTAATTTGTCATTTGGTCGAGTTACACATATTTTTGAGTCCGATACTCTTTTTAAATAGCCAGCATGTTCCCTTACAAATATACAAAAGTCTCTAATGTACATACATGGCAGTGGAAGAATATTTAATTTCTTAAAAAGAGGGCGACAACTTTCTCTTGTTGTTGTTGTATTGAAGCATTCGTGGGTGACCATGCCAGCTTCATAGGGCATGTCTGAATGTTTAATTTGTCGTGTCAATTCGCGATGAACATCTTTACCCACGAATATCGTCATAGTCCTAGAATACTGACGGATCTTTATATGTAATATTCGTCAGATCCGTCAGTATTCTACCACTATGACGATATAGGCATTTGACATTACTAAAAAGATTTAACAGGTGGAAAATAATCTGTGTTGGGTGCAGTTTCCAGCAACCAACAGTGTGGAATGTGCCAGCGAATTGCGAGGCGGCGGAGACGGAAACGGAAACTGGTATAAACGGGGGCACTGGCCCGGGGCCGGGGGCGGAGGCCGAGACCGAGGCGGAGGCGCTGCTGCTGACCTTCACGGCGGAGGAGCGTGCCGCACTCGCCGCCGTGCCCGCCTCTAAGAACCCTGATGATCTGTTACTACTGGCTCAGTTGCACAAGAAAGGTATATAACTCTTATTACCTACTGATTAAAACTGATACACGCGACTTTGGAAACACCACAGTATTTTTGTTTTTTTTTTTTTTATTATTTTATTATGGATTAGTAATTAGAGTTGATTGCCTATAAAAGCATCGTGCGCGAATGATTGCTTATTGTAAAATAAAAATGGTATTATTTAACGAGATTTCATTCTTTTCCACTATATACGTTATATGCATGAGTAATTCATAATAGTAATTTTAGTTCCTTAATTACTCTATAGAGGCAGCACTATCGTTCACTCAATAATCACTTTTAAACTAACCTTAATTTTCTATTTCATAATAAGCTTGATGGAATTATCTTTTTATTTAGCAGGGAGTCAGTGGATGCAGGTGGCTAAGGATCGTTCCTTATGGCAGTCTATGGGGAGGACTATATTCAGCAGTGGATAGATTATGGCTACAATGATGATGATAAATATTCTGATATTTGTGCATCTAACTTAACTAGGAATATTGTGTATTCTTGTCACATATTAATATATTATACCATAGAAAAGGAAAAAATTCTTTTGACGTAATTTTCTGAGATTATTTACAACGAATGTATTAAACGCTGTTGTTGTATAAGATAAATATTGTAATACCTCCCACATTTGTGCTTTCAAATGTTTGTTGCTTAGTCCCTTAAAATCCAGGGCATCCCAGCTTTAGAGCAGGTGATTGGTGTAATTGTGTGACACTTATATTATTATTCGAGTCTTGTATTTAAAATTATTAGTGGTCGCCCAGTGGTCGAAATTCAACCACTACATAACACATACTGTAATAAATTAATTTATTATTGTTATGTTTGACATTCAGTAAAACTGTAAACAAATAATATTAAAGATAAACAATATAAATCTATTCTCAATTTGAACACAGAACTTAACAATAAACAAAAGAGTATATATGCGTGTGTGTGTTTAATATATGGAAGTGTGTGTTATGTTTTTTTTTTATTCATTTCATGTATTTTTATGCATAAATTAAAAAAAAATATTAACATTCTGCATTCCTTCTCTATATAAACTATAAGTGTCCCAAACACCAGAGGGTGACTTTGTACAAATGGCGATTGCTTGGGTACCTCTGTCCCATTCGTGTTTCAACCGTGAACCAGTTGTGTTTGCATGGCTGTGTTTCGGTTTGAAGGGTGGGATATGGCATGAATTTACTGGGTACGGAGGAATAACACCTGAGTCCTCAGGAATGGCAACGCATGAGGGGTTTCATGGGCGAAACAGTATACTCTGTTATGTCCATGGTACTGCTCATGTCTATAGGCGACGGTTACCACTTTCCTTCAGGTCAACTTGTCTTCAGCAGCTTCGTCAGCTTGTTTGCCATTCTAAGTTGTATAAAAAAAATTCATACACCTCCATCCGCGCAATTTTCGTAAAAGTATTTGCTTTATGTATTAATATATAGATTTAAAATATTTACATTTTGATGGCAGGTTACTTCCGTGGCGAGCAGCACTTAGAAGAAATAATGTTTATGGAGAATGTCAGTCGCTCACAGCTGATGCAGCTTCTAGATAAGTTCAAAGATGTGCTCATCACCTTCGAAACAGAGGACCCGGCCGTCGCCATGTTGTACCCATACTAATAACTGATGTTATTCTCTCTATTTATATATAATTTCGCCTTTTGATTTAGCTTATTTAATAAAGTATATTTATAATGTCTCGTTTTCTAAACTATTTTTTATTCTTCTCCATTTTATTTTATCACCAGTATGTTGTAAGAAGTGACTAAGGAAACTTAATGTTCAAGGATTGACCAGCAGAGTCCCTCTTAAAACTGTTTATTTGTTAATTAGCATGCTGTGTTTCCTTTAAAATGATTGTACACCAAGTATAAATAGATAGTAATTTTAATATTAAATCTTACCAGTGTAACAATTGCTAGGAGACCAAATAAAGATAAAATAAAACATCATCAAAGCCTCACTGCGGTTGACAACCTGCCTGCCAAACGTAGCAACTACTGGCATAACCTCCCTTACGAAGGAAGCCTATGTTCAGTAGTGAACAATTAAAATTAAATGTCTTCTTCACACAACTACGCTTTAGAATCGACTTCCAGCAGCAGTATTTCCGAACCGATACGACATCATAACCTTCAAGATAAGAGCATATTCCTTTATAAAAGGCCGGCAGCACACTTGCAATGTTACTGGTGTTGCGGGTGATCATGGACGGCGGTAGTCACCATCAGGTTACTGATGTAACTCATTTCTCAAGATTGCGGTGTGTAAAGAAACATGGTTTACTGGGAATAGTAGGTTGAAGATTACCATAATACTTCCCTTTGTCATTCCATATTTTAAGCATTTGTGGTTTTGCCTGACAACATAAGTCACGAGAGTAACAGAAATTGTAGTTGTTACAGCCAGTTATTGCCCTGTCGTATCCGAGTAACTGAGGATCCAAGCAAGCAAGGAGGGTACTTAAAATTAAGGGCTTTCTTATACTTAGGTATCAATACGAAGAAACCAAAGTTATCTTCATCTGATATTTAGGATGCATCGGTGAAAAAGGTTTTATTAAATTCCTGATTGGCTGTAGGGTCGTGTTTCTTTAAAATTGAAAATAACTTTGGGCTGGAATATTAAAGGAACTCTTTAATTGTTAGATTCAAAAAGAGACTGTCGGGGCATTTTAACTATTTGAATATTCAAATTTTTAAGTTTGTAAAAGTTGTTAAGGAGTTGGGATGCGGTCTTATGTGATCAATATAAGGAGGTAGGGATTAAATTACATATGAATTCTATCTAGTACAGGGAGTAGAGGATGAGCGCTGTATTGTGTACAAATGATTGGAGCAGAAGTAAATTATATAAGACATATTTTATAGGCAAGTATACCAATGTTCATATAATAAAAATATAAAATGTACAAAATAATCAAATCTCGCTGTGTGTATTATTTATTTTTCTACGGCAATTGTTTTCGAATCTGTTTTTGAAGCTATATAATATAGCAGTTCACTTCCTATGCTATAATTTTCAAAAAAAATACTAAATGACAACAATGACAGTAGACTGACAGTTTTGGATTGATAGTCTAATTGTCAGTGTCTCAAATTTGTTTCTATTTTGTGTTTGTGACAATAGATAAATAGAAAAATAAAATTAACGTTTCTTAATTTGTGTCGTGCCATTTATTCAAAATGAAGAATTTCCCCGTGTTCGTATTTCCCGTCTCTCTGGAATTTTATTTAAACGCAAGGCACACGCATAAGCAGTTATTGACAGTGTATAATCCTTATGATTTTTCTGTAAATTTTAAAGGTAAGCCGTAATCTGTTATCGAATGGCGCAATGTTCATTTAACATACACAATATCTATGTTCTTTTTATTGTTTTTTCAGTGTTATGCACTTCCCCAAACAAGTTCACAGTGATAGACCCGGAAGGAGTTATTGCTCCACAAAGTTGCATTGATATTGTGGTGCGATACACACAACCATCTGTTACACATCGTGACACAGTAGAGAAATTTAGGATAACAATGTATGACAGGAATACTCAGCAGGTAAATATTTTTTATTTGTGAAACTAACTAGGGAGGTAGTATTGTGGTATTGTATTGTAGGTGTATGGTGGTGGTATTTAAGCATTCATCATCATCATTTTATCAGCCGTTAACTGTCCACTGTTGAACATAGGCCTCACCTATAAGGGTTTAAGCATTAAATCATCGTAATATGATGTGACCAAAACAGGAATAAACTATTTAACTATGGTGCTATTTATCTCTGTAGGTTATAGTTACCATTTTTTATTAGGTCAGTTGTTATTATATTATATGTCATTCAAAGTTATTAATCTTTTAAATAAAAATATCCTTAAGGCTTACCATCAACTAAAAATTTATACAGATGATGTAACAAAAAAGAAGTACAGTTTAATTAAGAAAGTATTTTTTTATAAGACTATAAAAACAAAGAGTGTACAGAAAAGTTAGAGCATAAAAGTAGGTAAATGTATAGTCATAAACTAAAATAATGAGGGACAGTAGGATCTGAGAATTTAATTGTATATAAAACAATGAAATTCATAGAAGATTTATGTTTATATTTAGTTTAATTCTTTATTAATCATAATGTGATATATATTTGTAATATACACTTGTGTATAAATAAAAAAATATATGTAATAAATAAAAACTAAAGAAGAAATTAATGTAATATAATAAAAAAATATTATTAATAATTTTTTATTTACATTAATATTATAAATAATTTCTAGGCTCTCGGCAAACGAGACATTCCTACAAAACTAATAGAAGGGGAACCATCAAATGCAAATACTGAAAGTTTAAGTGATAGTTTCCACCCACTAGCAGTTAAAGCAGCTCCCATGAGACCAGTGGAAGAACAGCTAAGGGTAGCTTGTCATCACCCATCACATCACAGGTAACATGATCTATTGTTTGCATTTTGTTATTTATTATATATATATATATTCTTTATTGCACTAAAACAAACAGTAACAACAATAAGTTGATAACAATGTTAGCAAAGGTGAACATATCTCTAAAAGAGATTTCTTCCAGTCAACCTAATGCATACCATAGCTTTCTAACAACAAGGAAAATATATAACAAGAAAAATATAAATGATAGGTAAAGATGAAAGCAGGTTAGTTGGTTCATCATGATTAATTTACCAGAAATTAATTACAATGGTTTTCAAGAGGACCCCTATTGAGATTGACCTGACAAGATGTATTATTAGCAAAATGGGGTCCAACCTCCTCATTACTAACAATTTTATCTCACCATGAAATATATCCTTGTTTTGTTCTGATCATGTTATGTTAGGTTGTTATAAATTTATGCATTTCTATAATTTTACCATATGAGTATATATTTTGATTACTCGCACTGCTGTGTCTGATTCTTAGTTCTTAATAGGATAAGGATCTTCAGCATGCCAACATAGTCGTTATTATTAAATACATTAGAGTCTCGGTTCTATCTGGATATTTATTCTTAAGATTACAACTGTGGATAGGTGTTTAACTATACATATTTATATGAATATCAAATTTCATTTATAGAATGTAATTAAGTAAAATATCACCCTGCTTACTTTACATCACTTTAGTACTCCCCCTTTCTTATATTTAAAAAAAAAAAAAATAATTGTTTTTTGGCACCTTTGAAAACTTGGCATCTGAGAACCAGTCTCTTCAGTCTTCCTCCTCTTTACTCTTAGAAATATTCCTGTTTATGATGTACTATATTCTAGAATCTAGTTACTAGATTAACATTAAAGGCAGAGAGAGGCACACCTTGAAGCTAGTATTTAATATTTACAGGGAGCAACAACCAGTAAATGTGGTAGCGGTGGCAGTAAGTATATGCTGTATAGCAGCGCTGCTGTTGCCTACACAGCCTGAGCAGATAACTAAGTCTCAATGGCCTGAGTGGCTTCACATCGGTGCTAACCTCAAACTTGTCTTCTCCTTTGTACTTGGACTAGTAAGCATGCTTGTACTGAGGCCTTAGGAGCGAAGATAACAATAATATCAAGTTGTAAATAAAATATCCTTAGATATATGGGTCTGTCCAGACAACATGGACTATGGTAATAGGTTTGGGGAGGTAAATGTATTTGTTAAAATATAATATTGGGACATAGTTTTTATATTAAGGATCTTGATACTTTGACCAAAAGACAGAATGTTATTACGTAACATGCAAGCAATTCCAAAAATGAGTGTGTATTATGGCGGGGCATCATACATGGTCATGTCTGATGTCATTATGCAATGATGTGAATGAAAACAGGGGTTGAGAAAAAAAGTAATTATCTTTTTGGTAAATTGAAACTATTCATTTTCTTGTTTACGTTGATTGAGTAATTTATGATCAATTAAATAAAACCATTTTCAAGAAAAGAAAACATCTATGTGTGATGTTAATGTTACTTGGATTTAGTGATGTACATTTTAGATGTTGCCGTATCGATAAAACTAAATGTGCTAAATGATGTCAAAAATTGCTAAAAACTATCCCGTTCAATATATACAAATTTGGTGAAAGATGGTTAATTAGGCAACAGAACTAATTAGTCAAATACATTGGTCGTTTTTGTTTTCGTCATACTTTTATGATGTAATCAAATTATCTTAAGAATTATAATCACATCAGTTATTTTCAGACTTTTATATTTAGATTAACAGTTAGTTATTCCAGTAATGTTGTTGGATCCAGTAATTAAAGGTATTGCCTTTAACTCTATACACATGCGACTATTTGATTTTAAGATTGAATCATGGATTGTTACGATTATTACTCTGTGTATGGGCATCGTAATACGAACTCTAAAATGACGTATTATTATAAATTTAGGGTGTTGTAATGGCTCCGCCGTTAAATAAATAGGAACATTTGTCAGTCATTTTTATGTGTTCAGAAATTGCAATGTATAAAACATACTTTTGCAAATGATAGGATTTAGATATTCATATCAAATTATTTTTCCCCACTATTTTTAGTAGTCATTCTAAATTCTCAATGATAGGTTTATGTAATTGTAAATAAATAATTACACCAAGAACTGAATATTTTGTGCAGTTATTTACAGCTAATATTTTGGAATTCTTCACAGAAACGTTAGTTTCTAGAATTTTCTAGATACTTATTCAGATTTCTATTATTACAGTAAAAATTTTAGTGCCACCAAGAATATTGATTTTAAAAATAAATAAGATATTGTATCATTATTATTTTATCTTCTGTGATTTTAGATACGATAGATACTACTTGGGTGTAGGTAGTTTGTTAATAGTAGTGGTTATTTGTTTTAATTAAAATTTAGAAATTAGATATTCAGAAATATTTATTATTCTAATTTGGGTAGAAAAATGGCCGCTTAAGGGAATCATTATAAGGTCGAAGTTTGACAACCTCTGAATTACATATGTGTCAATGTAAATAGTAATTTTCGATGTTTAAATAATTTGAAAAGTGCTCTGATGGCGAATTAAAACGTTAATTATTTAATAAAGTTATTATTATTAAATGCCCCCAGAGGACCATTTTAAGTGTCATTTTATAAATATGTATGTACTATGGACAGTTTTTATCAGGGTAGCTCTAAATATTTTCAGTTCCTTTCTTTTTAATGTATTTTGTACAGTTGTATTATATACTTATGTTGTGTAGTAAATATGGAGTGACGATCAGCTTTTATTTTTTATAATGTAAAATAATTTATTTACGTCTGGCATTTAATACACATTTTTTATACCTATTTGTATTTAAAGTCGAGCTCTCTACATATGTATATCAATAGTAGCATTTCGGATTTGGTAGTTTTTTTTTAAGCAAAATGTTCTTTGTATTGAAAAGTTGGTTCAGTCTATTTTAATGAATCGATTAAAGTGACCGTAGTGGTGAAAATACCATGATGATTAGTGTAACAGTTTAACATCTTTCTCAACTTTCAATGGTTGCAGACTTGATCCTTCCTCAGTACAAACAACTGTATTTATGAGTATATCTGTATTTGTCTGAGTGTATCCATTGTAAATATGTATACAAAAATGTACGTTTTTATTATTAATCTAGTACTCATAGTTTGTATTCTGAGTTTGTATTCTGCTTAGTTTGGAACCAGGCAGCGCTATGTAAAAGCCGATATATCCGGCGGTGTTTGCTATTACAGTGAACGTTTTATATAAGCAATCTTTCTGTAAGCATACATACATACATATCTGTCACGCCTGTCTCCCATTAGGATAGGCAGAAACAATGGAACGTCAAATGCTTCGATTCAAACAAACGTCTTTCGTTTCTTCCACATTCATCAATCTTTTCATACACGCTCGCCGGTTACGGGTACTTTTAATTTGGCCCTTCAGCACGTCGCCTATTTGGTCGACATACGTCCGTCTAGGGCGGCCCCTACCGACATCTCCATTCATTCTTGTTCGATAAATCTCTTTCGTAATTCTTCATTTCATCCAACCTCTCCAAATCGCCAAACCAATGCAACATTTCTTTTTCGATTTTTGTCACTACATCGTCTTTCAGTCCACACTTCTCTCTAATCATTACTAAAACTCTCTATAAGCAAGCAACATTCTCCATATTTATTCTACACAGCTTAGAAATAAGTAAAAATCTTTTCCAGACGGTAAGTATTTTTATACTCCTTTTTTCCCTGTAAGCAATTTTTCCCAATAATTTCAATAAAACAAATTTCACTAAATTAAAAAGATTTTTTTTTTATTGAAATTGGTTCAAATGAGTTGCTTATATAGAGTTTTCATTGTATAAGAGAAAGAGTAACTCGTTGATTGAATATACATACCAATCACTTATATCAAAGTTACTTTATCATAAATACAAGCAAATAATACTCAATGTTGGCTAGGATGTTAAAAAAAAAAAAATTGTGACTACACAACACAGTAACTAAAATTCTACTTAATTACTAACTTTTGATTTATTTGAATGAGGACATATATTGGATTCTGATTGTGAATCTTACTTAATTTATGCTTTAAGTATATATGTTTAAACATATTTTTCACTAAATATTTTTAAACAAAAAGAATTAAAAGCATTTATTTTGTTAATTGAAATAGCAGCCATTGTATTTATTTTATGGAATAGAACTACTTAAAAAAGCTATCTACTAATTAAATATTTGGTATTTTATTATGGTGTTTATTTAAAATATGAAGTAATATAAAGAGCATATGCAATTTAAATATCATCATATATGAACCATGTTTATCATAGCGTTTATAATTCGAAACATGCTGAACAATTCTTTTATTTAAATATTTTAATAATTATTGTATTTTATTCAATTATTCTCGTGTATTTGTTAATCTACAATATTAGTAGAGCGCTATAAATGGATTGTTAAGGACTTTTTAAATAGACTATAAAGAACATTTTTCTTTGAAAGTGTTTGTTCTGGAAGATATATATATATATATATATATATATATATATATATATATATATATATATATATATATATATATATATATATATATATATATATATATATATAGTACTTTTGATATTTTGTGTGTCTAATGTTTATGTATTGTTTGCACTACAAAAAACTTTTTTTGTTTTAAAAGAGGTGCTAGTTCTTATTATTGTGACAATGAGTGATATAAACTTACTTTGTACATTATTGTTAATAAACCTATCATTATAATAATATGACATGTACTATATCTATGTATAGTAAATATATTTCTTAATCTACAAATGAAAAAGTTGTTTTTATTTTAGGAAGTAATTAATGTATACTTATAATAAATATGTAGAGAGGTCAATTCTGTACATGAAATATATTTCCAAAATAACTATCAGCGGGTGATTAATGATCGATACTGATGCCAAAAATGCAATCAGTAAAATTTTTGTCTGTCTGTATGTTCGTTATAAAAACAAAAACTACTCGACGGATTTTAACGAAACTTGGTACAATTATTCTTCATACTCCTGGGCAGGTTATAGTATATCACGTCAGTATCAGTTTTCATCACGCTTTCCGTCGCGTGTGCAGCCTTAATGGCCACTTTTTTAAATATAAAAATGTCCACCCGTGCTAAGCCGGTACGGGCCGCTGGTATATAAGATTTAAACCTTGTCAGTTACACTGGGGCAACGCTACATTGGTCAGTAGTGGGATACGTATAATATATGAAACGCTGAGCGCATATAACGCCCGAATCTACGTAGTAGAAGCCCGCCCATTATATTATTTTGTTGGATTACCTACTGAGCAAGTAGTAATTATGTTATGGAATTGCTTCATATGAGAAATAAAAAAAATATATATAAATCTAATTGTAAAAATAACCTTAATATGGCATAAATAATGCATTGCAAGTATTATCGAAATCGATTTATAGAGCTTATCAAAACTATTAATATAGTAACTATTGAAAAACTATTGATTGTTATTCCTGTAATCTAAATATACCCAGCACAGTAAATTTTAAATCATTTTTAATCGTAAACTGATTGTACTAAGCCCTGTTCATTGCATAAAAAATATTAAAATCAATTTAGTTATGACGAAGATACTGCGTAATGAATACACAAAATATGAATGAATTGAAAATCCTTTTTTTAACTTTTTGATCTTATGCCACATAGGCACAGTGACATAATGGCAACATTCTATTTGTGACAATGACAGCTCTAACTGACGTTGACAATTATGAGAAACATGTAATAAAAAAAAATATTTTACGATTTAATCAATTTGTGTAGATATTTTATTTTTGCTATAATGTCTCAATTAAAAGAAAACAATCAAAGAATAAACCCAGAAAAAGTCCCTCTGGAGACAGACCAGGGTATTTTAGAAAGCGAAGAAAGAAAATGGGGTCTCCCTTTAAAAGAAGTATATAAACACGGCTTATCTTTCTACAAAGGTATGTTTTTTTCTGTTAAGTATATATGATAATAGTATTTGTTTATAAAATTAATAAATTTTTATTTGTAAATATGTCTTATTTTTGGTATAAATTTGAATTAATCCAATATAATTAATTTCACGCAAGTAATATTGAAGTTTGTTTAGGGTGGGCAGATCTCTTATCCTTTACAAAGATTTACAAAATTTTCATCTTTATTCTATCTCTAGCCTAAAACTAAATGGCTGCACTGAATAAAATTGCATACCTTGTGACTTACTTTGATGTAGTGGGCTACTTTATATTAATACAATACAGTTTTAGTACCTTATGTATTTACATGCCATGTGGTTCTAGTATAGAATAGGCCACCCCCTCCTTGTCTGAGGCTGTCGTAAGAGGCGATTAAGGGAACGAAATGGTTGAGGATGCTAATCTTTTATAGACACATATGCATTCTCAGATATGTCTTTGTAAGGCTTGTTTGCACTTGGACTCTAGACATTTGGATGGTATGGCGCACTCACCACTTATTTATATTTTTGTTATAAGTAGGATAATGTCTTTATTGAGATGGTAATACATTTTCAGATAAAGAAGGCAAAGCTCTACATTTAAGCTATGAAGATAGGCTAAAGCTGGTTGCCTACACACAGCAAGCATCTCATGGACCTCTCGATCCAAATTCAGCTCCTCCACTAGGAGTTTTGGATGTAATTGGCAGAGACAGGAGGGCGGCATGGCAAGCTCTAGGCCAAATGTCCCAAACACAAGCCATGGCAGGCTTTATACATACTTTAGACAGGTAATTTATATATTTTATTGGCATTTGTCTGCAGTTTTTGGACTTCAGATGCAATATGAAATATGTACCTGATTTTAAGTTACACCTTCCAGGACTCAATTATAAAAACTGCATTCAATTAATGGCAGTAGTTTTTGCATAATTCCAAAACTAACATACATACATGAAATTAAAGGGTACTAATACATACCATCTTAGTATTCAGGAATGGCAATGCATAAATGGTAACATGGGTGACACGGCATACTCTTATGTCCATAGTACAATTAATATCTATAGGTGATGGTTACCACTTTCCATAACATGGGTCATTAACTTGTTTATCATTCTCAGTAGCATAAAAAAAGTCAGACAGGAAAAAAAAATAAATTTTTTTTTAAATAATTGTTTTGGCTTCTATTGCTGTTATTAGGGACCCTTGCATAAATTTTTCTTAATTATTTATGTATGTCCTGTGTACGGACATTGTCTAGTTGCAATTTTATTATATTAGATTGTTGTTACTTTGAATATTTATATACTTTTTTAAACATACTAAAATTGTATTAGTAGTGGCTTTATAGTAATTTTCTCTGTCAGAATCATCAATTTAAATATCAAAACTTAAACTTTTGTAACTTTATTTAAAGATATGATGAATATTTTTGAGATATATAAATGAATCATCATCATATTATCATCATCTTCACTGAGTGGTCCTGGTATAGATCGGGCCACCTGTCCTTTCCCTTTATATATATTGTTTGTATATATAGATGGTATCATCATCATCATATCAGCCTTTAATTGTCCACTGCTGAACATAAACCTTCCCCTTGGGGAGTTTTGTCAATAGTTGACATGCTTGGCAGGTGGATCGGCAACCGCAGTTAGGCTTTCGAGCTACTTTAAGAGGGACAGTGCTGCCCATTCCTCACCCTTCTATAGTCAGCTCTTACGACACCCATGGGAAAGGAAGGGGTGACCTATTCTATGCCGAATCCACACAGTGACATATTTATTGTATATGGTGTATTCTTAGATTATATAAAGTGTCTCCATAGAAATGCTTTGAGAAAACCGGGTCAACTTTTCATACAATTTTGCGTGATAAATAATTATGAATGATTCCTTTATAACTTCTATTTTAATTTTGTTTTATAAATTCTGCATGATTTTAATGCGTAAACACTCATTTTATGTATTAAATAATACATCAAGATACATTTCATGCATAAATATATAGAGTACTGATAACAAAAAATCGAATCAGCTAATTTGACAATAGCTGACAAAAAGTTGTCCCCTTTTTGAGGCTCTATCTATATAATCTAAGGCTGTGTTATTGGCAAATGGTTGTAACATTTAGTCACTCTATTGGAAGTTGTTTCTCTATTAAAAGTTTATGTGTTATATACATATATTTTTTTATTTTCAGGTTATGCCCTTTGTTCAAACCTTATTTTGAAGCTATACAAAAAGATTTTGAAGATAAGAAACAACAAGAGTAAGTTTTGTGCAGATTTTTCAAGAGTTTTTCTTTTTTTTATGAATATAAAAATATTTATATTTTATAATTATTGAATTATACTTATAATTACGATAGCTTGTGAGGATGTATGGTATTCTGATGAGGATGAGGATGATACTATTTTACACAAAAACTATTGAACGGATTTGAACAAAATTTGGTACATATTTTTATATACTGAATCATTCGGGCAAAGCTTCATGACACAGCTGGTAGTTACTAATCTTATTGAAAGGGGAGAAAATGATTGTTAGTAATAGAGACTGAGAATCCCATTGCTAGCAATATACCCAACCAGGTCGACCTCGCGGTTTCCCCTGGAAACTATAATGGTTAATTCCTGATGAATTCATCATAATGGGCTAACTGACCTGTTTTCATTCTTATCTATCACCCTTCACTGGTGCTCCGCCAGCGTATCCCGTTAGCGCAGGCGGGGTGGTTACCATGCCATTTTCACTTATCAAAAAAAAAAAATCCTATTGAAATGTCTAATGAACCCATTGCTAGCAATACACCTTATCAGGTCGACCTCAACGCGGTTCCTTCTGCAAACCGTCCTGGTTAATTCTAGTGGAATTCGTCGCGATGGGCTAACTGACCTGCTTTTATCGTCACCTATCATCCCTCATTGGTGCCCCGCCAGCGTATACTGATAGCGCAGGCGGGGCTACCATTCCATCTTCACTCTTTAAAAAGAAAAACCTTATTATTGCAGGCAAAAGAAACAAGAGGAAGAGCGTGCCCATACAGAATTGCAAAACAGAATACTTCTAGAGAAACAGAAGCAGCAAAGTACTATTTTAACAGAGGAGCAGCACGTGTAAGTTATTATCCTAGTATTTTCATCTTCATGTATAATATAGTATATATTATTATTTATTTATTTATTTAACTCTTTATTGCACCATAAATAAAAATATACAATGACAAGTGAATAATTCAAATTAAATACAGTAACATAAATACAGATTGAAATAAGTATACACATAAAGGTACAAACGGCGGTCTTATCGCTAGGGCAATCTCTTACAGACAACCTTTAGTTAAGGGAGAACAGATAGAAAAGGGCAGGTGGCGCAAGAGTGAATCAACAATTTTCGTGCACAAAATACGTAAAATTATATATGTATAAGTATAATTATATATATTTTTTTATACTTTCTATCAGGCGGGCTATCAGCTCGTTTGCCATTCAAGTTGCATAAAAAATTTATAATTTTATTATGTATGTAGGTATATGAATTGATACTAGTACCTAATTCGAGTATTACATTTTCCTGTGGGGGGGGGGGGGGAACGGGATTGTTAGCAATGGAGTTCGACATTGCTAGCAATATGCCCTATCAGGTCGACCTCCAAGTGGTTCCCCCTGTAAACCATCGTGAACAATTCTTGTTGAATTCGTCACGATGGGCTAACTGACCTGCTTTATCCTCATCTATCATCCCTCACTGGTGCCCCGCTGGTGTATACCGATAGCGCGGGTGGGGTTACCATTCCATTATCACCCATTAAAAAAAAAACACTTTCCTGTGATAGATTGGGAGAGAATGCTTTTAGAATTATGTTCGTCTTGTACATATACATGCCTCTATCATCATCATCTCAGCCATTATCTGTCCACTGCTGAACATAGGTCTCCACCATAGACCGCCATAAGGAACGGTCTTGAGCCACCTGCATCCACTGGCTCCCTGCAACATACATGTACTAAAGAATAAATAATAGAATAAAGCGAAAGAGTTTGTTCGTTTGAACGCGCTAATCTCTAGAACTACCAGCTAATAAACTAGTAGTTACCAGATTAATCCAAGTAATATGTTACTAACAGCCAATTTTTAAGTTTACGTTTAAACACTGTATGAGCTGTTACTTCTCTAATGTTATTTGGTAGATGGTTGTAAACTTTAATAGCCATACAGTATGCGTTTCTTTTATGTAAATCTAACCTGCACTTTGGTACATATAATTTGTCGTTTGGTCTAGTTGTACGTGTTCTCGAGTCCGATATTCTTTTGAAAAAGCCAGCATGTTCCCTTACAAATATACACAAATCTCTAATGTACTCGGGTGTAAAATGTAAAAACGATATGGTGTCAATGTGGAGTGATTAATAATATTACTATTAAATATGTCCGTTTAAATAGCTTTTTAAACTTCATATAATTTATATAATCATATATTTTAAACATTAAAATGGTTGTAGAAATCTATCTATATATTATAGAATGCCATCGCTGATTTTTTCGCTGAGTTCTAATAAAGAGAAACGATTCCATCATACATTATTTTGTTATATTTCAGCATTTTCAAAGAAAACTCTCAGTTGTATTGATTTCTTCCGATATCTTGAATAATTATTGTCACGTTTCAACAAATTGACACAAAATAGCAATAATTATATACATATAAATCTGTATTTATTATGACCATTTTTAACTATCTGGAAAACAGCCTTGTTCAAACGTTATTAATAATGTAGGATAATGGTTATGTAATTGTTTATGTAGTGTAAAAACATGTAATTGTTTATATTTATAATAAATTTACTATTTTAATTTTTTGGAGAAAAGATAAAGGAGTATCTATCTATCTATTTATAAATCTTTCTCTTGAATTACTCTATCTATAGATAAAATAAGTAGTTTAAAAACGGCGGGAAGCGATTGTTTTATACTCTGTACGGGTTTGATTTTGGAATTTAACACTTTTTTTTTTTAAATTCATCATGGCCGTTAGCATTTATGATATTGTATATTTTTTTCAGACAAAGAATAAAAGACGCGCTCAACGCTCAGACCTACGATCAGTTTTTACAATACGCACAGCAGCAATTTCCTGGCAATTTCGACCAGCAGGCGGTCCTTATCAGGCAACTGCAGGACCAGCATTACCAACAGTACATACAGCAGCTAGCCATGGACCAGAGACTAGCCAATTCCAATTTTAAAGACACAGATGAATATAACAATGAAATCACTAAAGAATGCGAGAACGTAAAAGAGGAAACATTGGACAATTGTAGTGTAAATGAAACCGAGGTTGCTGTACGAGACGATAACAACAAGTGAGTTACAAGATTAAGTATTAAGAAAAGTTTTTTGTTCAACTAAATTTAATTATAACCGTTTTTTAATATACTTTTTTAATTATTTAAATTTAGAATGTATTTTAAGCTGAGTAGAGAATTGATATGAGAAACTCTTTGATCAAACTAATTTGAAAAATTCTTTTTTATCTGAAAGGATGTACTCACTGTACACAGAAATTTTATGAGAATCGGTTTAGTAGTTTAATTTTTAGATCAAAACTAGCGGTTTGTTCCGGCTTCGCATGGGTGGACATTTTTACATTTTAAAAAGTGGCCATCAAGACTGCACACGCGACGGAAGCTTAAAAATGGAGTCACTTCTCCCGTTTTCCCAACATTTTTCTTCACTGCTCTGCTCCTATTGATCGTAGCGTGATGAAAAGTATACTATAACCTGCCCAGGAGTATGAAGAATAATTGTACCAAGTTTCGTTAAAATCTGTTGAGTAGTTTTTGTTTCTATAACGAACACACAGACAGACAGACAAAATTTTTACTGATTGCAGTTTTGGCATCAGTATCGGTCACTAATCACCCGCTGATAGTTATTTCGGAAATATATTTCATGTACAGAATTGACTTCTCTACAGATTTATTATAAGTATAGAAGATAGATAACTGGTTTTGTCACAATTGAAATCGGTTTTTTATGGGTCAAAACTTTTTAATTATAGTTAATATGTTAATTTACATGATATTAAACGTAGATCGATGCAGACTTCCGAAAAAATTGATGACATCATCGATTATGCTGAAGAGTCCAGAGGAGAAGAAGAATCAGATGGTGATGGTAGGGATATTTTTACTTTTTTTTATGGTAGGACATCCATTTATGTGTCATATATTTTTATCATTTACATGACTAGCCAAAAAAGAAGTGTAATGTTTTCTGGGCTAATAATGTGAATTTCTTTATTTGACCATAATTTCTAAATATTTTAACTGTAAGTCTAACCGGATGAACGTGTATTTTAGTCGAAAATTCTTGACTAGTTTGACGACAATCCGGTACCCTTTGTCATGAGCCGCCGTGACATGAGTGCGTCTAAAATACACGTCTAATTGGTATTTTAGTTAAAATATTATGTACTCACGAAAATTTTACTAATACCATCATTTTTAAATGTCTGAATAGATTTGGATTTACGGCGGGGAAAATGTACCAGCCTATTTGTTAATTTATTATTATGTTGATATATTTTGCTTATTTTCACAAAAATAACTGCTTTTTTATTATATATTGATGTCATCTATGCAGTATATTTTCTATCACCAGAGGGAGACTTTGTACAAAAGTCGATTGCATGGGTACCTCTGTCCCATTCGTGTTTCAACCGTGAAGCAGTTGTGTTTGCATAGCTGTGTTTCGGTTTGAAGGGTGGGATATGGCGTGAATTTACAGGGTACAGAGGAATAACATCTGAGTCCTCAGGAATGGCAACGCATGGGGGGTATCATGGGCGAAACAGTATACTCTGTTATGTCCATGGCACTACTCATGTCTATAGGCGACGGTTACCACTTTCCATCAGGTGGGCCGTCAGCTTGTCTGCCATTTTAAGTTGTATAAAAAAAAAATATTAAATAGAGAAGATTGAAAAATTTACGTCCCTTTTTCGTTTTGTATTATTTAATGGTTTGGCCCTGTTTGATAATAGAATTTATTGACTGAGCAGATGAGGGACAAACCTCGGCGTACAGTTTAGTCCGTCAGAATAAAACACAGTCTAGCATTGCATAACACATAAGTATCGGTGGCAGATTCCTTATGTACGTCATAAAGGGAAATTTTCTCTTTAGCGGAAAAAACTCAGGATTAATGGAGGAGTAAGTGCCCCGAAGCTAAGCAGTCATGTGTCCGAAAACACTAGTAAATACCATACGGCATTTCCAAATCGTCTGCTGAGCGTAAAAGACACGGTCAGCGTTTCCCAGGAAATTTGCATTTCTTGATCACGTTGGCGATTAACGAAGTGTAATAACGAAGGAGTCTCTTTAGTTGTAGTTGAACCTATACTCTAAAATGTTTGTTAGTAATTTGTCTCTAAGCAATCTCAATTTTAAAACTTGTGATCCTGGAATGTCTTACTTTACTTTAGAGATTAATTAATGCATCCATCTAAGCTCGGCAGTACTGGTAAATTACGCTACATTTTCGTATTCAAAATGTCTCACGGAACTAAAACATATTGGCTAGCACCATTTAAGTTCAGTCATTGGCCGCTGATCATCCGCGACGGATTGCCAATACATCTAATTGCATACAATTTGTTACTCTCTTTTTTTAATGGTTGATAATGAAATGGTAACTCGTCCGCGCTATTGGGATACGCTGGTGGAGTACCAGTGAGGGATGATAGGTGAGGATGAAAAGGCAGGTCAGTTAGCCCATCGTGACAAATTCCACTAGAATTAACCACGATGGTTTTCAGGCGGAACCTCATGGAGGTCGACCTGATATTGCTAGCAAGGGGTCCATTAGACCCCATTACTAACAATCCCTCTCCCCCCTGTTACTCTCGGGTACATTGCATTGAAGGTCAATTATTACATCCGTGCGTCCGGTGTCATTTTAGTTGCCGGTGCGCCGATCTTTCATCGACGGGAGATCGGCATCTTGTTCGTAATCGGAATCATGTTTTCTTATGTGATGCGTTACATTCTGCAAACTTCTGTTACTGAAGACATACTCAACGTGACACTAGTCTTATACTGTCTGTATGGGGAAGTATAAAGTTCTAAATTACTCAACGAGGCGTAAAGAGGAAGAATTACGTTCATAAGGATTCGATGCAGAACGCTCTTTAAGTTCAGCATAGACAATGGAAGGTTGAGACGAAAGATCTTATCCAAATCGGAGTACGCAAGAGTAGTTGATATAAATAAATTTTAAATAAAATTATTACGAGGAAAGAATAATCACGGGAATCGTCATAATCCGGGTAGGCAGGTTTTCCGCTACGGACAAAATTCCTCGCAGCATTCGCTCGGGTTCTGCGAGTGTCACTCGAGTCTGTGTTTTATTTTGATGGATAAGTAAGTAGGCCGAGGGTCGTTGGTCGCTAGCGGCGGCCCCCGGCTGCTGGTAGTGAGTGGCGGTGTGTGGGTGTGTGGGTGTGTGGGTGTGTAGAGCCGTTCCCGGCGGTGGGCGCGGCACGCATGTGGTGCGGCGGCGGCGGCGGCGGCGGCGGCGGCGGCGTGGCGGCGTTCAAGGCGCGCGCGGGCGCGGCGGGCGGGCGCGTGGTGGTGCCGCGCGGCGAGACGCTCACGCTGCGCGTGCCCACGCACCCGCGCGCGCGCTGCCTCTGCTGGGAGTTCGCCACCGACGACTACGACATCGGTACGTCCGCGCGCGCCGCCTCCCTACCACATATTGTACACATGTACACGTCACACGTACATTTCGAGTGCAGTGCACAGAGAATATGTACAGTTCGAGTATAGTGCGCAGTGTATACGTATAGTTCGAGTACAGTGCGCAGTGTGTTCTTACAGTTCGAGTACAGTACACAGTATATATGTACAGTTCGAGTACAGTGCGCAGTGTATACGTACAGTTCGAGTACAGTGCGCAATGTATTCGTATAGTTCAAGTTCAGTGCACAGTGTACCCGTACAGTTCGAGTACAGTACATAGTGTATATGTACAGTTTGAGTACAGTGCCGTGTACAATTTAAAGCTTTTCCATATAATTGCATAACGTTTGCTTTCCTATTGCATCGCATTGATAAAGTCGTATGACATCGTGCGAATAAATTAGATCAGCTGTTCACATTTACATTATTACCCTAACTTAACACTTTTTGTGCCAACAAACTACTTATTAATTTAATTTAATTATATTTTCCGATGACCGTCGTATTTTTTACTTTTTTTTTAAATGTTGTATAACGATTGGATCCAAAATAAACATACTTACTTTTTTTTGTAGTAAAGAGGGAATGATTTATTTTCTCGTGCACAGGTTTCGGTGTGTACTTTGAATGGGGCAAGTCGCCGACCACCGAGGTGACGATACAAGTGTCCGAGAGCGACGAAGAGGACGACCCCGACGAAGATGGATACGACGACGAAGGTGCGTGCAAATGTTAATTGTAATCACTGCAAACAATATTTGGGAGGAGTAATTTTTTATATTTATACTTTATCGTGACGATAAAGTATAAATATAAAAACTACTTCTTTTCTTTCTTAGATCGTTTTAAATGGCTCCTAAGAAAACAAAATACAATAAATGTAGATAATTATATGTCTATATATAATTAGTAATGCGGCCCCACTTTTCCCGGGTACATAGAATTTTCAAAAAAATATCTACTCAATCAGTGCGTTCATGGAATTGTTTTTGTTAATATGTAAATAAAGGAACCATTAGTTCCTGCGCTGTGACAATAACATTTTCAAAACACGTTATGTTACGAAACGTTGATCCCATCAAAAACATTAAAATGTAAAAAAATGCCAAGTCACACAACACAGTTCTTCCACTATAAAAGGTTATGAGATTGCATGTAAAATCAATTGTCGTCATTATAATTATTATAAAGATGTCTAATATTAATACGGTCACTATAAATGTTGATAGGTAACAATTTACAACAAATTTATTGAATATATACTTCAATAAACACTAACTAAAATAATTGACTTGATTTTACATGCGTTCTTATAACATTTTGTAGTGGAAGAACTGCGTTGCCATAATTGGCATTTTATATTTCATGTTTTTGATGGGATTCCATTTTTTGTAGGTCATCCTTTTTTTTTCTCGAGTAAATATCTAGTCCAACAGTTACAACCGAGATGCGTTTTTGATGAATGAACGTAATTTTTAATAATAATTTTATTTCATATTATGAAAATGTGAACATATAATGAAATTTTGGTAGAATTATTAGGTATATTAGCAATATAGCCAGTTATATTATGCTCTCTGGGTCACTTAACTTGCTTTATGTACTATGAAGTTATAGGGGGGGGGGGGTCAAATGTGCTAGTCTTGGCGGGGGCATGCTTCGCCCTGTGATGTAGTATGATATATCCTTAGTATTATAAATATGGAAGTGTGTTTGTTTGTTACCTTATAATGCTTTAACGGCTCAACCAATCATTATGAAATTTGATATACATATATATTACTATATGGGACGGAAAAGTACGTAGGCTGCTTTTTATTCCGGTTATTCCGGTCAGTAGAGGTTATCCGTAATATCGCGCGCTAGTAATGCAATAAATATCGTCATTGAATGTTCGTTGTCCGGGTGTCGACAGAGTATACGGTGTCGGGCAGCGGCGACCCAGAGCGCGGTGCGGGGGGCGGGCCTGGCGCCACGGGCGGCACCCGGCCGCTACTCAGCCTCGTCGTGTCCGTCTATCGCCGCGACTGCCACACTGAGGTAATGCCCGTGTCTCTATCCACACTATACACATCTAGATGGAGAGTCTTATCGGTACTTAGACCATATACATGTAGAATATTAGATGGAGCATCGAGTGTTAATAAACGACTTACCAATTATTGATACGTGTGTATTCAATTGACTAAAATGCAGTTCCTTTGCAATTGTTACCTACAGTAACCAGTTTGATTTTATTGGACTGTATATTATATTAACTAGCTGTATCCCGTGGCTTTTTTCGTAAATTGGGACGGAATGTATTGTATGTATTGACCTAATTCAAAATTCGTCCAACAGTTTAAGCTTGATGGAGTAAGAAATATATATATATATATATATATATATATATATATATATATACACAATATGGTCTCCCCTCTATCTATCTATCTATATATATAATCTATATATAGATAGATAGATAGAGCTAAATACCTTTAATATTGCAGGTATATGCTGGTTCTCACACATACCCAGGCGAAGGAGTGTATTTACTTAAATTCGACAACACCTACAGTCTCTGGCGATCAAAAACATTATACTACAAAATATATTATACGCAGTAAACAAACTAAATTATAAGGAATCATTTATGAACATGACAAAATATAATAAAATGGAAATATTTATCGAGAAAAGGATGGTATGGCTGTGCTCGGCTTGGCGGAGACACTGCCGTGCCCCCTATTTTGTGTTAGGTGTAAATGTCGCGCCCGCGGTGTCATGGTCTCAGATGCACTGGGTCGTCAATATTTTGCCCCCTTAACACTTAATTGCCCTATTCACCCCGCGAGACACTGCCGTGCCCCCTATTTTGTGTTAGGTGTAAATGTCGCGCCCGCGGTGTCATGGTCTCAGATGCACTGGGCCGTCAATATTTTGCCCCCTTAACACTTAATTGCCCTATTCACCCCGCGAATATTATGGTAGGTCCACTGGACTCCTAATTACCACTGACTCAAACTACACTTGTATTAGATTCAAAATATTAAAAAGTTGAACTCTGTTCCACGATCGAAAAAGTTTATATGTTTAATTTATTTTTTTAAAATGCACATCATCATATTGTTGAAATTGCTCTGGTTTTAGTAATCTATTTATTTAATTATAAATTAGCCCACATCAACCCACTGCTGGGCATAGGCTTCCTTTTGGCGCCACTTGTAACCCACTGCTTCCCCGCTATCCGCGCTATGTCCTGCGACCGTCGATTTGGTGGTGTACCGACTGTTCTCTATCCCTCTTGGGCACCATTCCATCTCACTCTCGGTCTACCGTCAAGTCCTCCTAGTCAAGTTTTAGTAACAATAGTATATATATACACACATTGATATTCCCTTATGGTAAGGGATTACCAGAGGGAGACTTTGTACAAAAGTCGTTTGCTTGGGCATCTCTGTCCCATTCGTGTTTCTACTTGAAGCAGTTGTGTTTGCATGGCTGTGTTTCGGTTTGAAGGGTGGAATATGGCAATGAATTTACAGGGTACAGAGAAATAACAGTCTGTCAGTCAGGTGGGCCGTCAGCTTGTTTGCCATTCTAAGTTGCATAAAAAATGGGGCGAGTGGACGCCTTAACACACTTTTTGCTGGTTTAACTGAGAAGCGGGGCGAAATTCAGGGGTCCAGTGGATCCGTGATCGGTGTCGTCAGTATTTAAAAGTTTATTTAAATAGATAATAATTATGATGTGCAATGTTCTTAAAAACGTGTCTATGGTGTACTTTTATTTAATGGAGATTAATGTATACAAATAAGTCCAGTAATATGAGATTTATTGGTGTATTTACGTGTAAATTATATGTATAATAAAGAATTTTAATATATAATCATAATCTTTTTATTAGCCGCGTGGTCCCAGCGTAGAATGGGCCACCCCTTCCTTTCCCATGAGTACAGATAATATAATACTACATTAGGTACTATAAGAGATGACTACGGGAACTTAATGGTCGAAAGATGGACAGTAGCGATCCTTTTAAAAATCCATCCATCACATATAAAATAAACCACCCCGTTCCTTTTCAGTGGGTTTTTTTTTTATTGGGTGAAAATGGTATGGTAACCCCGCCTGCGCTAACGGGATACGCTGGCGGAGCACCAGTGAAGGGTGATAGATGAGAATGAAAACAGGCCAGTTAGCCCATCATGATGAATTCATCAGGAATTAACCATGATAGTTTCTAGGGAGAACCGCGAGGAGGTCGACCTGGTTGGGTATATTGCTAGCAATGGCATTTTTAGTCTGCATTACTAACAATCCCTTTCCCCCCTTTTCAGTGGGTTTTGTAAGACGCGATGGACAGCAGCGGCCGTCTTAAAACATCCCCAAAGCCTGTTACTGCCAGAGAGAGGCTTATGTTTAGCAGTGGACAGTTAAAAGCCGAAATGATGATGACATGGTTTATCTGGTCAGTTAGTGCATTTATATAAAAAAAAGAAACATCAGATTCTCATATTAATATCCTTAAGTAATATTATAAATGCAAAAGTGAGTTTGATACGTCTTCACTTTTATACCCCTAAATGGGCAGCGGTAGTCACTTACCATCAGGTGAGCCGCATGCTCGTTTACCCTGTGTTGTAAAAAAAAATCGGTTATGATGAATGATATAGATGGTGTCTTGGAAGTTTCCAGGACTTCATCTATATCATTCAAACTACTAAAGGTTTAAAACTACTTTTTTCCCGGTCAGTTATCCCGGTCACGCGGACGAAGTCGCGGGTAAAAGCTAGTGTTATAAATGTGGAAATCTGTTACATTTTGGTACCTTAACTGCTTAAACAATTACCATGCCATTTAGTGAATAAGACATAGCAATGGCATGTAATACAACATGACCTTCAAGAAAAGAGCATATTCCTTTTTAAGGCCGGCAGCACACCTGCAATGCCGCTGGTGTGGTTGATCATGAGCGGCGGTAGTCACTTACCATCAGGTAAGATGCATGCTATTTTGCCCCCTGTGTTGTAAAAAAAATACACGTACATGCCATTCTATGTCTTGTTTACTTAATTATTATATCTTCTACCTATATTTATGCCTTTATCCCTTTCAGACCTGAACGATACGGGTGTGAGTTGTAACTTTAAAAAATTCTAAAACCACGCACAATTCATTTTTATGCACGAAGCTGAAATAATATGATAGTGAGATTCTAAACCAGCCAATAAGAAATCATTTTAGCGGTTAGGTGGTGCAGTAGTCTCGTGCGTGCCGGCAAGATGGCTTGGCTCCAAAACACGAAAATATATTTAATCTGAAAGAAAAAAAGTCTTGGGTCTGAAAGGGTTATAACGGATTGTGTTCTGAAGAACATTTTGATATGATGCCTACAACCACCTTTCACTATCGCACCGCTTGCTATTGACAAGGAAAACATCCTCACACCTTAGAACTAGAATTGTCACGCACAGTGCGGTTTCAAAGAGCTTCCTCCCGCCAACACTAAAGTTGTAAGATGATCTTCCTCCTGCAACATACCCCAGAGACTACAGCATGGGTAATAATCAAAAAGGGCGTATCAAAATTTCTTAAGAGTCGGCATTGCACGTGTGACATTCTTGGCGTTCCAGGTGGCAAGGTGTCATAGGCTACGGTAACCCTGTTTGCCATCAGATGGGCCGTATGCTTGTTTGCTATCATAGTAGTAAATATATAGTTTACTATTTATCCCGGTTAGTCAACATATCCAAGTAGGGGGGAAAGGGATTGTTAGTAATGGAGTTTGATAGCCTCATTGCTGGCAATATGCCCTGTTAGGTCGACCTCCACGCGGTTCCCCCTGAAAACCATCGTGAACATTTCTTGTTGAATTCGTCACGATGGGCTAACTGACCTGCATCATCCTCACCTATCATGTATCACTGGTGCCCCGCCGGTGTATACCAATAGCGCGGGTGGTGTTACCATTTCATTATTACCCATAAAAAAAAAAACATATCCAGGTCTCTCGGACGAAGTCACGGGTAAAAGCTAGTAAGTACATAATTTTTTACATAAGTTTTAGTCTCCAATTGTGCATATGGGTTTTTTAATATATTAGTGGTTTATAGATAGTAAAAAAAATATTGATGTGTTATTTATTTACATTTAATCTTAATCGTGAAATAAATTAGCATTATCTTATTATCACACTATAGATATGTTGTGACTTATTCAGTCTTATCAGGTTGCACTTCCGGTTTGGACTCCTCTTTGTCTAGTACATCTTTCTCATTTTGTATCCTCTGTGTTTCTTCAATATTAGATTGCTCGTTGTTTTCTAGCCCTCTGCTGTTGTTATTATACTCTGTAACCAATTAAAATAAAAAAATTTAAAAAGAGAATAAAAAATGACAGTCATGAAAACTCAACAATCTTAATCTATGGCGCAACTATTTTTTTTTTTTGTACAGATTAAGAATATACATCGCGGCGGTTAGTAGATTTTATTCTATTCCTAATCTATGTAGGAAGAATTATTTAAATTTTTTAACACTTTATGGGCATATCTACTTTATTCTGTTGTCATACGTAGCGTTTATAATCTGTCTATATCTAATCTATAAAATAATATTGTATTCTACAAAGAAATCGACTTCAAAAAAACCAATTATTTTGATATAAAAAATAAACTACTTAACTGATTTTGATAAAATTTCTATGTAACTAATCTGTTAACCACTTCAAATAAGAAAGAATTTTTCAAATCGGTTTTGGAATTATTGACGGAGTTAAGAGATAACAAACAAAAAAAAAAATAAAGCCGAATTCCTCTTTCATCGGTTGAAAATTTAACATCAACATTCAAATTATTTATATCAAGAGGGTCGGCACCAAACGAATATTTTTTTAACAATCCTGCGAAGGCTACGCCAACCGCTTACCGTCAGGCGAAACGTATACTTGATCGCTGCCTTCGTTGCATAAAATAATTTTAAAATAATATTTTCTATCAGGTTTAAATGGATTTACTTACTACTTCCTATAATTGTCGCCGACACTAGTACAAATCTCCTTTTTATACTTTTATATTGTATTTCTTTTAAGTTGCTGGATTGGATTGTATATATTTATACAATTATACAAATTTAAAAAGGCAAATTCATTTAAATAGACGTACAGAGGCATAACACCTTAGTCCTCAGGAATAGGAATGCGTAAAGGGTATCATAGGTAACAAAGTATACTCTGTTATTTCCATGATACTATTCTCGTCTATAGGCGATGGTTACGAATTACCACCAAGGGAGCTGTCAGCTTACTTGCCAGTCTAAGTTCATAAAAAATCTGATAGAAAGTGGTTAGAATATTATAAATATCAGTTTTTTTTGTTATTTATTTTACACATAGTACAAGATTTTATAGGCATATTTATATAACAAAGCATAATATATATACAAGTATTATGTAAAAGAGGAAAAACACGAAAATTGATAAAAAAGGAAACGGAAAAGGAAACCCACGCCCTGATTGACAAATGGAATAGAATACTCGTAGATCGATCTCGATATATTAATTTTTTAGTCTATATTTTTTTCGACCGAATCCAAAGTAGCGAACTTTAATATATCGACTTGAGATCGAGTACTCTATGTGACTGGCACTTTAAACTAGCTAGAAAGCAGTTTAGTATGTCTTGATTAATTATTATGGGCCCACCGTATAGCCTATTGGAAGTCACATGCTTTGCAAAAGTGGAGATTCACCATAAATTCAGACATGTAAAATGGTTTCTTTGTTTTTATAGTAGACAAATTAGTCATAAAACGATTCATATTTAAAATTCATTTAAACGTCAGTTTTCAATTTAAAATTTGAGACAACGGCTGTATAGGCTTAGGTCTTTTGCCTTCCCTATTGACAGGGAACACAGATAAAAAAAAATTAATATTTGTGCTCGATTTTTTTTTTAAATGGATGATAATGGAATGGTAACCCCACCCGCGCTATCGGTATACACCGGCGGGGCACCAGTGAAGAATGATAGATGAGGATGAAGTAGGTCAGTTAGCCCATCGTGACGAATTCAACAAGAATTGTTCACGGTGGTTTCCAGGGGGAACCACGTGGAGGTCGACCTAATAAGGTATATTGCTAGCAATGGGGCTGTCAAACTCCATTGCTAACAATCCTTTTCCCCCATTTGTGCTCGATTAGGTATTCTAAATCAGGTATCGTGCATAGATTTAGTATAGTCAACCGCGGCGGCATGTCTTAATGAATGCAAAATAATTAAGATTGTGTCCAAGAAAAAATAAAACCGACTTTAGTTGTGGCAAAACCAGTTATTTTGATTTAAAAACTAAGCTACTGAACCGACTTTAATAAAAAATCTATAGAATAAATCTAGAAGTGTATCCATTTATATAAAAAAATAACTTTCAAATCGGTTTACAACAAACGGAGTTACAAACATAAAAAATACAACAAAATGAGAGGCTCCTTCTTTTTGAAATCGCTTAAAATTTGTAGAATTTGTTGTAATTTGATTAAAATACCAACAATTTATTTTATAAAGATCTAATGAAATACTATGCATTGCAAACACGAATCCTTTTAGGACCGTTATGATACAGATACTAAAGAGATCAGTTTATATTATTACAACAGTAAAATGAATTAAAGTACTTTATAATAAGCAGCCATAGATTATATAAGCAGCATAGGTTATTGTAGGTTAGTAACTAACGATTAGTAAATATAACCTATAAACGGATTTACACAATTAGATAGGAATTTTTAATCATTATAAAAAGATAGTTGGATGATAACAGGAAATTAGATAAATACCTATTTATTTCTTAGAAATGATATCTGTATTTAAATATATAAAATACCTGTATAAAATAAAGGCTGATATATGACTGAAATATTGATTAAGGTGGAATTTTTGGTTGGGGCAAATTGAGATATGATTTTTTTAATTGTGTCGTTTTGAATTCCACCCTTTTGTTGTCAGGTTTTTATGATAATGAACGATCTCAGCGGTCTAACGACTTAACACACCGTTTCACTATTCGATGGCCGTGGGTTTGATTCTCGTACAATATAAATATTTATATTCATGTACATGTATTTACAAAAAAAAAAATATGTTCTAGTTGTCTAATAAAGAGCTTCTTAATTTCGAACTAGATGGCGTTGGGTATGTAATATATCCAGTGGTATTTATTAATTTATTATACCCTGTATTATCGCGAGTAAAAAAATAATACGAATTACCGACTATCATTAATTATTTCTTGGTACTCTTCGCGTTTATAAATCTCACTTTAGAAACTTCATCATATCGCCATATCAGCTATTAACTGTCCACTTCTGAACATAAGTCTTCCCCAGAAGAGGAATTTTGCCATTAGTTGCCATGTTTGGCAGGTGGGTTGGCAACCGCAGATAGGCTTTTAGTGATGTTTTAAGAGAGACGCTGTTGCCAATCCTTCTACCATAAAGTTCTCTAAGTCACTTCTTACGATACCCACGAGAAAGGAATGCGTGGTTTATTCTACGCCGGTACTTGCTCATTATTAATCGACACAAATAAGTGAAATTAATCAAAACTGGCGTCAAACACAACACGACACAAAACACATAGGTACACAATAATATCATCCCCGTTATCCACAATACCTGAACATTACTGCCTATTGTGTTTATAGCGCTGTTGAGTGCTGTCGATATTGAGGCGGTGGTTCCATTGATAGAAGCTGATATAGTACCTATGAGACTGTTCACAAAATTGCTCCATGCTGTCACTATAAGAATTAGAATTAATATAATAGATATGGTTAATTAAATGATATATTATTTAGATATAGAAATATTAATAGCAGTAATTTTAGTGATTTAGTATATTATTTTTTAATTTGCAACCTGCTGTTTCTATCTGATAAGTAAAGACCTCTGTTAGCTGTTATAGAAAATTAATATAGAAAAATTAGATTATAATAAATATTTATCAATGTACAGGTCTTTAAATAAATGTGTAATTATATACCTATCTAAATAATATGCAGAAAAATACACGAATAAATATCTTAAGGTATATTTATAATTGTTTAAGGAAATAAAGGTATTATGAAAGCAATATTAATGTCATGGCTTACCTGAATGTGAGCCGCCGTGTCCGCCGTGCCCACCGTGCACTCCGTGCCCACCTATGAATAAACCACCTTTGACGTCCTTATCACTCTTCTGACCCTCCACTGTATCTCTGGGTCTCTCTGGACTTGTGAGTTTGTGAACAGCACCAGATATACCTTTTACGATAGGATTATTCTGAATAATCTTCTTAATTGGGCCGTCGGCTGATGGTTGTATTTTCTCGGCGGTGGACTGTTCAGGTTTTGATTCTGTGGGTGCTGGTACAACGTTGCTTCCTTCCTGTTGGCTAGGATCAGCAGGTTTCACTGCTTGTGGTTGTTGCGCACCAGGCCTGTTTGGTTGTATTAAATTTACTACTCCTTGAACGAGAGGATTGTTTTGAATTGCTTGCGCAATGGGTCCGCTACTAGACTGTGCGGGCTGGTCATTTTGTGGACTTTGTGTAGGTTGATTTTGGCCCAGGTTCCAAATATTCTGGATAGAGCTTTGGATACCTTGCCAGATTGGCAAACCTGGTCTAGAGGTAGTGCCACTCACTTCATCTGATTGTCCAGTAGCTGGTGTGGAGGGTGATTGAGCAAATATATTCTGTATTCCACTTCCTATACCAGAAATGAAACTACCGGGGCCAGAGCTTGTGTTATTGCCAGCGTTTCCTTGCTGGATGCTTGTTATATAATTTTGCCATGCACTGGTAACGTTGGATAAACTTTGCGAAACAGTATTTTGGAAACTTTGCAAAGCCTGGAGGAAGGGATTGTTTGATGCACCATCAGAACCAGAACCGCCTGACGCTGATCCGTCTGTTGTCGCTCCACTTTCCCCCGGCTTATCACCGTCAGCTCTGACAATGTTTGAAGCGTGGACTTCCTCAGTTAATGCTTTGATTCCACTCCTAAAGCTATCTTCTAAAGTTTTCAGACCAATTTCGACGTTATTAATCGCTTTAGTCTGTCCTGGTTCGCTTCCTGCTTCATTTTTGTTCGGATCGTTATTCCAAATGGACTGAACTGTATCATTAAGCTTCTGAATTTGGCTCGTGAAGCTCTCTTGAAGATTTTGTAGACTACTTTGAATGGAGTTTATTTGCTCATTATTTGCAATCCAATCAGCGACGCCTTGGAAACCTTGTTTTAATGCTGCCTGTGTGTTAACAATGCTTTCCTTTAGTTTAGGTACTGGTTCCTCGTAATGTTCAGGGTTTTGTGTGTCATGCTCTTGGCGTTGTGGTAACCCTGGATTCTTCAGGTCAATTTCTACTCTTTTAATGTCGGAACTTTCCTCAGTATTTTGTTCTTCGTTAGTATTTATATTCTCGATACCTTCCACTGTTGATTTGGCATTTTCAACGACAACTTTAACAGGGATATCGTTTGTTTTGATGCGGAGGTTATTTTCGATTTCGTTAATGACAGTCGTCTGGTCTGTCAGGTCCTCGTTATTGGACGCGTTATCAACTGGCACAATATCTTTGGCAGCCTCCTGCGCCACGGCAGCAAGTTTTTTCTCTAAATCCCGAGCATCGAGCGCGGGGAGTTTGGCCGCGCGTGCGAGGGAAAGGAAAGTAAACAAAAACAGTGGATACAGGTACAGCCTCATGGTCGTCGGCGCGTTATACTAACCGAACAGGTGGGGTTCTGCATTTATACGGACAGCCTAACGGTGTCCGAGCCCCGCATACATAGCGTGTTTACGCTAACTGCTCGCCCCGCGCTCAGCGTTTGTTATTATAAATATGTACTTAAAGAGTCTGGGTGTCTTTTTGCAAATTAACTGTTAACTTGTGTTGATTTGTTACGGTGATAGTTATCTATTTGTATGTGCCAGTGACAGGTATTATAACAACTTTCAAGAGTTCTCATTGCCTAAAAAGTTCTTTGTCGATATAAATAAAAATGAAATGCTGTTCGTTGGTAAACATCACTTGAGAACGGCTTGTAAGGTGGAAGGCTGGAGACGGGTGAAACACACAAATTTTTTCTTTTCCTTCACTGGTGCTCCGCCAGCGTATCCCGTTAGCGCAGGCGGGGTTACCATACCATTTTCACCCATCAAAAAAAAAATAGCGTCCTATCGTGGCCCGTAAGTTTACCATTCATATTAGTACTCGTATAAAAAATATATTGGCTGTTCTTTGTTGTAAGAATATGTATCTACCAGAGGGAGACTTTGTACAAAAGTCGATTGCATGGGTACCTCTATCCCATTCGCGTTTCAACCGTGAAGCAGTCGTGTTTGCATAGCTGTGTTTCGGTTTGAAGGGTGGGATATGGCGTGAATTTACTGGGTACAGAGGAATAACACCTGAGTCCTCAGGAATGGCAACGCATGGGGGGTATCATGGGCGAAACAGTATACTCTGTTATGTCCATGGTACTGCTCATGTTTATAGGCGACGGTTACCACTTTCCATCAGGTAGGCCGTCAGCTTGTTTGCCATTCTAAGTTATATAAAAAAAAAATATGTAACGTGTAAATAAAAAAGTTAATATTTATGCACTTTAAATATTGAACTTTAAGATTGATAATGATTATAAAATATTACAGTCGTAACAAATCTTGTTTTGATAATATTATCTCATTAAGTTGTGATAGGATAATTATTCAATTAACCAGAACAAGATATTAAAATGTATTTAACAGGATAAATATTGGTATGTTAAAGTGTAAATTAAATAATTAATAAATAGATAGATAATACTTGTATCTAATCAGATAATTGTTTTTATCGTGCCATTTTCTTGAAACTTGTAAAGGATTTGCACGTAACTAGTTGCAGCGCGCGGCTTTGCGTGCGTGGACACAGATAAAAATTATCAATGGACCACCATTTTTATGCAAAATGTTATTAAAATCTCTTCAACTGTTAAAAATTATAGAGTTAACATTCAAATATTTTTTATAAATTTTAAGGTAGAAAATTTATTTGTATTTTTAACTTATTTTGCTATTAAGAGCGCGGGAAAGGAAAGGGTGGTTTATTCTATGCTGGGACCACACGGCCGCATGTTACACTGTTTATGATTAAAATATGTTGTCAGTTTGTTTAACATTCGAACGTGCATAAAAAAAAAACTTTTTTACTACAAACATTACATAACAGAACATTGTCATATTAGAGCTGCTTGTTAACATTTCCTAGAGCAAATGAATCCATCACTTTCCACCTGCCCAGGTAATAATGAGAGTTCACTTTCGCTGACGATTATCCAGTATATGCTAATATGATGTACCATAGTTCAGGAGTTGAAGAAAGTCTTATTGTATTCAAAAAACGAAAGTCCACAGGACTGTAAGTCACGAATTGACTGACAGCGCAGAAGCGATAATTAAGCGATTTATAGAGGGAATCTCTCAATTTATCTATTTTTGTGTGGATACCATCTATAGATACGTTTTCGTTACCGTATGTTAACCCTTCTTGAATAATGGTGGAAATTTCCATCATAACATTGAATTCCCTAAAAATTATATAAAAGAACAAGTTCACTTTAAGTTGATCGTGTCTGGATACCTTTTCAGTGTCCATTGCATAAAAAAAAAACATAACTGTCCAGTTTATTTTTTTTTAAACATTTTTCCTTTAATTTTGAACATGAATCACCTTGATTTATTTCACCAATAAAAAAAAAACATACAAAGAAGGATTAATATAAAAGGAGATAGTAACATTTGGCTTCTTGTTCTTTCTCGTGTGTACAGTAAAGAAAACGTTTTCATTATCAGAGAAAGACTGTACAAAACTCGTCTACATGGGGACGTCTGTCCCATCCGTGTTTTCGACATCAAGCAACTGTGATTGTATGTAAGTTTAGGGTAGAATATGATATTAAAATTGTAAGGTATGTAAACATAACGTAGCTTTCCGCGTGGTTCCCCTTGGAAACCATGGGCCAACTGACCTGCTTTTATTCTCACCTATCATGTCTCACTGGTGCATCGCCAGCGTATACCGTTAGTGCAGGAGGGGTTACCATTTCATTATCATTTATGGGATATGAAAACAATGTACCTCATGAATGATAGCGCATGAGACGGCAATGTGTTCTATGACACTGTTGGCGCTGTGTATGTCTGTAGGTGACGGGAACCATTTTCCATCGAAGGCGTGTATGAAAAGATTGATGAATGTGGATGAAGCGAAAAAGGTTTGTTTGAATCGAAGCATTTGGCGTTCCATTGTCTCTGCCTACCATAATGGGAGACAGGCGTGACAGATATGTATGTATGTATGTATGAAGGGATTATTAGTAATGTAAATACTACTATCAGGTCCATTTGCACGCAGTCCGTCTGGAAACCATCGTGGTTAACTTCCGCTGAATTCGTCACGATCTACTAACTAACCTGCTTTCATCATCACCTGTCACTCCTCACTGGGGTACTAGTGACTATACCATTTACATCTTATTAAAAAAATCTCTCTCGGATAGGCCATCAGTTTATTCTAAGTGGCAAGTACTATCCTTCATCTATGGTTTTAACATAAAAATCTATCGTTAAATTCGTTCGCCTCATGTCCACTACTTCGAGTTTGAGGATCAAATATTTAGTTGACTCATAAAATTTAATATTTCTCCGGCCGGTCACCTGTCCCAAACCTGTAGTACCTAATAGTTGTAATAAAATACGATCCAAACATATTCAAATGTATGCGTACACACAGCGCCCCCCCCCCCCCTCGCGTCGGGAGATGCTAATATTTAGAAACGCCGATGGAATTTCTGAACAAATATGTTAGTAGATGTCGACCGTTATGTCAATGGCTACCCAATAATACGGTTAAAATTGATCTATTATGTATTGAGAAGTTTTAAAGGATTTTTAAATATGGGAATTATACCTTATAGGTATTTAGTATAGTTAGTAACAATTGTTAAGATTTTTAAAACCCCTATATTCTGTAATATTATCATCATCACCATATCAGCCTTTAACTGTTCACTGCTGAACATAAGCCTCTCTCTAGGGGATTTTGTCAGCAGTTGTCACGCTTGGCAGGCGGATTGGCAACTGCAGTTAGGTTTTGGAGATGTTTTAAGAGGGAAGCAACTGTCCCTCGCCCTTCCTTAGTCGCCTCTTACGATTCCCACGGAAAAGAAGGGGTGGCCTATTCAATTCTGGGACTACACGGCTATCCGTGTCGGATTACTAGTGTTAATAAGTTATTAATAAATTATTAGTAGGTTTAAAAAGTTTATTTCAAAGTAAATGTTACAAACATTATTAAATATAGGTGAAACTCTGCTCCCTAAATAGGTAAATCCTGTACTTTAGGATAAGCAGTGCTCAACCCTATACGGCATAAGGACACAACATATATATAAAAAAGAAAGAGTAAAACTTAAGGTACTAATACAATAATAATTTAACTTGTCCAAATAATATTTTGTAAGTAAATCTTGACTGTCTAATTTGTGAAAATACAATTCAAAAGATTGAAATTGATGTCTTTATTGCTGATCGCTGATGATAAATAAATATACATCGATTTATCAGATTTATTTTTGCAAAAAACAGTGTCATTGTGACAAAATAACAGAATAGTTCAACACGGGAATAAACACTCTCTTTTCATTTAAGGGTTTCCTGTTGTCGGTGCAACTAATTCATGCATCTTCCTCCAGTCAGCTCTATTCCAGGCCATATCCTTGACCTCCCTATGCGACATGACACCTAGCGTTTCTTTTATCTGTCCCATGTAGTTATAAATCGTGATTCTGCCCAGTAACTATACTTGCTTGCCAAAATTTTTTAGCAACATTGCACGGCAAGTTTAGTTATATTTCTCACCTATTCCGATGAGTAATTCAGCAGAGTTAGTTATCCAAATGGGTAAGAAATATGGATAAAGGATAACTATTTAAAATCATCTCGGATTACTGATTTACGTCAACCTTTATTTTAAAGACATTGGAGGTTATTTCTTGTTCATGATTTACTAAGTGTCCATTAGTATGGTTTTAGCCATCATCTTTCAACTGGTGATGTAGATCTCTCACACACTGGGTCCTTACCGTTGAGAGTAAAGGTGTGGCGATGGCCATTAGCCTAGATAAAGAAAAAAACTTTTCGAACGAGTTTGACATCAAGATTTTCTATCGAAATTCTCAATCAAGCGAACATCCAGAGAAGTGCAAATGGGTCGCCAGCATTCTGTCCGGTAGGTGTATAATTTAAACAGTGGTCGATGTTGCTCCGATAGCATAGGCATTAGCGCCGGCGCCCACAACGCTCTGCACTGTCCCCGAAGCAATTTTTGCAGCATACCAATGACTCGTTTAAAACGGCCGCCATTAATTGTTATGCAGACGGTAGAACTGAAGATGCAAGTAACACGGGCCATGCTAATGTTCCTCGTTCCATTGCGGCGACTAACCGCGAAAAGCTTATCGGAAATCGAGAGTGGTGTGCCTAGTTTCTGATTGGGGACGATTAAGCTTAATCCACTTTAACACCTATTAGATACAAATTTGCGGACTTAACAGTCTGTGTTCTGGGCAATTCTTTTACAATGTCGTCCACTGTCATCATCGTACCTCTCGCCATAGACAGAAAATTCATCTTTGCACTATCTAAATAAATAGGTGGATTTAAAAGGAGTTTACTCCCGTGAATGCTCAAACTGTGGAGCTTCCCTAGAGCCTACAGATATGACGACCTATGATGTTCTTCAAGATATTTTTTCACAGTTCGCAAGACGTATGTGAGGTGTCTATAGGCTTTGGTATTCATTTACATGGATTGTATGGTTGTTTGCTACCATTTTAGTGTAAACATATGTTATAATAGGAGACCTTTATACAGATAGTGTTTCCATACAAA